GCTCCTACCCCCTGCTGCTCGGATAAAGTCCCTAACCGGATTTCCCACAATTCCAATAGTCCCAATAAATCCCAGTCTTTGGAATACTCAGTTGGTATTATACAGCTGCCTTTCTTCTACTTTGAAACATCTTCTGTAGCACTTTTCTCCATTCTCTCGTCCTCACCAGACATAAGAGTGCTAGAATTGTGAAGGCCAAATCCCCCTTCAAATGTAGATGCAGCTTTCCTAGATTCCATAGCTCCAATTGGAATAAGCACTGAAAGTCTCCAATAAAAACCTAGAACAAAACAATATGCAAGACAATATCCTCAAAATTGGTATTGTTTGATTCACAGTATCTTGCTAAAGGCACACATTCATTGCACAATTTTATATCAACCTAGATCATGGTTCACTTTTATCATACCAACTTTTATCACTTGTGTGTGCCCATGTGGTTTTAAGTTAAAGTTTTCCATTACAAACTTATAACCAGAATGCAAGACAATATCTTCATTATGAGTATTGTTTCATTCACAATATCTTGCTTATGACACACATTCATAGTACAATTTTTTTTCAACCTTTTCTTTTATGTCTCAGAGTCAGTGGAGCCGGAAGTGCCCCCATGAACACTTCCTATTTGTAACACAGCAGCTAGCGGGTTAGCTCTGTCCATTTATATTTACTGTTTATGGTTTAAGCACAGAGCTGCATTAAACAGAAAAGCCCTGAATCACAATATGATTGAAATAACACTGTCACAGCAATCAGATCACAATAACATTTTCAGAAGCACCATATCTCTTTAGTAAAAAATTTAAAACAAACAATAAACAATGAAATGAGGAGTAAGAGTGGGTTGAGACATTCAGAATCTCATGACCATCAAAGAGTCCATCATGTAGTCCCTTTTTGGCATTAACTATTATAGCATCTATTTTACCAGTTTTACCAAGACCCAAATCAGCAGTTGTATGGTAGCTCGTGACTCCATCTACTGGTACAATATGGTATGGACATAAGAAGACAAAAAAAAAAAAAAAAAGAGCCCCAAACTGCTGCTACTACTATGGCTAAGCCACTACAACATTTACTACCACAACCAATGCGTCATCAAACTAAAAATACTAGGTGACACAGTTTTACACTGTATGGCCACCACAGTGAGTGATGTGGGTGAAGTGTATTGCCCAATGACACATCAAAATATCACTCCAGCTGGTGTGCTAAACCTCAATCATGTCAAATGCACCTAAAGTTAAAGTATCACTGTAATACCACAACTACTACAGTACTGCAGATTTGAAGTACTTTTTGTTATAACTCGTATCAGGCCCTTGCATACACACTTCTCCAGCCGTTAGTTAGTTTGGAGTGTTCCCCTGAGGCCTGCGTCATCAGCTCTGAGGTTATTTCCTGTGGTTGAAAAGCAGCAAGACTTCTTCCTGTTCTATTCTATGTGCACATCATATCAAGCCTGCCCCACTGTAGCCTGCACACACATTACAATGCAGGCCACTTGCTGGTAAACGTAAGATTACAAAAAAATGACTCTCTGACAGAAAACTACTGGTCAACGTTTGCAAGCTTGCGTTTTCTTTGTATATGCTAGTGGACTGGAAAATCCAATGGTGGCGTTTTGGTATAGGGACTGAATTTTGAAGAAAAAAATCTGCCCAGAGAGATTTTCCCCTGTAGTAGAATGGACAGTTTTCATTGAGTATATGCAATGAGAAAGTGCTAAAAGTCAAAAGGGCAAAAGTTCAACTCCAACCAAACGTGGCCTGTATAGATTATTATCTATGTGGCAGAGTGAATTGAAAAAGCAAATGAGAAGCACAGGGTAAGGTCTGCTGAAAATGTGTGACCTGTTAACTTCCAAATAATAGTATAAAAATTATCAAGTACATTTTTCCTATAGTATGTAGTCTATTAAATACAACATTTACTTATCACTTATAGTACTGCTACTAATAGGGATGGAATAAGATCTCATGCCACAAGATCTCACAAGACAAAACTGCCACAAGATTGTGAACACATGAGAAAAATAAGCTTATGAGGTTTTATTGCCCTTTTGGGTTGGGCAGAAAAGAGTTAAGAGCAGTGCTAGAATGAAAACTACACTATTCATTTAAGTAAATATAAATTCTGAAGCCAATTTTGATAACTAAATTGCATTATTTACATATTAGAAATTATGTAAAAATTTTCTCTCATTCTCGTGAACCCAGTCTTGTTTCTTATCTTGTCTTGAGGAAATTGTGGCTAATCCCAAACATAACTTCTACCACTACTATTAATGATTACAGATCAGCCTTAATAACAACAAGTAATATTTTGAATAACTTGTATATTGTGTTTTTATATTATTCCCTAAAGCTCTAAATATTTCAAAGTAAAAAAATCCATATAACCTATAGCCTATATTGTACACATTATTTACCATTACATATTCTATTGTAGACACTGAGTGCACTGTCACAGGCCAAGACAAACACTGGTACATTGATAAGGATCAGACTACTTCCTCGGCAGACGTAATAGCACTGTGCCATTTCCAGAGCAAGTTGTGAGCTGAACTATTTGTAGGCTGTGCAGGATGACTCTCTGGAGTCCTCAGCGGTTGCCTAGCAACTCTTGAGGAACAGGCCTGAAACCATGAAACACAGATTGGCCTGTGTTATGATCTGAGCCAGTATGCTTTAATGGAGTGAACCAACACAGGGGTGTAGGCAGTGATCTGGGTTACATGATCGCAGTGGAAGTTTATTACTACAGTATTACTACTACTATGTGAAGCTTTTTACCTGTACTTGTAGGCCTAGGTTTGGCCACATTTAAATGTGAATTCATGGGTTTCAGCTTCCTGTTATATAGTACAATTTTAAGACCATTGACCATTCAAAAGACATAATATTTTCTTTTGAATTGTTAATTGTTGCTTTGGCAATGGTCCTAGTTTTTATCATTCTGAAACACATACATTGCACAACGGAATAGGTCACGTTCATATGACCTCATAACTTTATACCATATTAAAATGATGTCTTGTCTTTTGGCCATAAGTCTAATAGAGCCAGTTCGTGTGCCCAACTGGATTTTGTTTGAATATTGCTTATAGAGTTATATTGCTCCCTGCGCTCTTGGGGTGGCAACAATTTGAGAAATGCTCTCATACACAAACATTCTGTCATATTTGACTCATTAATATGAGACATCTCTCATGCTTGAACACTGATAGAAAAGTACAAGGTTTCTTGTTCATAAAATTGTATTAGTTAAAAAAAAAGAGTCACCTAATTTCCTTCAAACTAGATCCCAGGCAAACTAAAGATAGCTCAATCACTGTCACTGCATTTTACTCTACAGTGCCAGGATAGGCCTAAAAGCTTTTCCCCCCAATTTAAAGTACTAAAACTATCTGTAGCCTAACCTTAAGGCATCAAAATTAGGTAAACTACACTAACCGCACACAAGCTTTCATTCACAAAGAGTGGACTATAGAGAGTGGTTTAGGCTCTGCTGCATAAAGTTCTAGTATAAACACATTTTGCCTTTGGAGATGCTTTTATGGAGTATAGTATTCACATTGGCTTACTGTGACCTAATTTCTAGAAAAAGACCCATGTGCTTCAAGGCTACACTAATTCTGGATAACTTTATTGAGAATAATTTCAAGGGCTCACATTACACTATTTTCTGATCTATGTTATAATGTTGTTTCCCTATCAAAAACATACCTGGAGTTGTGTTTTGTTTCATTCTCACATTTTTAACAACCAAATCCTGCATGGTTCCTTTCTTTAACAGAAAACACTCTCTTCCAACTTGTGATGTCATGTGGTAATACAGGAAGTGTTCCACTATGTTTTTAAACTCCATACACCTTCACTAGAATCATTAGGATAATACCCACCGTGGAATTGCCAATCTCTATTAAACAGAAGGTGGAAGGTAGCTGTTAACTTGAAAACTACCACATGACATCACAAGGTGGAAAAGAGCATTTCTAGTTTTGGAGATGTAGACAGACTAATATCAATAAGGGTTACTTAAACCTGTGTGAATGAAACAAAACACATCTCCAGGTATATGTTTGACGTGATAACAACCTTTTAACATGTTTTAAAGCTCACAAGAGTCCATTTTGAAACTTTATATTGGACCTTTAATAAATGAAAGACATCTATATAGTTTAAAATTGAAATTGGTCAATAACAGATTACAGATGTTTTGACATGGGTTATGGTCAATATCACTGTAATTACTGAGCTAATACACATAAAACAAAAACTGGTATAAATTTCATGTCTTCTCTATCAGCGTAAATAAACAAAAGTGAAAACGTGATGTCATTATTCAGCACAAAAGTTTGGGAAGTTTGGTAAAAAATACTACCTATATCTTATTTGATCTTATTTATCTAATGGAATGGAGCAATGTTAAAAACTATGTCTATCCATGAGCATAATGGTTGATTATGCAATTAATTTTTACATACATAAAAAATCTAGAATTAGGTTACGTTTGTAATTTAGGAAAAAGAAATACAAATAAATAGAGTATTAACATTTACACCGCAGAATCTTATAGTATTGTCTTGTTAGTTTAGTTTCCTCTGATTTTTATTTATTTATTTTTTTTACATTTTTACATATTTATATAATTTATATAATTTAATAAAGAAAATAATAAAGTGTGGTCTCAAATCTGAACCTATATGAATTTTATGTTGCTTTACTTACAATGGATTAAGACCAGAACTGTCACTGCAGTAGAGCTATTGCTCACTCTAGTGGTAAACATGTGTATTGTTCTTTTTTTCCCCATTTCTTTTAGGAGGGTACTACTACAAATGCTACTGACTAATTAATTAACAAGCACGGTATCGTATTTTTTTACTGTACCATATTTCTGCATGTTGCCCTACAACTAATGTACTTCCCCTGGCAAGTATGGCAATTCCTGAAGGACTAAAATCGAAACCGAAAGTAAATTTAACACTCACGTCAGTCGACTCCGCCCGACTTGAAATCAGGAAATAGCCCAAAGAAAATGTGTAAGGTAGTTTGTGTGTAACACACGATTCCGTCTCCTAAATTGTACTTGTACCGGATTTAAAGTTCGTTTGGAGATGTTTCTTTACGTGGTACTGTAAGTAATCAAATCTTTTTGGGCTTTGCGCATTGAGTATTCTGTTACCGTATTGTTGTTTTTTTACGAAAATGAAACCATAAGCACAGGGTTTACTCTTTCTTAAAGATAGGTTACCAGAATATTAAGACAGTGAAGTAATAGTCATCTCGTATAACTAACTAATTCTGGTAGGTGTAACGGTATCGTACAACCACTATAGCAATCAAATTTAATTTACTTTACTGGATTATTAGTGGATTATTTGTTACTTTTACTTCACTACGTTTCAGAGCAGGTATCTGTACTTTCTGTTCGACTACAATTTTGAACAGGACTGAGAAGTATATATATATATATATATATATATATATATATATATATATATATATATATATATATATATATATATATTTTTTTTTTTTTTTTTTATTTTTTATTTTTTTTTTTTAAACTTGATACGAGTTTTTTTTTTTTTTTTGCTCCAATGTCTGTACTTTTACTTAAGAAACACCACTGAGCAGTAGTAGTTCTATTATAAGGATGAGGACTTTGTGGAGTTGTAACTGTATTAGATGTTCTATTTTTTCAAGAGACCAGTTTCACCCTGCGTTTTGCATACTCTGACTGTAAATGTTTGTGCAAGTGCTACTGACATTGCCTTTTTTTACTTTCATATACAGGCCTCAAATGACACCAGATGCGTCATCTTACATTACATACAGTAAATCAGTATAACAAATGACGGTATAAAAAACAAATAACCAGAACAATTAGACCACTATGTCATGTGCAGTTTATATCAACAATACATAATATAATCAAAACTTAATCACAGATTTCCAACTCAGCTTTTGTAATGATAATTACCATATTGACTTATCTTTCAAAGCATGAAAACTGGAACTAAATATTTTGGGCTCAATATTTATATCGCGTGTATAATTTCTTTGCAATGATGGGAAGATTTTTGTTAGTTTTGCTGTAATACCATAAAATTTGAGTTGTAGAGGGTTGAATAAGTAACTTTAATGGCTAATTATTGCTTCATTCTGCTTTTTATTTGTTGCAGCTCATGATTTTTAATGATATGGTATAATTTTAAAATGGTTTACTGGGATTAACCTGCTTTATTTTTTATTGTAGTAGTTTCAATATTATCGTTTATTGTGATGTTTCTCTGTAACAGTATTTCATTCTCTGCGATTACTATAAACAGTGATGGGAAGAATACTTTGAAAATATATGTAGTTACCGAATACTGAATAAAAATGTATTTTGTGCTGCACTCTTCTTACTAATACTGTGCAATTCAAAGCTAAAATTGTATGATTAAGTACTGCAACGTAGTTAGAATAGTTTTTGTGGTATAAATTTGATCTTGGATTATTGTGTCAGTGTCATAAATTTTCAATATTATCATTTAGATTTACTACAGCAATATATCGAACTTCAAAATCTGTCATTGTGACAGGCCTACCAAGCATGTCATTTGACTGAATATCACTCTTAATTAAATATAGTTAGCTTTAATAGCAGAGCCCAATCGATAACATCTCTTATCTCTTGCCTAGTGCCGTTTGCATGCTGGCCTCTCAAACTGAGGAGGGAAGGGTCCGTGTCAGAAGACAGGGCTGTAGATATGATACCTACAGCTATGAAGAAAGGTTCTGTTGCAAGTGTGGTCCTGGTGAGTCTACAATACAAAACATGGATTTATAATAATTGTAAACAATACTCAGGGTTCCCACGGTCATGGAAATCTGTGAAAAGTCATGGAAATTGAAAATGTAATTTTCCAGGCCTGGAAAATTCATGGAATTCTGTAAATTCAAATGAAAGTTTTGGAAAAGTCATGGAATTTTTGTATCTTTTTCACGCAACTACAGTGTTCTGTTAAGTTATCTTTAGGCTATTATGATTATTTCCGAACGTATGAGCCTTTTGTTTAAAACAGATGACAATAAATGCACTGACAGCATTTTGAATGTTAAAAAACTATAATACCAAACCATAAGGTGAGTTGAAAGGGTTAACATTTCATATTTAGCCCTAAAAGTATGCTTAATTTTACACATCTAGACTGCCGTAAAGTCATGGAAAATTCACTTTAGGTCATGAAAAAGTCATGTAAAAGTTTAGAAATTTTGTCAGTGAAAAAGATTTTGAATCCTGAATACTATAGTGCTGGCATATTTAAAGGTCCTATATCACACAAAATTCACTCCAGTGAGGTTTATATTATTATAATGTTATCTCATCAAAAACATACCTAAGGTTGTATTTTGTTTCATTCATACGTTTGAACAACCCTTTTCTATTAATCTACATCTCTAAAGCTCAAAATCCTCTGTTCCACCTTGTGATGTCATGTAGTGGTAGTTTTCAAGTTAACAGCTCCCTTTTATCTTTTGTTTAATAGAGATGGGCAAATTCCAGGCCTTTATTTTTCCAAATGAATCTAGTGAAGGAGTATGGAGCTTAAAACCACAGAGGAGCATTTCCTATGTTACTACGTCACAAGATGGAACAGAGTGTTTTCAGTTTGAGAGAACTCAGCCTAAATATGCAGGGTTTGTGTGTTAAACATGTGTGAATGAAACAAAACACAACTCCAGGTATGTTTTAGATGAGGAAACATAACATAGATCAGAAAATAGCATAATATGAGCCCTTTAACACACTCTTACCCTTTGCGTCTTGTAGGCTTCAGGGTTAAGGAGCATTGTACAATCCAGTCTGAAACTGACTGTGTGCCCTGCATAACTGGGAAGGAGTACCAAAGTCAGCCCAATCAGGAGAAAACATGTGAGCCCTGCACTTCCTGTGAACATCCACACGGTACAGTTTTTACCTAATCTAACATGATGAATTTAATTTAAACATACAATGACAAAATATGGTGTCATTTACAGCTAATCTGGTGGTGGACAGGCAATGCACTCCTTCTGTTGACTCCACGTGTAAATGCAAGGAGAATCACTATTGCTCCTCTGGTGCAGAATCCTGTAAGACGTGTGAGCCTTGTCAGTCGTAAGTTCAGCTTCAACTTACGTAAGAGTTGAAAATTGAGTTTTATTAATCGAAAATAAGTTGTATATTTTTGTTGTTGTTTAGGTGTTCAGAAGGGATCAAAGTGGCGTGTTCTGCTACCAATAACACTATATGCAATGACAAACCTCAAGGTATTGTTACAAGTAAACAGAAAATGATCAAAATTTAACATATAATCCTTTACATACTTTTTTTAGGCAATACCGTTGCTATAGTTCTGGGCACAATGGGAGGCATAGCAGGTAAGCAAAACATTAGTGGAAGATCTTACTTTACATTTTAAGTGAATAACACATTTTTGTTTATAGTTATTTTTGCAGTTGCTTTACTTCTTTACTTTAAGAAGAAAAGAAAACCAGGTAAATTTTCCACCACTGGAGGGCAATACACTCCAAACAGTTCTGATCATTGAGCGTTAATTCAAATGTTTTCTTTTCCCTACAGAGCGTAATAATATTCTAAATGTTAACGAGAATGAACCTGAGGTAGGATTTGACCAAAGTTTTTCTTTCCATTAACATATTATATATATTACGCAAAAATGACTGTCGAGTTTTAAGCCCTGTTATAATGTTGTTACCTCATCAAAAACATTTGGTGTTGTTTTTTGTTTCATTTGCATGTTTGAGTAACCCTTTATTACAAAGCTCAAAATGCTCTGTTCTACCTTATGATGTCATGAAGCGGTAGTTTTCAAGTTAACAGCTACCTTTCACCTTTAGTTCAGGAGAGATTGCCATTTTGAAATTAAATTATCCAAATGATTCTTGTAAAAGGGAACAGCATTTACGTTGGGGCACTTCCTGTATTACCACATGTCACAAGGTGGAACAGAGTCTTTTCTGTTTGAGAGAAGACCCTAAATATGCAGGGTTTGTGCATTAAATATATGCGAATGAAACAAAACACAACTCCGCCTATGTTTTTGATGAGGAAACAACACTATAACATTGCTCAGAAAACAGTGTAATATGGGCCCTTTTAACCACATTACTGCTTGTGACCAAAAGCACTGCACTTACATTATGAGCTATAACATAATCCCTTATTTTAACCTAGCTGTCGTTGATGTAGGAAGTTCAGGTTAGTCTTTATCTGTATAGTAGTTATTAGTGCATGTATCTGTGTTGTGAATATTACATGTTATTGTGAATGTTCTATTATGATATTATTATTGTGTACACTGTGATACACTCAGTTACTTGATTAATGCTTTTCTTTTTCTCTCTAGCAAAGTACACACCTCCTTGGTAAGAAATCTCAAATCTTTTTTTGTTTACAACGGAACAACATGAACATAAAATAAACATAGGATATTTAGCACTTTATTGGCAAAATCGTCTTGTAAGACGCTAATCTTTAGCGGTCAGTCAGATTTCTGTTGACACATTAAAGGTGTATAGCTAAAACTTTTTCTTCACCTGCTTTTCTCCATGGACATGTTAATGCTCTAACTGGAAAGTTCCATGGTATGATATTAAACATATCTATGTAGCATTTATTCATTACATGGTGTTTCTGTTGCTCAAAAATAAAATAATTCTCTCTGTATCAAGGGACGACTCTCCACAGATCTGACCTGCAATGTAGCCTATAGTTAGGTAATCTCTACCATGGAACATTCTACAAAGCAATAACATCTCCATGAAGACAAGCAGGTGACGGACCCTCCACCAGAAAAGATGTGCAATGCACCTGTAATACGTCCTACCCACATTCAACATGCATGAAGTTATTAGTAGCGAAAAACATAGCAATTAAATCAGTTTCACTGCAACTGTTTAAAGGTACAGTACCGGTATGTAACGTTTTGTTGGTGGCACCTGCATGATTCCATGGAAAAAGAAAGCTAAAACCATACTTCAGCACATTCTCCATGGAGATAGATAAGTTTATTGCCATACTGTGATGATTTTAGCCAAAGGAACAGCATTTCCATGGAAACAAGCAGGATGAGGCCATCCTTCAGGCAAAATATTAGTCAGGTTTGTGGACATGCAAGCCCGTTCACAGTAAGGACACAATTTTAGTGTATAAATATAACATACTGTGGCTTTAAGTCATTTCCCTTGACTAATAGTCAGTATTTAACATTTATTTTATCTTCTCTCAGATGGTAAAGGGCATGTTTAAAATGTGCACTTTGAACAAAATTATAGAACTACAGCATATTTTGTTTCATTTAAACATCTTTCTTAATCTTTTCCCATACTCTACAGGAAGTCTTGGGCCTCACATCCCTAAAGTTGCAGAAGTGATTGGATGGCCAAACATGAGAAACTTGGCCATGCAAAGTCAGATCAGCAAAGGAAGAATCGAAAGTTGTGAGCAGGATCACCCAACCAGCAGTGTTGAGCGCACCATCGCCCTCATGCGCATCTGGGAGGAGAAGGAGAGCAGGAAAAGCTCTGAAAAGCTTGTCCAGTACCTAAGACAGATACACCAAAACAGTACAGCTGAACAAGTGCAGAGCATACTGAGTGTTGATAGCAGTTAAAATATGGACAGCCTCCTAGCATAATAGCGTACGCCATTTTTTTCAGACAAACTGTATAGTTCTACTCTCCAGACCCTGCTGTAGGTATCACTGACTTCATGCTCAGCCAATCAGAAAAACGTTTCCAGCCAAAAAACACTTTGTGCGCAATAGAAACACATTATAGTTTCTGTAGAAGTAATCTGAACTAACTTTACTTCTACTTTCTATGCTCTAAACATAGATTCAAACAGAGATTAACCATAGTTACTAGATAATAAATCAGCAATGATGTAATAAATGTGGCAATCAAAAATATCACATTGTTTCTCTTCCCAGTATTTATAAAACTGAGATGACTGATTTGGGACATGACTAGTTTGGGCTTCCATTGATTAGATATGGAGTAAACTTTGTTAGAACAGTCGGCAACAGCCCATTATCAGTAGCGATGCAATGATATATAATATCGGATCATTTGATACTGGTATCATGAGTCGATACCTGTGTTGATATGCTTGTGTCCCTCCATGCGCGCTGTTTCATTGTGTTGTCATTTATTTTGGTCCCAAAGGAAAAGTTATCGTAGCATCCTTCTCAGATGCAGCAAGAAAACAGATTGATAGACCCAGGAATTACAAAATGATTAAGTTTAAATATGTTTAAATACTTTAGAATCGCTTTTTACATCTGCTTTAATCAAATGCGCTCATATACGCATCCACCCGCGATATATGCAATCTTTTTCTCAGACTCTATCTCATAAGTTTTACACAGAAAACTGTCTGCTGAGACATTTCTATGTAATATAACAGATCTTAAGTGTCCAGAAAGAGGATGGGAGAGCACAGTGTCACAGACTGTAGCAGGGCAATGTGGGAGGAACCTACAGACTAAAACTCCCATGGCCAATTCAGTGTTTCAGTCGTTTTTTTCTGTTACAATATGGATATACGTTGTAAATGATACACAGTTGTTGATAACTCTAATAGAAGTCACCATGACAATAGTAAAAAAATAATAATAATGCGTAATGTAATTATAATTACATACAATAATTAAATTATGAAAACAATGACTTGGGAAATGATGCTATATATTTTAAATGAAACTGTCATTGCTTTGTTTATGAACTTAAAGTTATTTCATTTGGAAAGCTCACAGTGTCCTTGTAGACTTGAAATATGGATTTTTGCAAAAATTTATTAAACTGTGGTTACTGTGGCTGACTGTATGCGTTATCCTTTAGCGTGTGTATATGATTTTATTATAAAGCATACAGAGAAAAATCCCGCACACCGTCTTACTTGCAAATTGTGAGATTTATTAGGACAAACTGTCAAGCAAACAGGCCTAGTGCCGAAATGTTGCACGGTTTGTCCTAATAAATCTCACAATTCGCAAGTAAGACGGTGTGCGAGATTTTTCTCTATGTTCTGGGGCTGCTCCAACGCACCCATCTCAAGTAATTGATGTGCGAAATTCTCATTCTTTTATTCTATTATAAAGCATATATAATGTCATGTAATGTGAAAGGAAAAAAATAAAAACTTTGTTCAGCCATGGATTCTACCTGGACAACTAAGGGATTTCACAAACAATTTAATGTAATGACAATAAATGCTCAAAACATTATGAATAATGCATACTGAAGTCATTTTGATGTGTTCTGTTTCAAGTGAAATGGGCAGCCACAGCAAGTAACAATTTATAAAAGCATAGCTCCTCTTCGTGCACCCAAGTTTGTCCTATGTGCCTACATTTAAAAAAGTGAATGTAAATTGAGTTGCCTCCAGGTATTGTTGATAATTTGTGAAAATATAAGAATATAGACATGTTTATAATGGGATTGAGTGAGGGTGCATTCACACTTGTATTGGTACTTGTTTTGTCCTGGTTAGAGCAGACTTTACTTCTGCTGGATGCTTGGTATGGTTCTAGTCCTAGCACTGGTCTAGTTCCAACATTAAGTCCCAGTTTAGGCAAAATTTTAATGGGGTGTTTGCTGTGTATGAATTTAAGGGTGTGAATGTACCCTTAATTGTCACTAGAATCATTTAGATCAGGGGTGTCCAAACTTTTTTCATCAAGGGCCACATATCTAAACACAGATGAAGCAGAGGGCTGATCGAGGGCCATAGACTCAATACAGTGAATAAGTGAAATATGTTTAACATGTTAGAATGAGCTATCAGTCTTTATTCATGCTAAGATCCTTAAAGCCACTCACTAAATATTAAATATTATCTTTATTAAGGCAGATTAAAAAAAAACTAAAATAAAAACTAATTTTTAATTGATGTAAGGTAATTTGGGCCAATTTACCTGGAAGCCTGAGGGCCACGAAAAATTTGCCTGAGGGCCACATTTGGCCTACAGGCCATAGTTAGGACATGACTGATTTAGATTATTTCAGCCCTGGAATTGACAGTCTCTTCTGAAATAAACTTAAAAGGTAGCAGCTAACTGGAAAACTACCAATATATGACATCACGAGGTGGAACAGAACAATTTGAGCTTTGGAGATGTAGACAGACTAATAATAAATGATTACTGAAACATGCGTGAATGAAACAAAACACAATTCCTGGTATGTTTTAATGAGGTAACAACATTTTAACATGTCTTAAAGCTCACAGGAGTCAATTTTGCATAATATAGGACCTATAAATGACTAGCTTTAGCCTTCTCTGGTCTTGACTTGTAAGTTTTAAGAGCAGCCAGGTCTTACACCGCACTCTGACAGATGCAATAGTGCGGGTTGGGTCTCTTTCTTTCTGGGTGGAGCGCACATGCAGGAAATGTGTAAGAGGGAAACTCTGAAACTTACCACCAACTTTCCTCCTCTCTTCGCGCACACACTGAGATCACCCACGGCTGAGACCTGCTCACACAAAATAAAAGTCATGAAAAGGCCTAAAGACGCGTTTAAAGGTAAGTTTGGCTTGAAGATGTTAGCTAAAATACACCGTTTGTTTTGTTGAGAGAGCTAAGGGTTTCGCGTTTGCAAAGTACGTGTAATTTACGCGCGTTGATCTCTTACACTAGGTATGTTCCTCGTGGTTTTTCTTTGATCATATTTCTCTATTTCTATTCTTGCATACAAGTTTCAGTTTAAAAGTTACTCAAAAGCATCTACAGGCAGCTAGTACTTGGATTTTGTTGTAGCATGACTCACGTGATGATGAGAAAAGCGTGTTTGTTTGACACCATCCACGTTGGCCCATTTTGTTGCTAGGGGAAAGAGGAGGGATTAGGGAACATTAACATCATGGAAGCCACTGTAACTGCAGTAGTTGTAGTAATTTATGTATTTATGTGTTTATTTAATGCATCTTATTTGTTTTCTAGTGCGTGATTGAAGCAAACTTATAATTTGCTAATCTTTAGGGAATTTGTGTCATAATTTTGACCTCCATAGTTCCTTAAAGAAGACATAAGCCTAATACTTTTTCCATGTAGTCCTATTTAGTATTAAATTATGACTTACGTGTATGATTATATTTTTTAGTCCATTGTAATCACTGAATACTGGTCTATTGACTTCCTGTTCAAAACTGCAGCTGGTATGTTGCTTGTTTCATAATGCCATTTTATAGCAAACTATTATTAAACTAGATTTTCATTCGTCTATTTTTATTTGTGAAAAATTGCCCAATTACTTGCAATGCAAGAGTACATTGCGAGTGGGCGGGGATAGGGGCTAGATGAATCTAATGTATCTTTTTTGAGCACTCATGCCTCAAATGCAAGACAATACAGGACTCAAACATGCATTATTAACCAATCAAAATAAAGCTTGCAAATTAGCACTGAGAGAAAAACTAACATGACTTAAGGTTAATGAAAGTACATTTTGCATATGTCCTCTTTTAAATGCAGTAAAATACAGGTAGAGCATAAGGTTTGCATGAACATTTGCATCAACAGCTGCATCATATATTGTAATATTTAGTAAAACTGGAACCAAAAAATGTGTTTGTCATTGCCAAGTTACGGTAAATAAAAACAGTTAGAGAAAGGCTGCCCAGCTTTAGTATCATAATCCTGGATCTGGACACACCTAAAATAGTTCTTTCTTTAACATCCAGGATTATATATTTTAGAGAGCTTTCTGTGCAGTGTACCTCTGAAAGCTCGCTGTGTATGTTTTGAAAAATGTCCAGCTAAATAAGTCATGGGAAGTTTTCTCATGCCTGTCACTAAAGATTCTCTGCACATACACTATATTTAAAGTGAATGCGTGGAGGGAAAATCATATAGATCTTGGCAGTTATTTTCTGACTGTGGTCATTTGGAACAGAAGCAAGAATCTTATGTAATTTCCCCTTGGTACAGTGTTCTGCCTTATCTGATGACGTCCAAGAAAGAGGCTTCATTTTAAGTAATTGTATTTTGAACGTGTTTTATTTTGATTAAAGTTTGTTGCATATTCGGTGCTTTCGTAGCTTTCATGTTCACAGGATGTTCATTTAAAGGAGGCATAAAAGTGAACTAAATAGAGTGATGTTCTCTGTGGGGCCTGATCTTCCTTCCTCTATGTTGAACAGTCTGATACTGGTGAAGTGCGTCATTCAACCCACTGACGCTATATTTAGAGTCACTGTGCTAAAGAGTGGAGGATTTAGGAATTTAACACTTTTCATGCATTTGAAACATACCAAATACTTTTAAACAATAATACACCATGGTATGCATATATTGAGGTCGAAATGCGTGGGTCTAGTCTTGCTTAACATCATGGTTGTATGTATTGGAGGCTGGGTGTACCAGTTACTACTGGTACTAACTTCTGGGCCATTTTTGACTTTATAAATGTAATTGTAATGTAGGAGAACAGGTATTGTTAAAGCCTTTGGATTTTTAGGAATTTTAAACATTTCAGATTGTATAAATTAGAATATTATTACTGGACAAATTCAGCCTTAATTCAAACTAAATGCCACTTGAGTTAAAATGATAAGTGCAAGGTAGAGACACCTGAAGACAGTTTGGCACAATAATAATGTAAACAATGTATATGTGCATTCAAAAGTAACAGTTATAATGTCTGTTTTTCTCCTTCAGGCTGTGTTCTGCAGTTTTGTGGACTACAAGTGGCATGAGCGCCCCCAGCAGTTTAACAGTAGAAGATGCAGGGAGTCTTTGCAAGATTGTGTGTGGTGGTGGCCGCTACCATCTTCAACCCGCTCCTGTTTCCGCATGAGAACACCACCGTACCAGAACAGGATGACCAACTCCTAACTCGCATGAGAGAACACGAGGAGAAACTAGCCCTAGAACAAGCCAAGTTAGACAAGGAACTATCACAAATTGAACACAAGCAAGAGGAACCCCACACTGAACCTGATTATAGCTGGTACTTCTGGAGCATGGTTTCATTTGTAATATTTCTAACTATTGAGCTGTGCAGAGGGAATTTGTCTGACTTGGAATTCTGTTCAATTGAAGATGAAAATGAAAGTGAAACTACAAGTCCAAGATCTATGGTGCTCAGTAAGCATATCCTACAAAACTTCTGCGAAAGATGCACTTTGGCTCACGAAAACAGTCGGCTGAAGGAGTTTGTGGAAGGTTTTGCAGATGACCTACTCGAAGCACATAGAGGCATTTCTGAGATGGGGACAGAGATGGAAGTTGGGGACTTTGTTGGCGTAGGAAGCATGTTTGAATCCTGGCAAGTGTGCAAGCCAATGACATGCGACCTTATTGTACCATTTTCACCTCCGGATCCATACTACTTCCAGTTTAACTTTTCAGATATCCCCCCAAATATGCAAGGAAGTGGCGTGATCACAGTTTCCAGATTTGGGGACGAAGGATGTCTCTGTTGCTCAACCAGTCTTGGAGAAGACATGATTTGCCTATTGCATCCCAGTAATAACAACTCAAAACCTGAACGAAGCTCAGATGAACTCCTGTGCTCCAAAAACACAAATTTCCTATCCAAACAGCAAGTCATGAAGTGGTTTCAAATCTCCATAACCAAATCGTGGAGTCGAATTTGTCATAAATACGACTTTGAGCTAACGTTTCGCAATCTCGACACTGCTGGTGCATTCAAAATACGACTACCATCCGGAAAAGTCATAGTTCTGAACCTCATCCCTGCAGTGCAATTTGAAGATAGCGATGCATATTTTGTAACTCATTTTCCGTCAAATTATGATTCTATTCTGGAGGACCCTTTCTGGCCACTTTCTTTGGCTGTATCTGAGAAAAAGATACTGAAATATTATACAAAACGATTACCAAAAAATTCCTGTCTTTTGCACTGCCTTCAAATTGTTACCTTTCTTCACAGCAAGCAAACAAGCCTGACTGGGAAGAGCGCTCTGACTGGCTATCACTTCAAAACTGCTCTATTTCATTTACTGATAAATAAACGGCCTTATGTGTGGACTGTTGATAAAATTGACCAAAGACTCCGGGATGTACTTGATTTCATGAAAAGGAGCCTTCAGGAGAAAAGACTCAATCATGCACTGGTTGGAAACTGTAAAATACCAAAAGATATTCAGATACCGCAGGTGTTTTTGAAGTCGGATCCAATCAACTTGTTTCGTTGTTTAGTACTGGACAAGGCGCTTTATGAAGCCACTCTGACACATTTTCAGGAGATGTTGAGAAATGGACCTGCTCTTTTGCAAGAATATACACCAACAATGACCAATGGGGGGATGATCCTCAGGCTAAATGAAATATTATGAGTTCAATATAAAAATTATTAGAGATAGACTGATATAGACTTAGACTAAGACTTTATTAATCCACACAGGAAATTATTTGGACACAGTAGCTCACACAACACAATATATTATAATAACAATGACCAAAAGTATAAATGATAATAATAAATTCAAAATAGGTAGCCGATATTTTTGGGCCGATATTAATGGTCGATTTTGATTATTTTCCCCAAATTCTGTAATCTAAATTTACTAAAAACTAACCCACACCCCCTTTTTAATCTCGCACCTATAAGAGCGGAGTAGTTACGTTTTGTGCCGTAATCTCTTCGCACTAAAATTTTCAAATATTTCTAAATCTTACATATATTCTTTAGGCAGCTGGTCAGCCAAAACAACAAATTTGCCTGTGCTGGAGATTTAAGGCTGATAGCCAATACACAAAAAAGAGCAAATATTATATCTCTTAAATCTCTTTTACATACATTATTGGCAACAAAGAATAATATTGATACTCTTTTTACATACATTTATTATTTAAAAATATGTAGTTTTGTTTTTTTATACACATATATATATTTAATGTCTTAAAAATTTACATTTTTATATATATATTTGTAGAAGCAGATATTTTCTTTTATGCTGGTCATAATAATAAGTCTACATGTTTTCTGTATTGCACGCTGATGGCAGCTACATTTATAGTATTGGATTTCTTCATAGTGATGTCAACTCTTTGGTGGAGCACTGTTTTAACATCTCCACCCAAATAGAAATGAAGAAAGAAAAGACTTAAGTCAGTGTTTTACTTTTTTATTCAAAATGACTGAAGTTAAGTGTATCTTGTTGTAAAAAAAAAAAAAAAAAAAAACAATAATTGAAATGGATGGGTTTTCAGTGTTTACAGGCCATAGTCATAGTCTGGTTTGCCATCAACATAAGCAGTCTTAAACAAAGCCTGTGCTGTATGAAAAGCTTTGACAGCAGGATCCTCTTGCATAAGCATAACTTTTTTAGTTCAGGAGTGCTGTCCAGAAGACTGAAAGACAAAAGGAAAAATTTACATTTTTAGTGAACTGTGTTAGCCATGTTTGTAATGTACAATCAATTACAAGAGAATGCATATGTATGTGTAAATAATCATTTTTAAAAACTTACTGTTTGAGATCAAAGGTCTCAAGTCTCAAATCAAACCACGGCCACATCATGTAAACACTATAATGAAGTCACCACCAGAAACACAAAACTTTAACCATTTTCCATTCATGTCTAACTAGTTGATTAAAGTAAAGAACAAATGTTCTTCACACCTCGTTGAGTTTAACAAACTTTTCTTTCAATTCAGGAGTTAGTTTTGAGAGTAGACCTCATTCAGGTAGTCACAGGTGATGGGAGACTCGTACACCACCTCATCAGTCTCGGTCTCAATAGCAGGCACAAGTCCAAGAGGGTTCTTCTCCAGAAACCAGTCCGGTTTTTCCTTCAGGTGGATGTTAATGGTTTCATGCCTTTATAAAGACAAATCATTTAAAATACTAGTCAATAAGCAAACTAAATAATATAAATAACATACTTAATGCCCTTGACGTTGGGCACCAGCTTTGTCCTTTGGGCAAATGGGCTGAACCTCATGTTGTACAGTCTAATGTAGCCTTTAGTCAGTGGACCAGGGGCAGAACTTCCTGGAAGAAAATGCACAAACTAAATAAACACGATTGTAAGGAAAAAAACATATAAATACTACTCAGAAATAAAATACACAAGTCACAAATTATGTAATATGTTGCATTTCCCATAAATGTCCACTCGGGGATGCTGTAGAGTAGACTTATAGCCTACAGTACTGTGCATTATACTGTATATACAATATGTCAATATGGTATAGTCATGGATCGTTTTATTTATTTATTTAATTCATACCTCAGAACCCCAGATGCCAACAAACACAACAAAAGCACAGAAAAAAAGCTAAACAAGTGTGAAGAAAAACACATTGTTGTCCAAAGGGGGCAATTCCAAAGCTCCTGATCAAAGGAACAAATCAAAATCATTCCAAAAAAAAAAAGCTGGCCTCTCTTCTTTTAGTTAGGTTCAATGAGCTAAAAAAAAAAAAAAAAAGTTTCAGGTCATTCTTCAAGTGTGTTATTTATTTTTGGTTTTACCTTAAAAAAAACAATAATAAATAAATAATACAATATTTGCCTAAATATCAATACATTATTAATCCTAAATTCCATTCTTTTATCATCTATTAATACACCAAATTTTATATCTTTTATAGAGGGGCAAATTGAATTCCCTTGGACTGAAGCCAAGATTGAAAATCAAACCAAAATTGTTGTAGAAAAATCACATAAAAAGAAAAGACGTTCCAAGTCCTCATACCCTGTGTCACAAAACACACATTTACCTGTCTCAAATTTGAATTTTTGTTTTAGGAAGTCATTGGTTGGATAAATGTTATTCAAATTTTAAAATAGTTTCTCCTTCACTTTAGAGGGAACTGGAAAGGAAAGATATTTAGTTCTAATAATTTTAATGTCTTTCTTTTCAAAATTCCTTAGAATGTAATCTCTTTTAATTGACTTTGGGAAGCAATGATTTAGTAAAGGGACAGTTCTGTGGTGGTAGTACGTGAACCTATCCTGAATGATGACAGTAAAAGTTTAAATTGGAGCTTTACATTTACAGTGTCATACAGCCTTCAACCAACCAGCAAGGTTAAGGTTTCTCTGTGGGCCACCGACGGTACAATACAAATTTCAGTGAGATAATATCGTCCTACTCAACCAAACACGAGGAGACGTTTGGTTAAACTTGGTGATTGTGTTAATAAGGCACTTTTATTTGTACTTCCTGTATGAGCAGTCTACGTCATCAGCGCTGTGGTGAGGAGCAGGGGCGCAGCAAAAATAAGAAACGCTCCTATAAAAAGTCCAAATGTCGAAACATGAAAGTAACTCTCTATAAGAAAATGCAATAAAAATTTCTCATAAAAAGAACCATGAGTTAATCAGTCAGGCTGTCAATCAACTGACCTTTTGTTACTTCAGGGTAATTATAAGAGCTGAATTAGCCTATCTTTATAATACATACGCTATCATCGTTTAAAGCACACACAATAGAAAGATACAATGGCCTAATAAGTCATAATTTATAAAGGGGAGTATGGGGTTCAGCTGATCACGCCCTCTGCCGTATAATTTATAAATCCTCTTCTGCAACGTGATGGCATGAAACCAGCAAATATATGAGACATTGATTTTCAACAAAGGCATTGTAGAAATGTTGAAGATCCATGTGTTGTTAACAGCAAATTATTTAACCCTCAAATTACTTCCTCACCAATCTAAATAATTTTATTCAATACTGGACATACATCTGGGCAGGTGCTGACAACAGATGAGCAATAAGATATGAGGATAGGTATAGACTATCTGCACAACTCACTTAGGTCTGATGTCTGGATGAGAATGGACATACATGGCCTAAGTAAACAGTGACAGTAATCCAAATATTTTTAAAAGAAATAAATTAAGTCTATGAATTATGGCACGGGTATTTTTTGCCTGTATGGACTTTCGATGTCCATACAGTCTATGGTTTCAACAGAGATGAATATTCAGCTAACTGTCTGCTCTCCCGGTACCAGCCGATGTGAAAAAGGCCTATTGGGTACCTCCTGTACCTAAAAGCGGTAGCCAACTTGTCTGCGCTCTACAAATAAAATTGACCTTGAAACGTGGCAAATTCACTGGATTGGTTCAGGATATTAGAATTACTTTGGTCTGAAAACAAGATTTGTTATTATTTGTAGAATTACTTGAAAAGCAGATTTTCCCCACATCTTAAATATGAAGTTTGTCATCATCAAACCTACATTGACTTTTAAATGCATGCAGGCACCAGAAGGGATAGCCCCAGATACTTTTGCACAATCTCCAGGAGTAATAGGGATACTGTGGGGATGTGTCCCCTGTTACTATTGGTGAACAGTGTTTTAACTGCATCAAATGCCTAATCTAAGAACCAGATAAAAACATTATCAGCCAAAATATCAGAATATTATATAATATAGAACATTACCACTTTATTTAAGTGATAAAGAAAAAGCAGGCTAAAGATTAAGGCCTTACATCTACTCTTACAGAAAATAAGAGACAGTTATCAGTTAGCTCAGTGTTTTACATTTTTATTAAAAATAGCTCAAGTCAAGTGTCTTGCTGTCAAAAACAACTGATAGAAGCGAATGGGTTTTCAAGTAGACCACAGAGTTTACAGGCCATAGTCATAGTCTGGTTTGCCATCAATAAATGCAGACTTGAAAAATGCCTTGTGGGCGTCGGTGCTGTGTGCACTAGCTTTGACCGCAGGATCTTCACACATTCGGCCATACCACTGTTTTAGCTCAGGAGTACTGTCCAGGAGACTGAAAGACAATGCCACAGAATACAATGACCATATCAGCACAGGGAGTAGAATGGGTTTTCATATTGTCAGAGTAAACACTGTCGCTGTATGTATTATAATATATTGTATTTGCAATATAGGCCTATATACATTTGTACAAATTAATAAAAATCTTACTGTTTGAGATCAAAGGACTCAAGTCTTTCAAACCACGGCCAAATCATGTAATCAATCATTGTAATGGAGTCACCACCAAAGAATTTGGTCTTCTTTTTAACCAGACTCTGGAGAAAACACAAAGCTTTAGCCTATTTACATTTATGTCTGTAATTGATATTAAATGTATTAAAATGTGCTTCACACCTTATCCATTTTATCAAACTTTTCTGTCAGTTCATCGACTGGTCCAGACACATCTTCACCATTTTTCTTTGCTGTAACAATTTTGTAGAAACAAGGAATAACCTGTGGAAAAATAATATACTCAGTGAGAATTTTGAGAACATTAGCGTTGACTGAAACATGCCATTGACACTTACCTTGGAGAAATACTCCAGCATCATCTTCTGCTTAGCCTTTCCAAAAGGAGTTGAAGGAAGCAGTTTGTTCTGGGGGTAGACCTCATCCAGGTAGTCACAGGTGATGGGAGACTCGTACACCACCTCACCAGTCTCGGTCTCAATAGCAGGCACAAGTCCAAGAGGGTTCCTCTCCAGAAACCATTCCGGTTTTTCCTTCAGGTGGATGTTAATGGTTTCATACCTTTATAAAAACACACAATCAATTAATTATGATTTAAATAAACAATAAGAAGTCAAATAAATAACATACTTAATGCCCTTAGCATTGAGCACCAGCCTTGTCCTTTGGGCAAATGGGCAGAACCTCATGCTGTACAGTCTAATGTGGCCTTTGGGCACTGGACCAGGGGCAGGACTTCCTGGAAGAAAATACACAAAATAAATGAAACTTAAAATATTTAAATAACTGTCTATGTCTCATATTATTTACAACAACAACAACAAACAAACTGAACAAACAAAATACTACTTCTTAATATAAGGGTGGAACTATGCATTACAGATAAGTGTCCACAAAGTGGCGCCACACACTTTTTAAGGCCTTATATCTAAGAGCAGGCTCTCATAAAGCCCAATAACAATGTTTTTAATAAGTATCAAACAACCAATGACTTTGCAACTTTGTAGCCTATTATGCATTTAAATTTACAAAAGCTGATGCTAACATCTAATACACATTACACTGGAATTAAAACAACAGAATACATCATGTTGGAAAATAATTAGTCACTGTGTAAAGACCATTTGTACTATTTTCAAGGCAAATGTAGCATTTAAATGAAGACCTTAAGAAATAGCCTAAATGATGTTACCTTTAGCGAAACACTTCTCTGTGACCATTTCTGCTGCTTTTGGCCCAATGTAACTAATAATGTAAAAATGAAATAATTTAAACAGAAGTAAATGGAAAAGACCGAAGCAGACGTTTTTATAAGGCACCTTTGTCTTTTGTAAGAGTCCTTTACTTCCGCTATGAGTGCGTAATCAAAGATGTGGCCAATCACGCTGCTGGGGCGTGTCCATGTTGCCCTGGTAACGAACAGACAATATCGAATCAACATAAACACGGTTAACGACTAGAAAACGACTTGAAAAATGTATTAATCTCGTTTAAAGTGTACTCTTTATTCATGCAATGGATATTTTCGCTTGTGCAAAAGTCAGGTAAATAACATGAGTCAAACCATAGGCTACACATATTTGTGGTATTTAGTAACGTTTGATCGATATTGTAAGCTAGCTAACATTTTGACGTGGTTTACAGGTGGATACAAGGATTTACAAATAAGGATGTTTACTTTGTAGACAAAAACACCATCGCATACCCATGTGGCAATTATATTTACTTTTTAGATTTGAACAGTAAACAACAAACTATACTTCAGAGTCCTGGCAGAGGTGTTAGTGTATTTACGGCAAACGGAAACAGTGGAATATTCGCCTTTTCCCCACCTGGGCTGAATCCGTCTATATTTGTGCACAGTCATCCTACACTAGCATTAAAGAATGAACTTGCAGGTTAGTTATAGGTCAAACTACATACTCTACACATTCAAATTTTTCTTTTCTAAACTACTTAAGTAATATTTACATTTTAGGATCATCCAAACTGGATTATATTTCTTTGGCACTAAGTGATGGTGGGCCGTATTTAGTGAGCTGCTCCTCTCTTCCAGACTTCACCATAACAGTCTGGTAATTTTGTTAACTTAAATAATTGCACTTATTTCTTGTTTCAAATAATATAATTGTTTCATATTTGTATCAACATGTTTTAACAGGAATTGGGAAAATGCTACACCACTTTGTCAGCAAGTACATGGCGGGAAGAATATATGTTCTCTAAGTATTTAACCCTTGGAATTGGCTCCAAATCTGTGCTTTAGACAAATCCTCCATCACTGTATGGAATATTGAGAGGACTGGCAGTCACCATGTCCTTAAACCATGGTAAATGTGTGTATTGAGTATTATTTTCATTAATACATATATAACAATTTCCATAATTATTAATTTTTGCCATTTATTCCTTTAGTCCAATAGAACTTCCGGATGTTGATGGTGCCATTGCAAAGAGATTTGTGCTCAGCTCCCACAGCGTCAGTGAAGAACTTTGTTACTATGGGCCTGAGCTGCCTCCATCAGCGATTGCAGGCCTCAAAGGAGACAAGACAGAAGACATTGTGGTTAGTGTCATGCTTGCCTTATTGTTTTATTTAAATAGACTGCATCTTTGTCACTTTTCAATAAAAATACATTTGATAAACTTGTTTCAGATGCAGTTTTGCATTATGACATAGTTATTGTTATATTAAATACATTGTTTATCAGATAAATGTGTATATAGTAGGACTTAACAAATAAATACATTATAAAAGATTATTAGGTGCTACAAATATTTTAAATTTTAAGTAAATTCTCTCAGTACAAATAGAAGTTTGGGTTCCTTTGCATCAATGTGAAACTGTCTAGAAACAGTAAACATGGTAGTACATTTTAACATCAAGATATACCTTTTTTATACCACTTTTTTCTTTCAGAACAAGCTTTTCATGAAGGCCAGAGTGACTCCTACTGCTATCTGCTGGACAACCACATCCCAGTTCTATGTGGGCTGTAAAGAAGGCTTTTTGCTGCTTGTTGATCCAGAGCACCTCTCTGTCTCTACTCTCATCGATCCCATAAGTAAGTCTAACATACTTACATACATAAATACATACTTAACTTACTTATGCAGAATACACAGCACTGGTACTCATATTAACAAATATTTTTGCATACTCATACTAACTGCAAATATCCTTAACAAATATTTGCTCTGCTCTTAACAGCTTCTGAAGTGCCTGAACTGAAACATGGCTTTCAAGCTTTTGCCCTTCATAAAGATAACTTAATTGTAGTAGGAAAGGTGTGTAACTTAAACAGCATACAATATTATTCAACTGTCTGTGACCAAAAGTAACATGACTCGTTTTTCCAGAATAATGTAATTCAAGGATTACAAATAAAAGGAAAACAGATTAAAATTACAAAAACATGGGAATTAACCTGCCCTGTGACAACCGCTCTGTACTCACCTAACTATGAAACTTTACTCTGCGCTTCTGATATGGTAATGGCTGCATATATATCTAATCACAATATATGATTTCCTAAAATGTTACACAAGTTAATCATATTTTATTTTCAGGGTCAAATTTTCACATTAAACGAAAACCCTACAGAGAAAGTGAAAAAAGTCCTGGATGTTTCATCTGGGGACTTTGTCGCCTTATCTTTCTCACCCACTGACAAGAACATATGTCTAGTAAACTCCTATAAAAATATTAATTGCTTGTGCTTGTAAAATGCAGTCTTTATTTTCATGTTTTTCAGACTGTAAGAGACCCAGGGCAACTGCAAGTGTGGTCGACAGATGGCATAATCCTTGGCTCCTTGTCTGTACAAACAAAGGCAAGAATTCACATGCTTATAACATATACAGTATGCTTCTATATGTGGGTGCAGTGTCAATATGTCATTCTTTTCTATATCATCCCATGAAGATAACAAGTATGGCATGCTGTCCTATTGCAAACTATGTGGTTTTGGGAACAACTTGTGGAAAACTTCTCTACGCTGACATTAGAGATCCACAGCAGCCTCGCATAGTGCACCAAACACACCTCTATCACACAGCTGTGGATCATTTAGTGTAAAGTATTCCTTCAAATATTTTCCAGAAAACTAGCATGTACTTCTCTTGACTTCTGAATAGGTTATGTTCACGTGGCATTATAACAGTGGGATTTTGAATGGTTGGTTTGCTGAGTCTATTCATATAATTCATATTACAATAGTGGTGACATCATATAAGCCTAAGGACATCGTGAAGTTGAATATTAACTTAACACAATAAAGGCTCCGAACCTCCATTTGAAATCATGATTATGAAATGGTAAAATGTGAATGCAATTTACACTAATACAGAATAAAGAACCTATACAAATTAGCCATAAGAACCATTCTATTTGTCATTTTCCATAGCCATAATGACTGTCTATTTTACAGGTTTGATCAAGATGGTCACTACCTGTTTACAAGCTCCCCAGATTCCTACATGTATATTCTTGATCCTAAGCCATCATCAAGGTTTGCTGTTTTAGGATACACAGGTATGCACTAAACCAGGGGTGGGCAAACTACGGCCCGGGGGCCGTATGCGGCCCTTTAAACCTTTTAATCCGGCCCGCCGAACTGGAATAAATTATAATAATAAACCTTGTTGATGTTTTATTTGTCATGCATTTTCAGCGTTTCCCAGTAGATGGTGCACTACATATACATTGAGGTGCGGCGTATTATGTTGGCCGCAATGCTTTGTGGGAAAGTGTTCTTACAGGAGTAATTCGGACCATGAGTGAAGTAGTTGGTGTTCAAGCTATAAGACTGCACTGCTTCCATGTCAAGTAGATATAAATCAAACTTAGAACACCTTAAGACTCTGATTTGTAATTATTAATATGTACAACATCATAGTCTGGTTTTACTGCACTTGCAGGTGTTTGTGTGTGATTATATGGCTTGAGTGTTGTTCTTGAGCTGTGTTCAGTCTGATCTGATAACAGTAAGGTCACGATATTAATTCATCCGTGATGCGCTGTGGAACAGGTTTATACACATTTATTTGTTCTGATTCATCCACGGCATTGTTGAAGCGCATTGTGCGTGTCTGAAGTCCTACATAAACGTGAATTTGAATATAATGAAGCCGAGCTCTTCTCACGTTATGTCTTGTCTTCTGTCCGGCCCTTCAGTCAAACTTTAGGACCCTATGTGGCCCATGAGCCAAAAAGTTTGCCCACCCCTGCACTAAACTCACAGTCTGGATTTGTTTTTCTAAGGCAAAGATCACTGCCACGCCATGACTTAGTCATGTTCAGCCTGTTGAAAAGACTTTTAAGATGCTAAGTAACCATGACTTTGCAAATAGGCTACTGGTGAAGAATGACTTGACAAAAACATGTAGAGTGACAGTGCAAAATGTGATGTTGCGAATATTTGTTAAGGCTTAAATGACTATTTACAAGTTTGTGGACAATGAAAGTCTCATAAAGGTTATTTTTTAGTTTATGGCATGCTGTTGGAGTTAATAATAATAATAAAAAAAAAAATAATTAATCAATTTGCATCAACTTGCATCTCAAAGTGTATTATTATTTTTACATAAATATTTTAAAATCTATTTTGCAGTCTTACAGAGCCTACCTTTGACTCTGTCTGCTCAGTATGTAAAGGGGAGTGACGAGGTGAAAGTTCTTGCATTGTGTGCCGACTCAGCCAAGAATCACAGCAGATTGCTGACACTATTGTCTTTCCCTGCAGATGACTTTAATGGTAATTAAAGGCCACTTTATGAGAAGTGTTGTACATAAATGCTTTTTGATGTATAACCATAATACAACTTTACTTTTACTTTGCAGAAATCCCCAATAGTGTAGACCGAAATGGTTGTCTATCAAATAATGTCTTAAGTGTGTCCAAGTATGAAGTTCCTATTCCACTTACATCCTGTGTCTTGGGAGATAATGAGATCTTTGCCTACTGCCACAAAAAGAAAAGTATTCAGTGTTTTGAGCTTCCACAGGTATGGTCAAGTTTAAACCTTTATATTGTATTTTCAAAATATTTGGTGACTAAACATCATAAAAATCCTATAGTTGCCACTACAAATTTAAATACCAATACAGACTTTACAAATTGTATTTATTGTTTTAAAAATATGTTGCTTTAAATTTAACATTTTTCATTTGTTGCTGTATTATATTAATTAAAGAGTGAATGCCACAGTAAATCATTGATCAATCAATCAAACACTCCAGTACCAAAAAAGAAAAAGATATTTGCTCCTGTATGTTATCCACTCATTGTTTTACCTTTATTGTAGCACTCAGACTCTTCTGGCAGTGAACAGGTGATAGAGCTCAACCCAAAGTGTGAAGTGAAGGGCCACCCTTTGGGACCAGCTTCCCTCACACTCTCTCCTCATAAGTTATGGCTCGCCTCCCTGGGTCAAGATGGCATCCTGCAAGTCAGAGAATGTGCTTCAGTGGTAAGATCTCTTTCCTATTACCAGTAGTCTTTATAAGATTAACTTTGATAACACATATGATTATTTGTACAGGAAAAGTACATTGAGCTACATTGCCATTCCATGTGCCTCACTGGAGTTCAGCTTGTGTCATTCTCTGCTGATGGTCAAACTATTCTAACTGCTAATACTAAAGATGGCTCCCTCGTGTGTTCTAATCTGAGGTAAGGATTTTCCCAACATAAACATACACTACACAGCTGTGAACACTAGGGGGAACTATCAGCCTCAGAAGCACACTCTGAGCCAAGTACAGGACATGAATTACTACTTTTCCTCTCATAGGGCTTACTGTGAAGTTCTATAGTAAATAAATAGCGGTAAGATAGGTCCAGAGGAAGGAAACCAAAGTTCTGATAGACACGCAGTGCTTGCCCCATGTGGATCCCAGCCCACTCACATTCCACATCTGCGTTTTTTATACTGGAAGAGTGTTTTCAATTGTTCATAAGCCCTTTTCTACACAGTTGTTCAAAGAAATCTCAAACTGATGAAATATGACCAGGATAAAATATTCCTTTTGATCTTGTCATATTATTAAACAGATAAAATTACGGATAAATTAATAATGGCATCAGAAGGTTAACTTAAGTTACTAAATGTTTTGGAGGGCAACATTAAAATCCAGTTGTAGTAAAGTTTGTATTTCAAGGTTGAATGTGTACATTTTATTAAAATACATTTGTAAATAATAAATTTCCCTATTTAACAAACCTGTCCCCATAAAAAATTTAGAATACATCATTACAGAATAGAGACAAAATTTCAAAGGTTTTTAAATACATTTCAGTTTGTGTATCTGTTTTACATATGTGCTGAGGTTATTTCTGAATTAAAATGTGTAATTATAAATGAGTTGAAGAAAACCTTATACTTATACTAATAATTTGTGTTTTTAATCTGTATTTGAACAGAATGAGTGAAGTCGCTAATCAACAGGCCACTGAATACAGCAAGTTGTCAGAGGGTAATTTGAAAAGTTTAGTCAAAAATGAAAACTCTACCCTCGGCGATATGCTCAAGTGGAGTGAACAGGTTTCTATGAGGAAAGCTGAAGATAGCCAGGTAAGACAATTGTATGTATTTAATGTGTACATAACAAGTTTTCATGTTTTTCTCATTATATTATTACTTGGTTTAATGAGGTACCTGTGGTGAATATTTATTATAGTTTTACTTCAGTTAAGTTTTAGTTTGTGGAGAAACAAGTTAAAAAAAAAAAAAAAGGACAAAAATGCATGAAGTAGACCTTAGATGTAAAACAAAATTTCTCTAGCTATACCACCAACATTCCATCCAAAATGCAGGGACAATTTTTTGCAAGTAAGGTAGTTTTAAGTTTAAACATTTATTTAACAAAATAAGAGTGTTGCATAGCTGTATTAGTCAAATCATTTTGTCAGCTATTATCCAATTTAGACTTTGGTAATACTATGGTTGCCAGGTAAGAGTTATGGAATTACCTTTGTATGTCACCGCATAAACCTCACCAAAATTCTTAAAATATAATTATGATAAAAGGTGTATTTTGTAACTTTTCTAGTGGAGGGTCTGCTGGTCTCCATGGTGAACATATTGATGTTCCACAGTATGGCATTAAACAAAAATGTTTTGTTTTTATTCAGTTACAGGTGTTGTTTTTTTTCCCCCTCAAAACTATTGCAAAAACATGCATTATTTCTGTAAGTGGGTCCACTTCTCCACAGATCTGAGCTGTGACTTGGCCTGGTGATATGGCCTGCTTGTCTCCATGGAGACAGTTAAATTAAATGCCATGCTATAGAACATCTCAGGAAAAAACGTGGAGTCAGGTTGATGGGGGACCCTTTACGAGAAACACAGTACACCTTTAACTGTTAATTATGTCGTATGGACTTTAAAACATAACTACATTGTAATAATACCTATACACATATTCCTTAAAGTATGTAAAATTTGATGTTTTTCTTTGTTTCTAGGGCAGTGGAAATTTGCCTTCTATAGATGTAACAGAACAAGATGAAAATTACAAACCACTTCCTCATAAGACGTGGCTGGAAAATAGACAAGAGGCGGTGAGTGACTAATACACAAATGTAAATACAGTGGTGAATAATAATGTAGTTGTGTGCCATAACTTTACAGGTGGGGCCTTTTGCACCAGTCTGTTAAACAGTATTCGGAAAGCAGCTGTATTGCTTTTGGCACTTCCACCTAGTCGTGTTGTGACTTATCATTCACTACAATAATGTGGGAATACAAACACTTAAAATACTTATGTTTTATAGGCATAGATAAGTATTTCTAAACATGCTCTTGATAATAATAAATTAAGAGGAGTGGCACATATTGTAGCAGTTAACATGAACTTTAATCTGTCCCATCAGTCTGTCTAAATTATATTTATTATGAAAAATATTTGTATAATTATTATAGTTCTCATGTTGTCTTCGAGGTATTGAAGTGGGTGGAAGGTTAGAAGTTGTTAGAATATAACTAGAATAAAACTAGATTCTTGTTTGAAATAGTACTGATACAGAAAAAAATACGTACTAAAAAAAAGTCTTAATCTAGACTATCAATCAAAAGTTTTGACATTCCATCTCATTTAATGTTTTTTTCTTTGCTACAAAATTCCATATATCTTACTACATATATTTTGATACCTTCCTACAATGTAAAAAGTAGTAAAAAAAAAACCTGAATGATGAATGAGAGAGTGTGTCCAAACTTTTGACTGGTAGTGTATATCAGAGCTATAATAACACATGGTAATATGAATGTACTATTATTTTATCTTCTATTGTCTACAAATAGTGTTTTTTTATAATGATTGTTAATTGATATAAATTATTTTGTCTAGTACTGAAATTGTGTTAGAAATTTTAACATTGTGACAACACGATTCAACCCTTTATTTGTGTTCATCAGATTGTAAAAGAAGACAATAAAACATATGCAGAAATGAAGAAAAACCTCAGGAAGAAACTGAAGGAAATACGGGATACTGTAAGATCAGATTTCACTTTTATAGAGCACATTACACAAACATCATGTAACTGTATACATTATTTCATATAAAAATACACTGACAAGTCTTTACAAAATCACATTTGAAATATACAAATGAAATGTGTTTTATATCATATTTGCAGTTACATGAGATGGTGCGTGAAAATGAGAATGTTCCTGAAAACGAGCGTCTGGACCCAAAAGAGTTCATTTTGGATGTAGACACGCAGATGAGCCTTGAGGCTGCAATAGAGGAAGAAATGTTAAAAGTACTACAAATATTGATTTATACCTCATTATACTTCAAATGCCTCTATACATATGTTTCTTTCATAGATGAGGACTGACAGTAAGTGGAACATTCTGGCCAATTATTACCTCCGTGACGTCCTAAAGAGGGACCACTGGGATGCTCTGAAGGTCAAAGGCAGATCTGTGAAGGTGGGATTTGCTTGTTTTTTACATTTAATGTCAGACAAAGAAACAGTGTAACAGAATGTAAAATACAAGACAATATAATAATAGTAATAATACATTTGATTTATATAGAGCTTTTCAGGACACTCAAAGACCCTTTACAAAACAAATATTAAAGCAGTCAAGAGAGCAACAGAACCATATAGAGAACGATTTAAACATTAAAAGCTATTTTAAGTACATGAGATATAGACATACTCTGCGTGTGTGTGTGTGAGAAAGCAAATACAGTATTTGTCACATTTTGGGACTGAAAAATAGTAACTTCACAAGGATCAAAAATGTTGTCTTTTAAACTAAAAGATATGGTTTAATTTAGGTTACGATTACGATTTACATTATGCTTACGGCAAGTAGTAATGAAGTAGTAATAAAATTACTGATATAATTCCTCTTCTTTTTATTTTTTATTAAATTGTTTAAACTAATTATTAGCTAATTAGTTAATATGCTTTTTGAAAACAGTTTTCAGTCTCATTGATAACCACTGTGTTTTGGTGCGTAGGGCTTTCACTCTGACTACGAAGTGAAAAACTATCCTCTGAAAGAACGCACTAAACAAGAGCTGGAGGATCTACGATGTGTTGAGCAGATGAGGAAAATTGAAAAGGCCCAGTGCACAGTAAGCAGACTCCATGTACACACACAGACAATTAGTGGTTTAGACTCCAGATTACGCTGCAAAGGTAGTCACATGTCATGAATTATTTTCTATTCAAGTCAGTATGTTGGCTGTTTTCAATATGCAAGAATTCAAAAGGCAGGTATGTCTGGGTTGAATTGACTATGAAAAAAAAAACATGGCAGTGAAGCATTTCAAGTCAAAACAAGTTTACTGCTCGAAAATAATTTGATGCTTTGACACACAGTTCTAACTATGAACTTTTAGTGTTGTAACTTTGGGGATAGCTGAACACACGCCAATCCACAAGTCTTTCTACATTTACAACTTTGTGGCTAGCAAAAAAGTTGTCGCAAAGTTCTCAGTAATCTTTGGAGCAAGTTTATAATCACCCGGCCACAGAATCTGTCCTTAAACCTCTTATAAAATGTGTTTGTGTTGTGTTTTTCCTTCCATTTCAGAAACAAAAGGAGAAAGAAGAGGAAAGCCATGTTGACATCAAAAGCAGTTTCTCTTATGAGTTTGGGTATTCAGGTCATTACCTCTACAATCAGTTTGAAGTGCAGAGTCGAGAACAGATGGTCAACCAGATCATTCTGCTACTGGTAAAAGAACAATAGTGAACATTCAAAGTACAACTGAAGCATACTGTAGCAATAAGATGGGTTAATGAATATTATTGTATTTATTTATCATTGTGTGTCATCACTGGTTAGATAGTATATTGTATGTTGGGATCATTATTGACCAAATCTACCATTTTTGTGCCAAGTGCAAAACATCAGTAGTGATACTTGAATGGGAGACGGCTGTGAAAATTAGGCACCAGTGGTTAAAAACTGTTATTGTGTCCTTAGGCAAGATACTTGCCTAGTATGAAAATGGTGTGAGCGTGAGTGTTGGACCGATGTTGCAGCCTCACTTCCGTCAGTCTGCCCCAGGGAAGCTGTGACTACAATAGTATCTTACCACTGGTATGGAGTGAATGTATAATGCACCAGATTATAAAGTGACTTTGAGAGTCTAGAAAAGCACTATATAAGAGTAATCCATTATTATTATCATTATTATTATACAGTAGCCAAAACAAAAGAGTAGTGGAAAAAGATAAGGTGAATAAGATAAGATAAGATGCTGGGTTACTACTTGTAAAACATTTATAATTCTACTGCGTCAGAATACTTCGTCTCCTTAGCGTTGTTAACAGCAGCTGGCACTAGCTTCATGAGGTGAATACTCATTAAGATGGAAAACTTTTAAATAAAACTCTCCATTGATTTAACATTAGGCTAACTGAAAATACTCTCAGATGTGACGACACAATCCTGAACTCTATAGAGAAAACTTTTCTAAACTAATCTAATGTAATTTAGATCTTCTTTGAGATGAAGTGCTGCTGACAGTTTTAATGCAATGTACCCCATGACATTACATAAATGGTGAGCAAAAGAAAATTCAGTTCTGTCACCCATCCAGACAGAATTTAATTTTCTTTTACTATGGAACCTTCCTGGACGACTGAGGGATTACATGGGGATAACTCATTGTCATTAAGTGTGAGATTGTTATAATATGATCAAATATATTAGTAAAATAGTAAAATACTTTATTAAATGGTCACATTTTTCTTTAGTGCTTTTCCACCTTCAAGGCACTCAAAGCGCTTTACAACAAGGAACCACTCACCCATTCACACAGACACTGTGGGCAAGGTGGGTTAAGTGTCTTGCCCAAGGACACAATGACAGCATTCATCTGTGGGAGCTGGAATCACACCAGCCAACCTGTGGGTCAGTGGATCTGACCACTCAACCTATGATGTTTATGTCGAGAGCTGGAATTGAACTGCCAAACTTTAGATCAGTGGGCAAATGCTCTACCAACTGAGCTACTGGTGCCCCTTTATATTCAATTGACACATCTGAAATTACCAAACTATTTTTTGGTATCGCATTCCAAAGAGTCTGTCTTTATAGGGCGTGGTAAGTATGTCTGCTGTAGTTGGTATCTATTAAAAATGATGATAGAGGGAGGGACCGTGGTGAACCAATGTGCTAAAACTTATGCAGTAGTTAGTATAGAGAGTAAAATATAGAATAAGTGGCTACCATAATACTAAGCCTGATATACCAACAAACATATGAAATAAGATCTAAGAAAATATGTAGTATATAGAATAATGTTAAATAACTCAAAAGCAAAGCAAAGGTGGCTACTTTGAGGATTTGCATACAAAATATTTAAAATATATATTTAGTGTGAGTTATTTTACTTTTTTTCTTTGCTAAGTGATTACATATATTTTACTTCAAATTTTGATGTCTTCTGTATGTATATAAAATGTTGAAAGTAGTAAAAATAAATAAATACTGAATGAGATGGTGTGTCCAAACTATGTTACAGCAAATAACCAGGCCGAACCTTTCCCCAGGATGCAATCTATCAGGTCAAAACAGCTTTCAACAAGGAGTTTGACGCAGCCCATAGACAGAAAGTGCATGAGCTGAAGAACATCCAACAAAGAAATGCTCGCATCAAGGAGATCATGATAGAGCTGGATCGCCACGAGAATCTCCACGAGATCTGGGAGCCCAGTCTAACTGTAGCCGAGTGGCCCGAGATGCTGCTAACTGTCCATGACTCAGAGGTTAGCAGCAATATCCCATATCAAACCACTTGTTGGTTTAAGATTGTAGCAGTATGATTTCCTGTCACAGTAACCGCATACAAAATAAATTCTGTTGTTTTTTTAACTCTAGATTACAGCTGAGAAATACCTCACCCCAGAGCAAAAAGAAGAGCAGGAGAAGAAAGAGCTGGAAGAGAAGAGACGTTTGGCTTCCAAGGTATGTGCCCAATAAAACTCATGTGTTTGGGTTTTCACACTTGTTTGTTCCAGGGTTTACATTCTATAGATAGTAATCTGATATTTTGTGCCAATTAGTCCATGGGCCAGACCCCAAAATTTGACATATTAATATCACCCAAGGTGTCAAGTTCTATCAGTGTTTTTTTGAAAAGTTCCATATCCAAGCTTTATATTTTTTGGTATGATAGACATTTGTGACTTTTAGGGGTATAGTTATAAATAAAAACTTAAAACTTTATTTAAATAAAAAGTAACACATTTACTGTTTATGTTAATAAAAGCATAATTAAGTAATACTAAATGATTATTAAATTTACTTTATATGAGGTATGAAAAGGGCACTATGTATGTACATGTTCTAGTGATAATATACAGATATTTTTGTTTGCCTGGAATTTTCCACAGTATTGCGTTGGATTTGTCTAGTTTACATGTATTCTTAATTCTTTATTCTTACTTAAAAACAACATTTTTGTACGTATACACACACTGGAGACAAATGATCTGGAACTTGACCTGGTTTCCCTTAAATACACTATAATGAAAAAAACTATAGCTGAAACCTGAACTATTGAATGTAGTATAGTTATGGTTAGAAGCATGGTATCCCACATTCAGTGACTAATAATGACAAATATATTATTACGTTATGAACGATGACGTCTTGTTTCTGTGGCTTTAGCACATTCATTGTACTGGGAGTCGCCATATGCACCTGATAAACTACAATATTGTTTTTTTTTTACTAAATAACAATGCACTGGTGTTGTCCTATTTGCAGGGTAATAGCGCCAGGGACAAAGCTCTGGATGACATGATGAACGGAGTGCTTGAAGTGAAGAAAGAGGACATCCTAAAATCAGTGAGACCTTTTTGTTAAGAAACATTTTGTATTTTTGTTAGGGGACGTTATATTATGTTGTCTTTGTAGGGAGTATTACTGTAAATGTTCCAGTATCTGTTCAGTGAATCCGACACTTGGTTGGTGCCAGCTGAATTAAACAAATCAGGGCACATAGCTTCTTTTGAATTGACTCCACAGGAAATTCCTCCTCCTGAGTTTGTTTTGACCAAACCTGAGTCCCAGTGGAGCGAGGAGGAGAAAAGGATGCATAAAGACTATGAGAAGAAGTGTGAAGATCTGAATGACGAAAAGGACAAATACAGAAAAGTAAAAAAATATATATATGTACAGTATATATGCAAGGCGTTCAGTATTTTCTTGCGTGCAAGCTGAATGTACACATTTTTCATGTTTAATTTTCAGGTCTTGGAAACTGGAATGAGAAAACTGCAGATGGCCACAAAAGAAGCGACTGAAAAGTTTGATGAAATTCTGGCAAAGCTGTTTGAGCGGAAAATTAAGTGTGAAATGGCTGTAAATCAGGTGAAGCCCCACTTACTGTAATAAAATACAACACTGTATTATATAAGCTCTGGTAGTAGAAAATACAACAATTAAATAAAAAAGCTTTGGTTTATTAGTCACTAAAATAAGCAATGAGCATTTATTTATGGTTAAGATTATGGTTAATACTTTATTGTCCTAAATTTGTCCTTTATTTAACCCCTTTTTCAATGCTGCTGAAGCTATCTGTCAGGAGGGGACCCATTTCCAGATCTTGACCTAGGCCTGTTCAGGATGATTTTAATCTCTAATTTTATCTATTGTGCATGTTTTGGGTTCAGTTTTTACACATTTTGCTAATGCACAAAATATTGCAAAAGTTTACTATTTGTGTCTTTGTAAGTGGAAATATAGTTGGCTAAAATACCAGCCTTACATTTATATATATATAAAATACCAAATTTATCTGGGACAGACAGCACTATAAATATGTTGTTTCCAGACAGAATATAATATAACCTCTTTGACACTGTATTTGTGTATATTCTAACTATAATTTTGTGCCTACCATGTTGTTTTCTCCACAGGAAGAGTTAAAAATTACCAATCTGTGCTACTCCCTGCTCATTGAAGAAGAGCTGAGAAACCGGGAGGTGGAACTCAAGCTCAAACTTGAACAAGTGCTGACATACAAGGTCAGAAAATCCAAATTTTACCTGAATGCTGGAGGATTTTATCACCGCTCACGAGAATATAACTATAACTATAAATAATTCTGCATTTTACATACCCCATGCACAGGTTTCTTGTGCAAGTGTGAACCTGTGTGGGAATGCTCATAATTTCAAATGCAGAGAAGATTTAAATCAACTATAAAGAGCAGACATTATATTGTTTTGGCAGGATGATATCGCAGAGGAGGTGGTGAAATGTGAAGATGAAGTGGAGCAATTTCGCATGACTTACGACACTGTAGTAGCTGAGGATAAAGTGGGTTATATACAGTTGATAGTAAAATTAAATTTGCTTTATAAACTTTAAAATTGACTGTTGTTGTTTTCAAATATTGTCCCTCAGGATCTTGACAAAGAATTTCGAAAAGAGTTCAGTGATGTTCCCAGCCACTTTGTTGACGAACTGTATAGGTTGTTCAAACGTAGACCCAGGTTTGTTGTTTACAAGTTCTAGGGTTAAATGATTTTATTTTTTGTGATTAGTAATTTACTGTTCTTTTCTTCAAGTGTTTAATGTCAGGGTGATAATGTGCTTTTAACATAACGCAAATACACACAAAAATAACATGCAAAATCAATCAAAAAAATATGATGACTGATTTTGATTGATGATGATAAGATGATTTTTCTAATAAGTGATAAGTTTAAATGCAACCTGGAGAATTGACAAAAAGAAGTATGAGCTGACAAACATTTACAAGAATCACATTTTGTAACATGTTTGTACAGTTCTAAACTACATGGGTAGCATTTTTTGACAGATGAAACTGAATATATTACTGTTTGTGGAGAAAATGTTCACTCAAAATTGCTGCCAAATATAAACTGATGGTTGATGATGATTTATCTAGCAGCGATAACAAGTACATTCCAATCTAAAGCATAATACAAACATTATAATATTTTACTGTTTTGTCATATATATATCTATATAGGGTCCAAAAGATGAGAGCACAGACCACTAAAAACCCAATCCCATTCAAAGACCCGCTACTGTCTGGGTCCATGGCTCCAGAGAGTCTTGGGAAGCTGCTGATGGCCGTGGATGAGATGGACTCGCCTCAGAATATGCCCAAGAACCTGAATCCTTTAATCTGGGAAAGGTTCTGCATTTTCAGGAGAACCAAAATAGAGAAAGAACACAAGGTAATACAACATGTTTTAAAGACGCATTGCACAAATTTTCTGGTGAAAGGTCCATCACTTGCTTGTCTCCATGGAGATGTTTTTGCTTTGCCTGGAATGTTCCATGGTATGACAGGAAATCTATCTAGCATTTATTCATTACAGGTGTTTCTATTGCTCAAAAATACAATCATTCTCTCTGTGAATAGGGTTGCCTCTCCACAGATCTGACATGTAATGTAGCAAATATTTTTCTCACTTGAGACTGTGGAACATTCTAGATCAAGCAGTAACATCTCCATTAAGACAAGCAGATGACGAACCCTTCACCAGAAAAGTTACGCAATGCACCTTTAAATGTCAACAGTTATGTATATCTGTCAAACATAAATTAATCATTATTTATAAAGCACTTTCAAAATAAGGGTTACAAAGTGTTACAGACTCAGCATAGAACAATAACACAAAAAGCATAAAAATGGAAAACAGGAAGCATATAAAAAGAAACAAAGAAGCAGACAGTCAGTGACCATGGCTATATTTACATTCCCACCAAAGATCTGACCGTTCTCTGATTTTTGGAGTTATCAGATGTAAACAGAATAATTCTGTGAAATTGATATAAACAGTGTCAACATTGGATTATTGACAGGATTAGGATTTATAAAATTATTAAAATGACACTGTAAACAGCAAAATCATCTGATGTCTCTCTGTTCATAGTCTCTCATCAGTTACTCACATAAGATTTTATGGGTTGCAAGTCATTTTACTAATCTTAAAGGTCATGAACTAGGATTATAATCAGATTTGGGTGTGCCTGTAAACGGCCAGCGACATCTGATGTGAGTAATTTTCTTGTTCACACCTGTGCAGGTTTTGACAAGGAAAAATATGCAAAAAAAAAAAAAAAGAAAAAGAAATTAAACCAACGTGGCAAAGGCAACAATGAAAAAAGTGAAGAAGAAATATGATACTTTTTTAAAATGAATTGCAAAACAATTACTATAAAAATCCAGTGATCATCTGAATATTCTAGCTATCTAATTTTTACCAGTCATGTAAATCAGTGTACCCACTGTTATGTTATTCAAGTCTTATCAGATTGGCAGTGGTAACCTAGAATGTGATACAAACCCAGAGCAGCATTGCCATCTCATTTGCCTTTTACAAAAATATCTGTTGACCTAAAGTATGACAGGAGCCAGCCCCATGGCCTATTAATACTCACATACTTGTCATTTTTACAGCTTACTGCTCGTCTTATCAGGTCTATAAACAAGTATTCTAACTATTTAGCTGAATAACTGTACCTGTATAGTGTATATTATATTATTAAAATTTGTTTTGTAAATATACATTTCATGCATATCTATTTTTAACATATTTATTCATATTGAAGTTCTATTCTGTGGTTGCAGTGCTTTTAAATTGTTTTGTTTGATAGTTTATAATATATCTGTGAGAGCTAAAAATAAAAATTTAAATTAAGTCAATTTAAAAAAAGACAAAAGAACATAATTTAATAATTTAGTAAGTACATTTTCTGGCTGGCCATATTGACTTTACTTTATCATTCAGAAAGTTTGACTATTTTATAAAACTAGAGAAATGTGAATGAAATATGTTTTTGGATTTCTGTTTGGTCATGGTGTTAATAGATATGAATAACTGTAAAATTGTGACATTTCTTCCTACAGTAATCTTAACACTAAAAGTAATATCCCTTGTAGACCCATAAAGTTTGTCTAAGTATATCTGTATACATCTACATACTGTCCTCATGTGTAAAAATGTGACTATTTTTATGTTTTAATTTGTTTGTATTGTGTTTTGAATGTCTTATTCTATGAAGCTATTTGAATTACTTTGTATATGAATTGTGCTATACAAATACACCTGCCTTGCCTAGTTTTATATTGTATTTACCATTTACAGGTAAAAATGAATGCCATGACTCTAGCTGAGATGCTAGCATTTCTGCAAAAAAGGAGGGAAGAGGAGAGAGCCGCCATTGAAGAAATAAAAACTATCTCTGAGGAACTCCAAAGGTATGTGTCATAATTACGGAATGATTATAGATTTTTAAACAGACAATTGCTGTCTTGACTTTTATGGAGTGATATCTTATTTAATGTTTGCAGACTGCATAAAGTGAAGACGCAATTCATGGTAGACCCCAAGATCCAGGTCTTACTGAAATGGGGCCAAGTAGAGATGTACGATACAGAGCTCACAGTGGACTACTCCAACTATGTGTTAGTTGATAGAAGTATAGTGGGAAACCTGAACAAAACTATTACTGTGAGGCATTATTATTATTATTCTCCAAAAAAAACTACTCATATATGGAACAGTTTTAATGCTTATAGTGTTTTCTTAGATGCTTGGAGAACAGAAGATCTCAACCATGGTGGCCTGTAAAGACTTTCGCAAAGGCATCATTCAGCAGGAGTGGGAAAACACAGTAAACAAGATGCGCATTGAAGATCTACAAAATGAGGCTAGAGATATACAAATGCTAAAGCTCTCTGAGGAGCAAAATGAGGTAACACTACTTTTAACAAATAGTTGGTTGCAAATAGTAGCGACACTAAATTTGAAACACTCAAAAAGTGGATGTCAAAATGAACAGATTTGTAGTCTGTGATAGGAAGAACACTTTGAAATTGTATTTAGTTACAAAATACTTAATATCTACATTAAAATGTATTTATTCATGTTTGTAATTCTAATATATGGGACATTCATAGTACTGTATTCTGTATACTTATAATACATTGACATTGAGTTGCATTTAAATAGTAGTGTAAAGTAAAGTGTAAAGATGCAACATTGTATTAAAAACAGATTTATATTTATTTCAGTTTTTAAAGCATTTCCTACTAATTTGAGATGGAAAATCACACATGCACTCACCAAAAGAGCAGAGTTTTCTATTTTTCTCACTGATTAAGTGCAGTTTGAAGCCTAAATTACTTGATCAAATACCATAATGTAAGTAACTGCATTCTAAATCCCACCGAATGAAAAAGTAACTGTACCTGAATAGTATTCAGTTACTTCCCATCACTGCTTGTAGTTCTAAAGAACGTCCTCTCTCTGCACTTAAACAGGAACTCCGTCAGCAGTTTGATGCAGGTCTTGATTTGGCAGAGTCATATAATTTGTAGAGAGAAAATTGTTATCAGATGAATCTGATAACATGCAGCTGTTGTGTTGTGATGTGTTTGTGATAACACTGACAAATGATTCTTTTCTGAGTTGGGGTTTACCACCTACATGTTTATTGCATCTTTGAATTCATGATGAATGCACATAGCTACACATAATACACACATAGCACATAAGTAAAAACATCTAGTCATTAAGGGTGGATTCAACTTATCCTGGTCTGTGCTCAGTTTTAGGCCTGTTCCAATTATTACTATATAAATTTACTTTTTAGTGTATGATAGTTATATATTTTGGGACTCAGTATTAATAATGGCTACTTTGTCTTTGCAACGGTGGTTTAGTTTTTGTCATTTATGTGTAATACGATAAGATTTGAGCTGTAGGGAGTAGAATAATTCACTTCTGTTGCTGATTATTGGTTCATTCTGCTGTTTATTTGTTTGTTTTAATATTATATACTTAAAAACTGGTTTACTGAGATTATCCTGTAGTTCCAATATTATCGTTTATTGCAATATTTTCTGTATATCTACATATCATGCTTCAAAATGTGTTATCGTGACAGGCCTACCCAATCTAGTCCTGATGTAGCCATATTTGGTTGTTTTAGTTCTGGTTCAGTCCTGGTCCAGCCCAGATTAAGTTTTGATGTGTTGTGCGAGCAAGTGTGATTGTAGCTGAAGGGCAGAGGTGATCTTAAAAAAATTAATATCATATGAGTCACCCATCGCACCATTTTCAACAAGTCCAAAACACAGCACCACAATATTTCTTCAAGCAAGAATGCCAGTTTGGCATCAGGTTCAGGTAATTCTTTAGGTGCGGCACGCTTTCCTGTCTTTGTGTAATTCAGTTTAATACAGGAAAAAAACATAAAAAGTATGATAAATTCACCCCAAATGCTCCATTGTTAGTGTTTTATAGTTTTTAGTTTTATGTTGGTTATAAAAGTGTGTACATATACATTTTAATCAATTGTTTTCACAGTATCTCGACAAGACTGATAGAGAAAGTCGGGTGTCTAAGCAAGTCACTAGCTTGGAGAAGACTATAGCATTTGGAGAAAAGGTAAATTAAAGGTGTACTGTTATTTTTGGATTGGGGGTTCGTCACTTTCTTGTTTCTATGGAGATGGTCTTTGCTCTGCCTGGAATGTTTCACAGTATATGACCCTAAATAGCTCTATGTTTCATTTATTAAATTACAGCTGGTTTTATAGTTCAAAAATACCTCAAAAATTAGGCATTTTTACTGTGAGTGGGGTAGCCTCTCCACAGATCTGACCTGTAACTTGGTCTGATTTGGTTTCCATGAAGATAGAAAGGTTTAATAGCATACTGTGAAATATTCCAGACAAATCAATAACATCTCCATGAAGAAAAACATCTGACAGACCCTCCACCAAAAAAGTTACACAATGTACCTTTAATATACACAGCATTACTGTAGTTTATAATTGTAAAATGTATAACTCATACATTTATAATCCATACATATACTTTTTCAGGCTCATCTAAAAAAGGTGGACCATCGCAAGCAGAAAATTAAGCAGCTTGAACAGCAGGCCAAGCTCATGTCTGACAAAACCTCAGTGCTAGAGGCCCAGAGGAAAGACTTGGAAGTCACTGTGTCAGAGTTGGCACACATGTGTGACAGAATAGGTAAATAATACAGGCATTTTAGTGTTCAGTTTTATTCATTTAAGGTGCTACCTATGGAGATTTCATTGCTCTGCTTAGAATGTTCCACAGTATGACATTAAACAGCTCTACCTTACACTTATTACATTTTATATATTTATAGCTCAAAAATACCTAGAAAAACAGGCATTCTGATTGCGAGTGGGGTTGTTTCTCCACAGATCCAACCTGTAACTTGGTCTGGTTTGGTCTTCATGAAGATAGAAAGATTTAACACCATACTGTGAAACATTCCAGACAAAGCAATAACATCTCCATGGAGAAAAGCATTTGACGGACCCTCTACCAGAAAATTTACACAATGCACCTTTAAGGCACAATACAACAAATATAATGTTATGTAATGAGGATGAACAAACTAAAAATCGCTTGTTTGGTTTCTAGCTACAGATGATCCATCATTGAAAAGAGAGGAACGTAACCAGGAGATTGTCCAAAGGCGTAAACTGAAGGAGCTGGCCCAGGTTCAGGCCGAGGAGCTGTCCCTGCTTAAGGCGGAAGTGGAACGTCTCAGGACAAAGAACTTTCCCTCTCTCAACCGGCTGCAACATCATTAAAATGCATGATTTAAAAAAAGAAAAGTGTTAAAGAAGGTCCAAACAAATAATAATTAATAAACAATCAAAACTTTATAACTTAAGGTATTCAGCAGCAACAAAATGAGTGTGTGTGAAAAGGTTTGGTTCACATTTTAGAATTAAATGTAAAAACTGGAATACATTACAGGGTAAGTGCCAATCTTACTCTATATGGTACAAAAACGGTACAATATATCTGTGATCTGGCAACCATCACAACTGTTTTTTCAAAATTTTCAAACTATATTGTCACCGGTCCATATAACTAAAACAAAAGTTATTGTTAAGTTTAAGATGTTGTACCAGCTGCTTCTTGTGCAAAAACCCAGTAATTTCTCAGAAACAGCACACATTTGCTCTTTCACACTTGAAGAGAACAGTCTTCCACAAATATTGTCCAACTCAGTTTTAAACAACTTTTGGAATGCCTTGAACTCATACATCTGTAACCTTTCATTACACTTGTTATGTTGTGAAGTCCTCCTCTGTGCGATCAAAGTGCAGAATATTGTCCTCCAAGCCAAACAGATCTATGAGTTCTGATAGACTGGCTTTCTTTCCATCTTGGGTAACTTCTGACTGCAGTTCATAGAGCGCAGCCTGGGCACAGCTCCTCCACTTGTCAATCAAGGACTGGAGTTGTGTAAGATTATTCTGAGGAAAAAAAAGCACATTTAATATTTGTATTCATCTGGTAGGCATTGCTTTATATTAAAGATGCACTATCTTTATTTTGCCTCCAAGGAGACGTTGCTTTGGCTGAAATGTCTCGGCAAGTATGGCATTGAACATATCTACAGTATATCCATGAAGACAAGCAGGTGGCATCAAAAATCTACTGGTCACATCTGTGGAGAGGTGATCATGCTTTATAGTAATGCTTGGTTTTCAAGGTCTTTTTTTTGTAACTTAAGACTTATAATAATAATAATTGCTAGATACAGAAGTTTAATATATGTAAAATTCCAGGCAAAGCAGCTCATTCATAAGACAAGCTGATAGCAGACTCAGAAAAATTACATATTTCTGTTCTTAAAATTCAGCTATTACCTTGCTTCTATACATCTTAACCATCTTTAATCTTCTCAGAGTCTCTGTCTTGTCTTTCACTTCCTTTTTAAGTTGCTCGAGTTGTTGGGTCAAGTTCAGACATGGTTCGGAAATGGGTCCAATACTGCAGCATCCTTCTGCGTTATTTGAACTGAGCACGTTTCTGTTCAGTGGAGGATTATTAACTGTCTGTTTGATGGCTGTTGTTGGGACTTGTTGGGGTTGGACTTCATCCTCCTCTTCATCCACACACAAACGTTTGGCCACGCAGATGGGAGAGGTGAAGGACCGCCTGCATCTTTTCAGCCTCTCCCTCAAAGAAGCGCTGAGTTTGTGGTGAGACTGTAAACATGACAACATCGCGCCGTTAATAATTCGTTTTGTACAGATGATCGGACAGCACAGAATAATATAAGCAGTAAATACCTTTTCTGCACTTGAGACACTCGGACTTATGTCTCCTGTCCCAGTTTCTTCGGGAGTGGAATAAACAGATTTGAATTTAGTTGTTGCTTTTGGAGTGATTTCCATCGCTACAAGTTGAGCTAAACTGGCTTCATCGGAGTAAACGTAAAAAAGATCAGCTCACGTCGGGACAAGTTAGAAACTGTACTTTTTTTTAAGAGGCTTTTTTAGTGAGCGTGTACAGTTAGTAAATCAAGTAAACAACGGTGTACTATCTTCACTTCCGTGTTTTTGAGCTCAAGAAAGCCTCCAAAGCTAGTGATTGGACGAGTCTTAGTGACGTATAACCGAAGGGAATATTGGGAAATGTAGTCGAGAAGATCTATTTTGGCTTTTTAAAAAAACACACAGACGTATTGTGTCACATAGCTTAAATGGTTTACACATTAATAACGTTATTATAATATATTATAATATAATATGAACATTGTATTTACCATATTTACCGTATCTGTTTGTCCTGTGTGTTATAGTGATAACAAATACACATAGCTGGTCTTTTAATAGGGGCAGTACAAAGTCATAACTGAATCATCTTGATCATGTTGGCTCCTCAGGGGCTCTTTAGAGCAGCACTGGGGGGGGCAACAGCTGATTATTAGCCACTTCTTGGTCCTTAAATAGGAGCTGTTACAGCATATCAAGACTCACAGCCAGCTAGGTAACTATTTATTCTGTGATGGGAATAAATACGTGATGGGGCCAATCAGAAGTGTTATTGTATACACAACTTTTTTTCTAGAAAATATGGCCTGGGCTTTCAAATTAAGACTTAGTATTTTCAATTTTGTAATATTAGGTCTAGTATTTTGAGAAACGTTTGCCACTATACTGTAAGTATGTGGTTTTGATTTCAATAATTTGTTAAAATATCATTATATTAATAACAATGCCTTGGTTTATATTACACCACCCCTTTAAAGACTCAAAGTGCTTTGCATTGCATTTTCCACACTGCATACTCAATAGAACAAATATGATTGGATTGGCTAGTTCACTTGTCAATCACGCCCATCTGAAAACGGGGAGAATCACTGGTGACCAGACTCACATCTTCATCAAGTATTGAAGAACTGTGTAATCTGGACCCCAGGCAAGATAACAAGGACTGAGCTGGCAGGGAGTGCTCTGAGTACAGCACAGACATGCAAATACAGTTTTATATTTAGATCATGAACCTACCATATTAAGAATGAGGTTGTATAGTGTTTTGCTATATTATTGTTATTATTGTACTGAGTCAACACATTACCCTGTGACTAAACACGAGCCGTATTTTAATAATAGATCTATTATTACATAATAGACTCTCTCTGCACATTATTATACCAACTCATCACTTTCAGAGTTCTTCTCCACTTCTCTTTCTCTAAAACACTGCTTTTGTCTGCTTGTGTCTGCTTATGTCTCTGTTACTCGGCGACCGCTGGTGATGGGTTCGACTCACTGTGATTCACCACTGATTCACCTCTATTTAAAACACATTCTCAGACTAATTATGTCTTTATACGATTGATAGTGTGAACTTACCTCTATCTCCAGCCTGCTTTCCCCCTTCTGTAGCCTGGAGGAGAGGTGTGAATTATAAACCAGTACCTGCCCTGGCATGAATAATGCTACTTTAGTGAAACTGCACACCTCCAGGTCATGGGAATTTGTATCTTTCTGAACGTTTGAATGAGCAAATATAATCATATTTAAAGTGCTTATGATATGGTGAAGGTCCTATATTACACAAAATCTACTCATGTGAGCTTTAAGGCATCAAAAACATACTTGAAGTTGTGTTTTCTTTCATTCACACATGTTTGAGTTACAGCAGCAACCTTTTGCCGATTGGCAGTAAAGATTCCAATGACACTGTATGGAGGTTAAAAATACTACCTATATTACCACATGACATCACAACAGAGTGGAACTGAGTGCTTTCTGGCTGAAAGAAGAACTCAGCCTAAATATGCAGGATTTGTGTGTTAAACGTGTGTGAATGAAAGAAAACACAACTCCAGGTCTGTTTCATTATAACATGAATCAGAAAATAACATATTATGGGCCCTTTAAATATGATTCCAATGTAGTTTAATGTTTAATGTCTGATGACCTGTTCCTTATTGTATATAGTTACAGAATTTAGAGTCTCATAGCAGCCAGTGAAGTCATACAAAGTTAATATCTCAATGCCAATAATGACTAAAGGGTGAATGGTCTGGCTGCTGTTGTGCAAACCTTGGTAATATTAGACCCAGTGAAATACATGTAGTTGTATTTAGTTCTGTTAAGTCAGTTGGGCAGGTTTATTTGTTTATTTATTTATTCGACAGGGTTTAAAAGTCATGTTCTGCAGGGGTGGTCTCAGAATAGTAGTTTGAATTTACGGCCAGGGCTATTAGCATTACAGCACATAAAGTCCTCATATACTTAGCTCTTGGATATAAACTAAAATTAGACAAACATGTAAGGCTTTATTGGACTAAGGTTAAAGGCTGTCTATGGTAAACTTGACTGTTGGAGCCAGGCCTGTCATGATAGTAAATTTTCTGAAGTACGATATACTCTATTACGGCAGAAAAATATCACAATAACATAGATAGTATTTTATATCACTGACACAGTAGTCTTAAAGGTGCATTGCATAACTTTTATAGTGGTAGGCTTGTCACCTGCTCGTTTCTATTGAGATGTCATTGCTCTGCCTGGAATGTTCCACAGTATGACATTAAACAGCTTTACCTTACATTTATTCAATTACAGGTGGTTTTATAGCTCAAAAATACTTAGAAAAACAAGCAATCTGACAGTAACCTTGGGTGCCTTTCCACAGATCTGACCTATAACTTAGTCTGGATTGGCCCTCCTCCAGAAAAGTTACACAGTACACCTTCAAAGCAGTATAAAACTAGTAAACCTTTTTGCTGTGAACAACATGGTAAAAATGTGTCCAGCAATAAATACATAACATAATTAAACAATTTAGTAGTTAGTTCTAGTATCTATAAGTATCATACTGTAATTAAGTCCAGTTCAAACATTATCAAATTGGCTTAATATTACAACAAAAATAAAAACTGCAAAGTGCAAAGGAAATGCATTTGTGATATTTTCTAATACTGAGCATGAAAAAGTAAAGCTCTTTCTGTCATATATTGAAGTCAAAGCAGTAATTATCATGACAGGCCTAAATGGAAATTAGGTTCATGTTTGCCAATAGTAAAAATAAGAAACATGACTTTGTGGTGTCGCTTAGGTGAAATTCAGCAAGTTCTTAATCAGACCAACAGATAACTACAGTTTATAAAGGCAGATACACAGGAAGGGGCAGAGCCTTCACTGTTTCCTCTAGGTCAGGGCATTCCATGGACTCTGCTGGAGAGTGGGCTCCAAGTCTCACTCTGTTAATGGTGGCTTAATGAGTTGTTTATGGTGTATTGAAAAACACAACTATCTGTGCCATAACAGTAATGACTCTACAGGGGTTGGCATGAAAAATAAGTAAATGTTAAAAATGCATTCTGTCTGTGCAAGGTGAATAATTATTGAATTGTACTTTACTTTGTAATTTCCCTTGTGAATCAGTTAAATTCGTATTAATTTGCTCCACCTGATATTGGAGTTTTTATTTCACTATTTTGGTCTTAAATAAATCCCTATTCCTCATGTGGCTCCAAATTCACTCCTATAACTGCCAGCATCAGTGAGCTTTGTTTGACTAGAGCTGAATGCTATTAATCTGTGTATCATTCATTCATTCATTTTTCAAAATAAAACCAAAAATAAGAAAACAAAAAAACAACTATTTTCTTCATTATTTGTCTCCAAAACCAATATGAAAAAAATGTTTTTTTCAGTTTTTGATTTTGTGTTTAAATGAATAATGGAAAAAACGTATAATGGCCGTTTCCTGTTTCCTTGACTTAAACTGCGATGCCGGACTTTTGCGCCGCACGGACTGAACCAGGACTAAACCACAACTGAGATCGAGACCAGACCAGCACTGAGACCTAGACTTGGTTTCGTCCTGGTTTAGTTCTGGTGTAGCCCTGTTTTAGTCCTAGGATCAGTCCTGGTTCAGTCCCGGTCTGATCCCGGTCTCAGTCCTGGGCTGGTCCTGGTCTGGTCCCACAGTCTCAGCCCCGGCCTCAGTCCTGGTCCCAGTCTGGTCCCAGTCTCAGTCCCAGTATGATCCTATTCTCAGTCCTGGTCTGGTCCTGGTCTGGTCCCACAGTCTCAGCCCCGGCCTCAGTCCTGGTCCCAGTCTGGTCCCAGTCTCAGTCCCAGTATGATCCTATTCTCAGTCCTGGTCTCAGTCCTGGTCTGGTCCTGGTATCAGTCTTGATCAGCCAACAGTGTATGTGGGTGCACCTCCAGGCCTGTCCCGACACTCCTCCTGGTTCAGTCCAAATGCGGTGCAAAATCCGGCATCACAGTTTGCATCACGGAAACGGGAAACCATTATCTGTTTTTTCCATTATTCATTTAAACACAAAATCGAAAACTGAAAAAATTTATAATTATTAGGGTTATCTTATTTTTGGTTTTATTTTTCTGGTTTTATTTTGAAAAACATATGAACGAATGATACCTGGATTGCTATGGATGACGTCACACTCAGCAAACTCCTTTATACAGTCTACAGCATGATGGAGGGCGTGGAGACCAGACTAATATCAACCTGTAATAATAAAATAATAAAAAACACACAGAGATCTCAATCTGGATTTACCAGGTAACACCTCAGGTACAGATTTCCTGCAATAAATTACACCCACCCATATCACCAGTGCAAATAACTGGCACACGATGAATGCTTTTCTTTTCTCTGTCTCCATTGTAGTTGGTAATAAAAAGTTGTCATCATATTCATATCAAAGTCTAATCAGATGAGTAAAGATAACAGAGTGTACGTACAGGACAAGTGGAGGCTGGCATCAGAAAACCACTGTTGCCGCGGGTAACCTACACCTCCAGAGCTCATAACTGCAGTGAACGATAACAGAGATGGTACTTGTTTTTATATGCTAAGAAAACCACAACGAGATTGATACATGTGTTTGTGTAGCATATTTCGAGGACATGTATTTCTTATGATGATGTCTAAAGTCAATTGTGCGTAACATACTTTTATTGAACTTTTTTTGTAGCTGTCTCTCATCAATGCGGGGATTTCAAATCATCCAAGCAACTCCTGTTTCCAAAATATGGGTGTAATTACATTTTATTGAGTTATTTTGATTCTCAGAGAGTATAATAATTGGTATTGATAGTAGATATTGGGTCCAAATCTATTTTCTTTCTATTTTCTGTATCTTTGAATGCAGAGAATTTATATTACTTGTAGAGGTCACTATGTTAAATTCAGGAAGTAAAAGGTCCTGTACTCCATTTTTTTCATGCATTTTCTTTTTTTCATTTGCATTTGCACAAAAACTGTTCCCTCAGTACAAATTTATGGTATAAGCAGATCTTGAGGTTAAAATAAGTCCATTATCCATTAATTATAAGACGCTTTATTGTCCATAAATCAGGAAGTGTGCTGTGTTATTGTCCGATAATCAGGAAGTGCACCGTTAGCATGCTAGTTGCTGTTAGCATTACCATGATGGCAGTTGTGAAAAGTGCTTATAAACTCATCAGGGTGAATAATTAAGATGCTTGGAATGCATAAGGTAAGAAATAAATTTGGACTACTGCAAACTGTTTTTACTGTACTTTCAGGACAGTAAAAATCAGGTACAGCGTCTTTAACAGTCTACCCATTAGACAGACCCCCAGTATTATCTTTTTGTGTGAGAGGGTTAACCACTCTGCCACTGCACACTAATGAAGACATGAAGTGAACTACAAGAAACCTAAACCTCTCCCTATATCTTAAGGGTGATATTTTTAATAGCTTCTGTGAGTGCCCCCATCATCATGTATATATTTATATCCACAATTGGGACTTCCCACTGAGTAAGGTCTCGTTTTTAATAAGACTCAAGTTACAGGATCTGACTGAAGACCCTTAGAAAACCTCTCATCAGACCTCCTTGTTTTGACAGCTGCTGCTTCCAAATACAGAATGAACTTTGGACTTCAACTTTAAAGGTTCATTGTGTACCTTTTCCTGTGGAGGATCAGTTAAAATGCTTGTCTCCATGGAGATTTATTACTTTGTTTGGAATGTTTCACAAGATTATATTAAAGCTTTCTATCGCCATGGAGACCAAACCGGTCCAACTTTCAGGTCAAATCTGTGGAGAGGCCACCACGCTCACAGTCAGAATGCCTTTTTCTCTAGGTATTTTTAAGCTTTAAAACCACCTGTAATTGATTAAATGTAACATAGAGCCTAGTAATGTCACGCTGCGGAACATTTAAGGCAGAGCATTGATATATCCATGGAAACAAGCAGGTGACAGACCCGCTACCAAACACACTAAGCACAAACTTAGGTAATTTAAAGGTGGGCTGCGAAATACCAACATCCAGTGGAGGGTCCGCTACCTGCTTGTCTCCATGGAAATGTTATTGTGTTGTCTAGAATGTTCCACAGTGTAGATTAAACCTACCACAAGGGAGACAAGCAGGTTATATCACTACACTACATTACAATTCAGATCACAGAAGGAATTATTGTATTTTTGAGCTACCGAAATACACGGATATGTCAAACGTCACTCCATGGAACATTGTAGATAAAGCAATAACATCTCCATGGAGACAAGTAAATAGCAGACAGACCACAAGAAAAGTTACGCAGTGCAGCTTTAATACATCGTACTGTGGTAAACTGTTATCGGGACTACATTGACTGGAAATGTGTGTTATCATTACCTTGGTATGTCCTGCCCCGACATCAAACTTCTCTTCATCTTCTTGTTGAACTTGGCATTATTCAGATCTTACACTTAGTTGCGACTCCTCCTCCAGTCTCTCTCCTTGGGGCCATTTGTTTCCCATCATGTCTGCAGATTAGAACCATACTATACCAGCGGTGAGTCACCCTTGGGTGGGAGAGAGAAAACGTGGGTGGGTGACTGTACTGTACGTACTGGGTGTGGTAAAGAGGAAGATCCCAAAAGTGCTTGTGGATTGCCAGAGAAGTGAGGCATCTAATCTGTCCGAAAATGCAAAAATGCAAATGAGTGGATAGAAGTGGTTATTATGGGGTTATAAGTAAGATGTTCCCATGATGCACTGGGGCTGGGAGAGTTCTATGGTGAGGGATGTCAATAAATGAAAGCTATCATTATGACAATTATGGAAGTTTTAATGTCATGTAATGTTCAAATGGGCTTTTAAAGATCGGTGGATAGCTTGGAGGTTGACAAGACATGATTTTCCGAGTCTAAAACTGGCACAGAAACAATATTACGCAAGATTGTCAAATGTACAAATTAGCATGCTTTTTCCCTGTCAGTTATGAGTCTTCTCTTTCCAGCTGTGTTACTAACTGATATAAATATCTTATGTCAAATAATAAAGCAGCCAACAGAATGACCACTTTCCTATTGTGCTTAAGAAAGCCATTGTCAATCATGTGGAGTTTAAAGGTTCATTGCACAACTGTTTTGATGGAGGGTCCACAACCTGCTTTACCTACAATGTTCTACAGTAATCAGTGTATCATTCATTCATTTTCTTTATTTGTCTCCAAAACCGAAATGAAAAAACAGATAACGATTCATTTTTTCAGCTTTCGATTTTGTGTTTAAATGAATAATGGAAAAAACGGATAACAGCCATTTCCCAATTACATGACTTAAACTGAGATGTCAGATTGAACCAGGACTGAACCAGGACTAAACCAAGACTAAACCAGGCCTAAACTGGTCTTGGTCCTGGTCTCAGTCCCGGTCTCAGTTCCGGTCTCAGTCCTGGTCCTGTTCCCAGTCTGGTCCTGGTCTCAGTCCTGGTCTTGGTCTTGTTCCTGTTCTCAGTTCTGGTCTTGGTCTTGGTCTTGTTCCTGTTCTCAGTTCTGGTCTTGGTCTTGGTCTTGTTCCTGTTCTCAGTTCTGGTCTTGGTCTTGGTCTTGTTCCTGTTCTCAGTTCTGGTCTTGGTCTTGTTCCTGTTCTCAGTTCTGGTCTGGTCCCGGGCTCAGTCATGGTCTCAGTCGTGGTCTCAGTCCTGGTCCTCATCCTGGTCTGGTCCCGGTCTTAGTTCCGGTTTAGGCCTGGTTTATTCCTGGCTCAGTTCTGGTTTAGCCCTGGTTCAGTGCTGATTCAGTCCTGATTTAGTCAGGCATTGCAGTTTAAGTCAAGGAAACAGGAAACGGACGTTAGTTTTTTCCATTATTCATTTAAACACAAAATCGAAACCTGAAAAAATGAATCGTTATCTGTTTTTTCACTTTGGTTTTGGAGACAAATAATGAAGAAAATAGTTGTTTCTTTGTTTTCTTATTGTTGGTTTTATTTTGAAAAACAAATGAATGAATGATACACGGATTCACAGTATGATATTAAACAGTTCTGCTTTATATTTATTTGATTACACATGGTTTAATAGCTCAAAAATACCTAGAAAAACAAGAATTTTGACAGTGAGCAGGGTTGCCTCTCCACATATCTGAACTGTAACTTTGTCTGGTTTGGTCTCCATGAAGATAGAAAAATTTAATGCCATAGTCCAGTCATCCAGTCAAAGCAATAGCATCTCCATGGAGAAAAGCATCTGACAGACACTCCACCAGAACATTTACATAATGCACCTTTTAAAAAAAGTAGCTGATATTTTGTCATACTGGACTATGCCTAAAGTTCCAACATGTAACTTTTTAATAGAAAAGCATGTTTTAAATATTTTTTATATATTTTTTGTGGACTGTTCATTTTTGCTGTACTATTCCACAGTATGGCATCTGTCTCCATGGAGAATGTTAAGAAATATGGTTTCAACCTTCTATTTCCAAATAACCATGCAGATACGGTGCCAAAGAATGTCCAACAAACCAGAAATTACTGCAAAAGTATTTGGGTTTGTATGGATTCATGCAGTAGTAGTAGGTCTACTTCTAGTTTATTTCATTCTGAGATTGCTTGTATATGTGCAATTTCTCCAAATATCGTTGAATTATAGTAATCTGAAGAGAATGGAGAATTGTTGCTTATAAAACACGATAAAGGTGCGAATGGCTCTTTTGACAGCTACACACTGTAATTTTAAAACGACTGGACCAAAGTATTTGCAACCAAACGCTTCATAACAAAAAAGTCAGGTAGGGTAACCCCGCATTTTGCCTTTAGCATAAACATTACTGTACGTGTGATGAAACGTTGCTTATACATTCAGTGACAATGTCTGCGTTTACTAGTAAATCTTTCCAATGTGGATGCCAGATGTGGTCCGAGAGCAGCTGCAGTACAATAGATGAGTAGACCTGAAAATGGCTGAGTTGAAACAGTGGCCAGCCTCTCCCTCCTACGCCCCACAAGAGGAAAAAAGACACGAGGGGGGGTACTAGGCGAGGCGAACTTACAGCCCTCTTCCAAAAACCCCACTCACCATTACGCACACTCCAAACTTTTGCTATTTTTCAAAAGTAGTGACTAAACCAATCGTAACTGCGAGGGGAGGTAGTTTTATTTCTTTACTGTGGTCGGGTTGACGCTGTGTCTGTGCACGGTGGAGATTGACACAAGTAATTAGTTGCCTACGGGTCTGTTTTCTCTCCTCGCTCTTCTTCGTCGTTTTAAACGTGCCGTCTGCTGTGCTACACCTGCCTGTTTAACTCCCCAACCAACGCAGATGGGCGCGGCTGGGACCGATGCCCAAGAATCTCTGTTTTGGCTTGCCTGGGAAAGTTAAGAAAAGAAGAAAGTGAGGAAAAAAAAACGTACAAAGATTCAGAGGACGTTGGGGGACATCCCTCTTGTGCGCATCTTGGAACTATACAACAACGTGCTCAAGGACTAGACGCAGCCCCATCTTAAGTAAACTTTGGATTTGAGTGTTTTTTTGCGACTTAAAGGTATGGTTTAAACACTAAGTAGACAATAGCTACGCACTTTTTTGCAAACGTGGATGCTTTTGTTCACCTACTACCAGTTTTAACCACTAACTTGAGAACTTTTTTTTTTGTTTTAAACTTTATGGACAGTTTCGCGCCTTAAGATTTATTAGAACAAATATGCAACAAGGTAAACTTAACAGGGATGTAGGGGATCTCTGGAGGGATCATTTTTCTTCCGGTGCCGTCCTAAAAGTTGTCTGTCACTGTGATAGCGGGGTAGTTTTACATGGAGTCGCGCTGCGTTCGGGGCACGGGCTATTTACATCCGACTAAATATACTCCGGAGGACCACAGGAGTGAGTGAGTGCGCTTTGTAGGGGTCCAGTCATCCAGGGATTTAGATGATGCCCACATTGACTCAGTGGAATATGTTAGATTAGCGTTAAACTGTGAGAATGGTGTGAATTCATTTTATAGTCATTGCATTTATTGTTATTATGTGAACATAAGTAAAAGTTTATGTGCGCACGGTTCTTGATGATTTAGAAGTTTGTAGAAAAAAATGTGCGCAGGCTGGCTTTGTTAGAGCTATATAAATATTTAGCTTCCAGTGTAACCTACTACCAGATCTAAACCAGGTCTAAGCAAGCACTAAACCAGATCTTATACAGGATTAAAACGTGGAAAAAGTAGTTCTAAAGATGGACTGTCCAGCCAGAACACTTTGATGAAATTTTACAAAGATTTCTGGATTCGAGCTGAATGTAGAATTTACTATCTGATTAAAGAAGTACTACCTTAAAAAAGAGAAATTATTTTACACTAAATTAAGCAAGTCCTAGAACTAGTTTAATCTCTGTCCATCTCCAGTTAGATGAGTCCATAAATTTTGTAGTTAGTCTAAAAATGGTCTTGAAATTGTAGGTTTATGTGTAATAAAAGGTTAGTAAAGAAAAGAGTAGCCTATATAGTCCTTGTTTAGTTCTACGTTTAGTTCTAAGTTTAGTCCTGGTTTAGTCCTGGTCAGATGGTTGATTTGCAGTCTTGTAATAGTAGTCTGTTTTTAGCTCTTGTTTAGAGCTTTGGATCAGAACTGGTTCTAGTCCTGGATTAGTCTTGTGTTACTGGAACTAGCCTACATTTAAAATGATCTTCCAAGATTTGGTATAAAAATAGCTGAATCACATCTACAGAGATGCAATTTTGACTTTTCGTTATCTCCAATTTAAGAAAACAATGATTCCAGTGCACTCCTAGTTTTTGTTGCTTTGTGCCACGTTCACCTCTCATTGAAAATTACATTGAGGTAAGAAGTGTCTGAGTTCCAAATCATCAGTGAACAAAGACTAAACCAGGACCAAACCAGGACTAAACCAGGACTAACCCAGTACTAAATCAGAACTAAACCATGACCAAACCAGCAAGTATACAATCACTTATTGAAAAATATAATAATGGGATAATAATGGGATTTACGGTAGACCAGTATGAAATCAGGTCTAAACGAGGACTAAACCAAAACTCAGCCACATCTCAACCAACAACTAAACCACATGTTGAAACTCTAATCTGAATTTGTTTGTTTTGGCATTATCGTACTGTGTTTTCCAGACAATATCAAAACCTATTCAAAATCAAACTACTGTCACTATGGACTGAAAAAATCCAGCTCGAGGCTAAAGTTTTCACCTATCAACATTTCTGAATCTCGAACTACCAGTAATTCCTGTTCTTTGCTCTGATTTTGCTCATGCATTTTGAGTTCAACAATGCTACCATCAACAATCCCAAGTGCTATATTGTCCCATTAAAGGTGCATTGTGTAACTTTTTTCATGGAGGGTCCGTCAAATGTTTGTTTCTGTGGATATGCCATTGCGCTGCCTGGAATGTTTCACAGCAAGACATTAGACAGCTCTACTTTACATGTATTAAATTACAGGTGGTTTTATAGCTCAAAAATGCCTTGAAAAACATGTGCTCTGGGTTGCTTCTCCACAGATCCAACCTGTAACTTAGCCTGGTTTATTTTCCATGAAGATAGAAAGGTTTATTAAAATACTGTGAAACATTCCAGACAAAGCAATAACATTTCCATGGAGAAAAGCATTCGACGGACCCGCCACCAGAAAAATTACACTATGCGCCTTTAATCAGTTGTTGCATGCATAGCTCTTCTTCTGTGTTTTCTTTGCATCTGACCGTCTTTCCTTTTTTTGTTGCATTCGCTCTCACACGTGCATCTAACTGTCTGTGGTGGCCAGGGCGTGGTGACAGGACGGTCTATTCAGCCTTTGCACTCATCGTACTCCCTCTTTTGTTCCTTTTGTTGGTGAAGTTTTCAAACAAGCAAATGAATCCCGCGATGTGGTGAGACGCAATGTCCCTTATGATTTATGCCTTGTCTGTGGGACTGCGTTAGAACAGATTTCATTGTCGTCTTTTGTCACTCATCGCGCATAGATCAAGCGTACAAAGAGAGGAAAGTTTAAGATGGATAGTCACTGGTGGAAAGTAATTATGTGCAAATACTCAAGTTAGTGTAATGAAGTACTTTTTGAGTAGATTTTTAAAGGGACCATATTACACTTTTTTCTGACTCACCAAAAACATACCTGGAGTTGTGTTTTGTTTCATTCACACACGTTTAAAACAGAAATCCTGCATATTTAAGCTGTGTTCTTTTCTCAAACAGAAAACACTCTGTTCCACCTTGTGATGTCATGTGGTAGTAGAAGAAGAGCTCCATTGTGTTTTTAAACTCCATACACCTTTACTAGAATCATTTGGGTAATTTCAGCCTAGGAATTGCTCATCTCTATTGAACTAAAGGTAAAAGGTTCCTGTTAACTTGAAAACTACCATTGCATGACATCTCAAGATGAAAGTGAGCATTTTGAGTTTGGGAAATTTCAACAAAATAATAATAACTAATAATCACCGAAACATGTGTGATTGAAACAAAACACAACTCCAGGTTTTTGTTTTTGCTTTCTGATGAGGAAGCAACATTATACCAAGACTTAAAGCTCACAAGAGTCAGTTGTCTGTAATATAGGACCTTTAAATATGAACTTGTACTTAAAGTCAGTGGTGGAAGCAGTACTCAATTTTGTTACTTATTATGTTACGTTACAGATACCAAAAAATACTCAAGTAAAAGTATCACATGAAAAAAAATCTACCCAAGTATTAAAAATGCCCAATTAAAAATGTACTTAAAGAGATTACATTTTTAGCCACGTAACTGTACTTTTGCACGAGTATGAGCAATACTCTTTTCACCACTGAAGAAAGTTGATGTTAGGACACTCATCTGTCTGTTGTGTTGTTTCTGAAGTTAATTTTAACCCACATTTTTGCAGCATGACCTCAAACTTGTGATTTCTGCTCTTTGATATTTGAATAGCTCATTAACAGTTCATCTGACCCCATGTGTGCGTGTGTGGACAGAACTGATTTTGAGAGCAGTTTTATTACTGTTACAGCCATTAAGATGAAGGGATGGAGAGATTAACAGGAGGGATGGACTTCTCCACAGGAATGTCAGAGGAGAGGGGTGAGAATTCCCATTTGTTTATGACATTTCAGAGTCTGTCAACAAAAAGAAAGCAAAAGTGATCTGAAACACATTTTGTATCTGATATTCAGTCATATAGCCAAAAGTACAAAAGTATAAAATATTGTTACTAAAATAGATAAAAAGTTTTATTTATGAACAAAATTAAATCACGTCAAAATTGTGATCTGTCAATGCAAGAAAAAAAAAGTGATTCAGTTTTGTCCTATCTCCCACCCCATGACTAAGTATGTCAAATTATATATCGAAGTTATACAGATGTTTGGAAAAATGTGCTAATTGAGGGATTTCTTCAGAAGTCTATTACATAAGACGCCCTAAATATACTTTTTGCTTTTGTCCCACCCTTTACTTAAACATATTACTGTGTATAGGAAAGCAACTATTGTACCAACATGTCCTACACCATCAAGACCGGATTAGCTTTATTTGCAAACACACTTTAACTCCCACAAATCTCTTATCTCTCTCCATTTTTTTTTTTTTTTTAGACACATAGCGTTAAAATCTTAGGTGTATTCCCATTTTTATTATGGCTACAGAATACTATTAAAGAACTTTACACGGCTATCATTTTCGTCTTATATGTAAACTTGGGTATTTCTCTTTGCTTTGGGGAGGATTTACTGTCTCTTTGACTGCTGAAACGCTCCTCTGTTACTAACTGATGGGAATCGAAGTGATGCGTTCAGCTGGAATTTCAAATCTTGGCTCTGTTCCTGTGACTCTTTGGGGAGGCACCAAGAGGTCAAAAGTATAAAGGATGATTACACGTCTGAAACTGACCGAATCTTCCACTGTCTAATTAGTCACTCTTGGATTTTTATCTGTCAAGTCTAAGCTCTGATTTGGTTCCTCTTGTGCTTTGCAAAACAGCTTGTTGATGTCTTAGGAGCAAAGAAAAACAGTCACAGGACAGAACAAAGCTTTGTGTTGTGAAGTCTGCCAGAGGTTACAGAAAAGAATGAAAGAAATGTACTAATTGGTGATAGAACATTTTTATACACTAATTATAAACACATTTTTCTGATAAATCAAAATCAGATAGTTCAGATCATATCAAACTGTAAAAGATTTCAGTTGGGCTGATTTGAAACTTGCATTTCCAATTTGCAATTTCCTACTGTAGCATATGTTGTAGTGTTGTCACAATACTTAGGAATAGCCTTGATACGCAATACCAATTCCAATATTACGATGATGCACTCCTTCTTTAAAGGTGCACTGTGTAACTTTTCAGAGAGTCTGTCATTTGCTTGTCTCCATGGAGATTTTATTGCTTTGTCTGGAATGTCCTGATATGGCATTAAACGTATCAATCTTGCATTTACTCAATAACATGGGCTGTTATTGATGTAAAAACTTGCATTCTTACTGTGAGTGGGCTCACCTCTCCACAGATCTGACATGTAACTGCCCTGCTGTGTCAGCTGCTGTCTCCGTAGAGATAAGTGTTTAATGCCATGCTGTAGAACATTCAAAGCAATATCTTCATGGAGATAAGCAGATGACGGACCAGAAATGTTTCACAATACATTTTTAAACAAGAGAATGGCATAATTCGACATTAAATCATAGTACTTTATTACCATTTGATCTTATATCTGTGTAATCCCTCAGTCATCCAGGTAGGTTTCATAGTGGTCCATGGGCGTATACTAGCCTAGGTGCTCTTATACTTGTTCTGATACAACTCAAGATCATTATAAAACTATTCAGGAAAGGTTCATTTCTATCCTGTGAGTGCGACCTTTTTAATATCGATACCTGCTCAAATGAGTATCTACACTGGTTTCTGATTTTCGATACTTTTGACAACCCTAATGTGTTGTCTAGAGCAGTTACATCTTTTCTTCATATAGTATAAATAATAATACTGTAATCACAGTACAGTAGCCTGTGTATACTTTGCCATGTACAGAAAACAGTGAAAGTGCGTTGTCCTTATGTGCAGGTTACAGTTATCATGTTACTACTGCAGCAGTATGGGGCAGGTTGTGACGTGGCTTTGCTTTTAAAAGGGTCTCTTCTAAGGTTACATTAGAGCACAATTAAAATAAACACGAAATCTGAACAGGTATTTTTTTGTGTGCGATAATAGAGAGTGTAGCGGAAACAAAAATTTGCAAAGCTCCATTAAAGTACGTCATTATGTTCTTGGAGTTTAACGGGTATTTCAAGAAGATTACAGGTTTTAACTTGTGTGTTTATGGCACCTCATCATGGCTTAAAGGTCCTATATTATACAAAATGGACTCTTGTGAGCTTTAAGCCATGTTATAGCGTAGTTGTTGTCATCAAAACATACCTGGAGTTGTGTTTTGTTTCATTCACATGTGTTCCACCTTGTGATGTCATGTAGTGGTAGTGTTCATGTTACAGCTACCTTTCACTTTTTGTGGAGTAGAGAGTGGCAATTCCAGGCCTGAAATTATCCAAATGATTCTAGTGAAAGTGTATGGAGTTTAAAAACTCAGTGGAGCACTTCCTGTATTACCACATGACATCACAAGATGGAACAGTGTTTTCAGTTTGAGAGAAGAACTCAGCCTAAATATGCAGCATTTGTGTGTTAAACATGTGTGAATGAAACAAAACACAACTCCCGGTATGTTTATGATGAGGAAACAACATTAGCGGCATACCATCTTTTTTTTAAGTGTATGATTTATTTAAGCTTTTTCAAAATATAAAAGACAATTTACATAGAGATGTATAGTATTCAGGGCCAATATACAATGTTAACAGTTTACAATGTACACGCCTTTAACAAAAAAAAGAGAAACCAAAAACAAGAAAAAAAAGGGCAAAAAAACAAAAAAAAAAAACAAATCAAAAAACAAAACACAGGATATGTTCTACTAAAACATTTAGCATAGATATATCAACCACTTAATACCCATGAATACTTGAGCTAAAACAACACAACTCATGGGGTCACCTCCAGTGTCAGAGAAATGACATGGTCTATAAAAGGTAACCAGGCTTCAGTAAATTTAGAGCCAGAACCTTTGAGAGAGTGTCTTGTTTTCTCCAGTTTGCATCTTTAAAACTCCGAAAATGGACTGCCGTTAGCTGCAATCTTTAAAAGGTTAATGTTGGATTAGACTAGAAAATAGCTTTAAATGTATTTCTAAATGAACACAGGTAACACAAGCTAATTTATTTTTGTGCCCAAACTAAAACTTGATCATTTTCATCACGAGAAAGCCATCCAGGAACCTCTATCAGATATAAAGTACTGAATAGTCACAAAGGTTTTAGAGTAAGAAGAGAACAATCTGGAAGTAAAAAACCTAAAATCCTAAAAACAAAAACAAATCTAAAATCATTAAACAAGCAGGTTAAGTTACTTTATTTTTATGCACCCAATTCAAAATACCCACAGTTCAAAGTTCACCTCACCAGCGTAATGCATTTCTCCCTTTAAACCCCCCATAGCATGACATCATTGTTTACATAGCTAATGCGTTCATCCTGCCCACACCGCTGAGCTCTTCTAGGGTTACCAACTTGACTTGTGCTAGCTTTTGGTATTCCCGTTAAGTTTACTTTACTTTTTAGGGGTCGTCATAGCAATTCCACCTTTGTTTTGGAAATGTATGGTGCAAGTTTTTATGTCAGATGCCCATTCTGATGCAACCACATGTACTAAGTCATAGGGAATACCACCACTTGAGCCGAGGGGTGGGTAATATTAATGATTATGGAGCAAATCCTGCTCTGTTTAGAAACATATGGTGCATGTTTTTATGTCAGATGCCCATCCTGTCATAGTCAATACCATCACTTGAGATAGTGGTGGGCAATATTAACTTCTATAGCTATTTTTAAGTTTTTCATTATGTAGTTTATCTGTTACAACACATGTTTTTTTTTTTTTTTTTTTTTTTTTTAATAATACTGTCTAATATATTGCATTAAGAAGGTTTAAGTAGTTTTAGTTGAGGTTCAAACATCTCATAAAAGGTGAATGAACTGTAACATGGGCCTTCAAGGGGGAGAAATGTTGATGTCTTACATTATACATTTTTTTAAAGGTGCACTGTGTAACTTTTCGGTAGTGGGACATCTTCTTGTTTATATGGAAATGTCATTGCTCTGATTGAAACGTTCCACAGTATGACATTAAACAGCTCTACCTTACATTTATTAAATTACAAGTGTTTTTAAAGCTCAAAAATACCTACAAAAACAGGCATTCTGACTGTGAGCAGGGTTGCCGTTCCACAGATCTGACCTGTAACTTGTCCTGGTTTGGTCTCCATGATTATAGAAAGGTTTAATACCACACTGTGAAACATTCTAGACAAAGCAATAACATCTCAATGGAGAAAAACATTTGACGCACCCTCCACCACAAAAGTTACACAATGCAGCTTTAAGCTTTTAGGTCACCCAGTTTATACACCATATTATAATTTTACATACAAAGTTGGACAGAATGTTATGAAATTAATAATAATTTTCCTTCTACTTCTTAGTTATATTTACATAAAAACATTTGAAAATACATATCAATGCTATTTAACACTTCTTCCTCCAAATTCTAAACTCTGCTCCAAACCACATGCTTTTACTGACAGACCATTGGCTATAGATTTCTCCATAAAAAAGCCCTAAATGTGCAAATAATTTACATTTAAAACGATAGAATATGGCTTTGATTACAGTTTGATAGATGGCCCAACCTCCATCCAAAACAACCATTGCAACATCTGCACTATCAATTCTTACTGTAACAAGATTGTTTTGTTTATTCAATGTTGTCAAAATATGATCTATAACTTTGAGTAAACCAAATTCAAAAATAAACAAAAATCTGCTTAATTCTTTATGAAAATCGCTATAGTTGAGGCTTTAATTGTTTTACTTCTAATCTATCTTGTGTATTTAGCCCCTCTGATCTGCTCCCTGCTGTTGAGAGACTTGATAAATGGCAGAGATGTAACGATATGCAAATCTCTCTATACGATATTTTCACGATATGCATCTCACGGTACGATATTTATTGCAATATTTTGTGGAGGTTAACACAATTGTGAATATGTTATTTTTCTGTCATAATAATACAAATTAAAGTTGAAATTGAAAGTTATATTGTCTAGATTGGACTGAAACTGGAACAAAGGATCATGGTCAGTGTAGTTCCCTTTCTATTTTAGCTGTTGCTGTACTAAAACAATTAATTTAAGCAAATAAACTTGTAATTTGATATATTGTGATGGCCCATGATATTTCTGTGAGACTTTTGACGATACCATATCGTGATATTTTTGGTATTGTTACATCCCTAATCAATGGGGCAGAAAATGGAAAAATCTAAGCTTCAAAAACGTCAAATATGATATGCTAAATAAATTTTGATAGCAGAGTCCCTTTGTTTTAATTAACAAGTACTTAATATTATGTATGTCACTTAAATAAATTGCTTTTAAATGTAGCTGATACAGATTATACATTATTTAGACATATCTTCCGCATTTGAGAGACATGAAGAAGAACTTGCTGATACGATACATACCTCGATACATATGCCACGATACGATACATATACAGATAGAGGGCACTTTCGATTCGATATATTTCAAATCTATTTGAAACAGTTCAGTACAAATAATGGTTAAATCATGGCTGTGATACTAAGAGTCTTTGTTACCCCACTTCTTGTGCAAAATGAATTTGAAACCCACCATTTTACAAACAGTGAAAATGTCAAATGTGTTGCATAAACGAGTTCCTTTTCTCCAAACAAGCAACAAAAACTACAGCACTGTAACAAAATAATTTAGTAAAATATACCAAAAGATACTCTTGGCGATATATCGATACAGCAGCCCATGATATCGATACTGTATCATCACACTAAATAATATGATATATAGATATTTTGATATTCTTGCACACCCCTAATGATTGGACAGCCTCAAGTTTGGACGGAGCATTTTCACCCTCTATTGTCCAGCTCAACTGGTGTGAGATTATGGAACAATACAAGCAAGGAAATAAAACTTTCCATAAACCTAAGGCAGTTTAAAAATAAATATAAAGTGTAAATATTCAAACACTACATGGATGAAATGGGAGAGAAACAATAAGAGTACTGTACAGTTATTGGCTGCAGAAGTCTGTTATTTATACACTGCAGGAAGCATCAAATGTACAATCCTGTAGATAAATGTAAAGTAACAGGGTGGGATGAAATAAATTGTCCTTTTCAAACATACCTGATTATCTAGTGCTATAAATGTCATGTATGTATTTTTTCTTTAGTATACACTGTTAAAAATAAAGGATTAAATGAACTAAAAATAAAATTCCCTGCTTCCTAATATGGCGGTGTCCATTTGAACTGTCTATACCATACAACTACATGTATAGGCTCTACTGTATCTAATGCTTGCGCATACTTGCCTTGGAGTGTGAGTTACTAGCGGTTGTGCTTTACAGCTTCTCCTTATCACCTCCAGCCTGTTAGGCCCTGCACATTGTGAGACAGTGGAGAGACTTTAAACAGGCTATAAACACTGTTCTTAATGTAGCTCTGAAATTATCACTATGCCAGACACGCCAATAGGACCATGACCATTGAACACTCGCCAAATGTAATAATGATTCTATAGAGATTTTAAGATGATGAAATGTTTAGAGGTGCTTTGTCGTTTGGGATCGCTGTGTAATTCCTGTTTATGTAGATGTGACTGTGTGATAGGAAAACGTGTAAGTAAGCAGTATTTGGGAGGGGGGGATGCAACTGAGATAAACATTTTTTGACAGAATATCACAATTTCACAAGTAAATTTTCCTTGGCAGTTATTAATATTATATGATAAGATAAAAACACGGGAGGAGATAGATGGGATTACAGTAGCAATATCATGACAAACTTACTACAAATACGAAATATTTTCTTAAGCAAAACAAGAACTATCCTAATTTTTAGAAAGTTTACTAAGTGTCAGTTGTTTTAGTTTTGTTGTTCATTCCCTCATGTTGTCAAAATAGTTATAATTCAGTTTTCCTAGATCACAGTTTAAATTTTCTCACGATTCATGCCACTTCACTGTGATTGGTCAAATCCAGCTGTCACTCACTCAAAGCCTTATAGAGACCAATTGGAGAAGTGGGTGGGAAAAAATAAAGCATTTGTTAGAGAAACACTGAATCACAGTTTGACGATATGACCAAAAGAGCAGATCACAATTCAGTTTTTTTCACCAAATCCAGTAATCTAGTTTTGTTCTTTATTATTGACCACAACATTAAATTATATCTGTAGACTAGAGTTGGAAGGTAACATTGGATACTTTTTAGTTTTTACTTCACTACATGATAGATCTGGACTGAAAAGTAAAAAGTACTTCTTCTTTATGGTTTGAGACCTGCTGAAATGGCAGAGACTTATTTTTAGCACATTTAATTTGAGTTAACATCCCAACTTCAAATAAACCAAATACAGAAATACACAAAATTAGATAGAAAAAATAAGAAATCAATTGAATCACTTAAAATAAGCTTAATTTTTTAAATCACAGTCACTACACTACATGATGCTTTAATTGTTCTAAAAATCTCTGCAAAATACTTTTACACAAACAGGTACTTCAATAGGTAACAGACCATCCTCCAGAAATATTACACAGTGCACCTTTAAGAAAAAGTACAGATACAGAGGCAAAAGATTACTCAAGTATATGTAAAAGTATCACATGAAATCTACTTAAAGCTGCACTATGTAACTTTCTAATTGGAGGTCCGTCACATAATTTACTTTTTTTCTTTGTTGCTTGTACTTTACATTTATTCAATTACAGGAGGTTTTATTGCTCAAAAGTACCTAGAGAAACAGACATTCTGACTGTGAGCGGGGTTGCCGCTCCGCAGATCTGACTTGTAACTTGGTCTGGTTTAGTCTCCATGATGACAGCAGTAGCTCAGTTGGTAGAGCATTCACCCACTGATCTGAAGGTTGGCAAGACACTTAACCCACCTTGCCCACAGTGTCTGCGTACAGTGGTGTGTGAATGGGTGAGTGGTTCCTTGTTGTAAAGCGCTTTGAGTGCCTTGAAGGTGGAAAAGCGCTGTAGAAAAATGTGACCATTTACCATGATAGAAAGGTTTAATACCATACTGTGAAACATTCCAGACAAAGCAATATCATCTCCATGGAGAAAAACATTTGACTGACACTTCACCAGAAAAGTTTCACAATGCACCTTTTTAAACTATTGAAGTTCCTGTTTGAAAATGTGCTTCAAGAGTAAAAAGTAAAAGTGTTTAGCAGAGATTTTTACACAGTTCACCTTTACTAGTAAGTAACAAAACTGAGTACTTCATCCACCATTGCTGTTTACCTGACTAATCTTTTTATATCCGCACAGTTGTGACAGACACCGTTACATCTAAGTCCAGACTCACTTCTCTCCCACCAAGTAAGTCTTCCCATTTCTCTTACATCTCAACAACATATCAACACTGAAATCCCCAGCAGTAATAGCGTAATTATAGACACGCGGTTTTGCAGGAAGTTTCCCTATGACTAACTGCTCCTCTTTTGTTTTGTTTCTGTGTTTCCCCCCGTTGCTAGAGGGAACTGGTGGATCAAATCACAGAATTATGTCCACTGGAGCTGGCGGGTTGGGCCTGGAGAAGAATGTCTTAACCCAGAACACCAGTGGAACCTATTTCTCTTCATGTGAGTGAGACCAACTTTCCACCGAGAGATGTGGGCATGTTTATAAGAGCCTGAGTCAGTTTTACGCAGGATTTAAAGGCTGGGCTGGTAGTGACCGAAAAGCTGTAAAAATAAGCTTCAAAAATGTGAATTCAAAAAGATAAATTCAAACAGGAAAAATTGCTTGATTGAAAGTGAAAAAAATGCATAGCACACTCCACACAAGTAGTGGTTTAACAAAGAAATGTTGTTGCTAAAATGTATTTGGTTCTTAAAAAAACAGCAATATATCGATTATTGCACATATCACCATATCGTGGTAATATCGTATAGTGAGCCATGATCCTGCGATTCCTAGCTCTAATTATAAGTATTTATTCCTATTTTGTATGAACTACAAATGCCACTAAAACAAAAACATGTTTAAATCAAGTTATTTTCTAATGAAACAGAAAATGCATGTGGAAGTTCTTGTAGATGTGCAACTTAAAAGTGAAAAAAACCAACAACTTAAAAGTGAAAAAAATGCATAGCACACTCAGATGGCCGATGTTCAAATCCCAAAGGGCAGTTCAGTTCACAGATTTCTGGTCGTGTATAAGCCATAAATAAAATCATGTACATACAATGGACACCATACATTCAAACCTTAGTGCAACAGGGAACACGTTAGCAAATTTACTTTCCATTTAAAAGTTTTATGGCAGAAGGAACAGAAGATTTAGGGTAGTGGTTGATCTTTTACAGATCATTTCTTTCTTGCATTGGACCACAGCAGCAAGAAAGCAAGAAAGAAATGATCTGACAAAGGTTTTTTGCTGAAATGTAATCTAAAGATAAAAAATAAAATAAAATTGGATGTCAGAAATCTGAGTGTGCATTTTATTCACTTTTACATTGCTGCTCCTTGCATTTGCACCTCTACAAGAACTTTGGTGTGCGTTTTCTGTTTAATTTGAAAATAACTTGATTAAAACATGTTTTTGTCTTAGTGGTATCTGTGGTTCATACAATATAGAAACAAATACTTATAATTAGGGTTGCGAATTGCAAGGTCCCTCATGATTCGATACAATACCTGATACATGGCTCACAATACGATATTATCATGATATGGTGATAGATGTGTTAATTTATATATTGAACATGATACTCTGTGATATATTGCTGTTTTTTTAAGATCCAAATACATTTTAGCAACAATATTTCTTTGTTAAACCACTTCCTGTGTAAAGTCAATATGAAGTACAAGTATTTTAATAATCCAAAGTGAGTAGGTCAAGTGTTTTGCATAAACAAGTTTCTTTTCTCCAAATAAGCAACAAATTGTAGTGCCATCACAAACAAATTGCCAACAGATACCAAAAAATACTATTGGGGATATATCAATACAGCAGCTCACAATATCGGTACTGTATCACCAAATGTAGTATCACGATATTTCGATATGATTTGCACACCCCTACTTAAAATACAATAACAGTATTTTCAGTAAGACCATTAACTTTTATTAAAGGTGCAGTTAGTAATTTTTCTAGTGGTGGATCCTGTGTGTCTCCAGTGCTTTACCTGGAATGTTCCATAGTATTTCATTAAACTTATCTATCTATCTTGCATTTATTCAATTTCAGGTGTTGGTATTGCTAAAACATACTCCGTAAAACATGCATTTCTATTGTAAGCGGACATGCCACTCTAAAGATCTGACTTGTAATAAACACCTGCTTAATGACATACTGCTGAACATTTCAGGCAAAGCCATAGCATCTCCATGGAAACAAGTTGTGGCAGAACCTCAAAGATATCAGATGTTTTTACATGAATGCGGGGCGTGGAACAAAATGCTGCAATGTCAGCAAAAGATGGTGCCAAACTCTACACCCTGTACTTGAAGACTTTATTTTAATGAGGAACAGTCAAATGAGGACACGAAAGACTCCAGAGCATGGCTTTGTTTTGTACAGTGTAGAATGGGTCTATTCTAACTTCTATCTTTAATCAATATGATTAATTATTCATGCACAGACTTTTCACTTGTGGTGGAAACTTGTTGATAGCACCATTCCTGTGTATTATATTGGGTTAACATTTAAATAAGGACAACTAAGATTATATTTATGTTTAAGTTGATCTTTCTAGAGATGCACTGATCCAATATTTTCAGTTCCAATAGCAGTTCCGATACTATAGCTTTAAGGATCTGCTGATACCTGATATCAAGCAATACAGCAATGCAGGGGGTGAAAACAGCATTCATTTTCTTAAAACAAAAATAAAATAAGACATAATTCTGATCCAAATGTTAAAGAGCTGTTATTTATCTCAAGTAGCTAAAGACCAGTTTTGCATATTAAGGTTAAAATATTATGAGTCTTTCTGGGCCAAATATGACCAGTAAATAGTCTTATTACATTGATACTAGTATATATTCAACCAGGATATTGGCTAAACTGATACTTTAAGTCGATATCCAACAAATTTTCAGTATTGGCGCTAATATCCCATACCAGTGTCAGATTAGTGCGTCCCTATTAATCTACTGTATCTATAGTCTTTTACAGTGCCCAACCACAGAGCTCATAACAGGTCATACTCTTGAGACATGAGCCGCATCTGACAGTCTCTCCAACCACTACAAATCACCTAATCACAATTATGGAAATACTGTAAAATGACTATATGATCAGTTACTTCTTACAATGAATTCCCTGTTTAAATAACTGCTCTACCAATGAGCTATAACAGAACATGCATAAGTAACTCTTTTCTGCTCAACACTGGCACAAAACATGACAATAGATTATGTTTTACAATAGCTTACAATACAATAGCTTTAGTCCATTTCCTTTCCTATCCAGAATAACCTGATTTTCCCTTTTCCTTGCAGCCTCTGTGGGGGTGAGCAGCAGCACATATGCCTCCTCCTCAGGCGTGTACCTGAGCGGGGACTCTTCGGGTGGGGGAGATGGAGTAGGGGGCTTCCTGGATGTGGAGAGCTATGGCAGTGGTGGAGGAGGAGGTGGGGGAGGTGGGGCAGGTGGAGGTGGGGGGAGCAGTTACATGGTCAGCTCCACCTCCGTGTCCAAGGTGAGGTCCAGTAGCTCCACAGGGGGAGGCAGAAGGACGCAGACGGCAAGCTCATCTGGAGGAGTCTCACCCTCAACCTTCAGGGAGAGGAAGGCCGTCTCCAGCCGCTCCGGGGGTTATGACGGTGAGATGTGGTGGTTACCGTGGTTACGGTGTGGTTTTTGAACACAGTGCGACGGGAGGAAGTACGGGACAATGATGAGGTTTAAACTTCTACTTCCTGTGCTTTAGTTTTTAAATGGGCACTATGTAAGTGAGTCAGGGAGCCTTCACTTCTCTGTGGAGATTTTATTGTTTTGCCTGGAACAGTCTACTAACAAAACTTGGCAATCACCATAATACCTGTGTCTCCACCAAACCAGCTACTTTATGCCAAAGAAAATGCCTGTAATTGAAAAAATGAAAGCTAGATAATAATACTGTGGAACATTCAAGACAAAGCAATAATATCTTCATGAGAGACGCAGGTGATGTAGCGCCCCTTTAATAATACTTAACATAAAAATATACCATAGCAAAACACAGGCAAAAACATATCATTTTTGGTTGACGATATCTGTTACAATTAATCGCAGTTAAGATTATTTATTCCATAATGGACACATTGCAATGTTGCAACTGAAAGTAACAAAAGAACAATTGAATAATAAGGGCATGCAAATGGCAGAAGTATGTATAAACAATAAATTAGAAAAAATAAAAACTACACCAGAATGAGACATTTGCCTAAGATAAAAAAATGAGAAAAAAACAGCAACAAAAAAACAAAACAAAAAACTCTACTAAAACAGTACAAATGTATTATTATTATTTTAAGCACAACTAACTAAATTCTAAAAGAAATAGAGGAAGCAACCTTTATTAACATCAATATGAAGGGAAAAAAGTGTATATAAGTATCTTTTAGTTTAAATACTGCCGCCGGTTTACAGTAGTCTTATACCGTACTATTATAATGACTTTATAATGGCTTTCTGGAGTATTTGAGCAGATCACATGACCATCTCACTGGCATCCCTCACAGCTGTTGTTTAAATGTCTGAGAACAGAGAAGCATAGAATCGTATAGACAGAGGGGCGAGGTTTTAAACTTCAACTTCTTGTGTTTTCGTGCAGGAAGTTCCAGTGCAAATTCCTCTCCCGAATTTACGCGCAAAGATTATGGAAACTATTGTGAGTGCGAATGACATCCATATGTATAAAGTACTGAGATTGCATAATAGTCTGCCAGCTTTTTTTATATGTGTTTCTGTTCCTCCTAGGCGCGGGCAACTCAAGAGGAAGAAGCGAAAGCAGAGGTAACTGGCCAACAGCTGTATTTTGACCAGTTGTAGAATGTAACAAAGTAAAAGTTGTAAAAGTGCTGCTTTTAAATCTTAAAGTTCAGGTATCTGTACTTTTCTTAAAGGTACACTGTAAGTTTTGTGGAGGAAGGCCCGTTAAATGCTTTTCTCCATGAAGATGTTATTGCTTTATCTGGAATGTTTCACAGTATAGTAGTAGAGCAGTTTACTGTCATACTGTGGAACATTCTAGGCAGAGCAATGACATATCCATAGAAAGAAGCAGATGGTGAACCCCCATCCAAAAAGTTGCATAGTGCACCTTTCAGTATATTTTTAAGTGGATACTTTTTCTTAGACTTCACTACATTAAAGAGAAGATATCTGTACTTCACTATATTTTTGAAAAGGACTGAAAAGTAATTTTTATTATTTTGATTGACTTGCTGAAAAGAAAACAAATACATACAAATATAAGCAGACAGAAAAAAAATTCCTTGTTTCTGTTGAACAAAATTCACCACAAATCTTTATCAGAGTCACTACATTTGAAGCTTTATTAGATATCAAATCTGCACAAAATACTTTAACTTTTTATTGTTTAAGTACATTTTTAAATCAGTGTTTTAATACTTTTATTTAAGTTATGTCTTCATGTGATACTTTTACTTTTACTCGAGTATTTCTTTGCTCCAGTATGAGTACCTTAATATGTAACTTTTTGTTAGTTTCAACAACTCTACCTTTATACTGTACATTTATAAAATTACAGGTGGTTTTATAGCTCAAAGATACCTACAAAAACATGCATTCTGACTTTGATCAAGGTTGCCTCCTTACGGATGTGACCTGTAACTCGGGTCTGGTTTGGTCTCAGTGAAGATATAAAGACTTAATACCACACTGTGAAACATTCCAGACAAAGCAATAACATCTCCAAACCATCTGACGGGATCCTTCACCAGAAAGGTTACACAATGCACCTTAAGTAGCAAAACTGAATACTTTTTCCACCACTGCTTTTGACCATTGCCATCTATCTTAACCTTTTAAAATATCTATCTTTTCTTTTTTAATTCCAGAAAGCGAGATCCGAGCCAGACTGCAGAGTGCTTCTCCCTCAGCCACCAGATGTAAGATCACTCATTTCAGACACACAGATTTTCACTGCCAAAGTTACGCAACTCCCTGTAAAAGCTACAAAAGCATCTTTATCCCCTTCAAATTCAATATGGAGCCTATTCGCACAGACACGTGCACATCACAGCACTATTTTTGAGTTATTTCCCTGTCAGAATCCACACTAAATCACTGGCTGAGAAGTTCTTGTTCTCACATGCACATTATGAAGAGTGAAATCCATATTAGTCACACATGTGCGTATTGTGTAGATAAAATGTATAGCGGAATAGGGGAATGTGGGATAGAGCTAAAAGGAAGAAACTGAATCCTAGCTAGCAGTTTCTTCTTGAGTTTTGTAAGAAGGAAAAAAAAAAAAGACAGAAAGTGTGTGTTGGCAACAAAAGTCCACGTGAGTCACAGTTTGTGGCAGTATTTCCCACCCCAAATTTGCTTGAGTCACTTTCTGGCAGATTTTAGAAGCTCCCCCTGCTGGTTTATATGTACAATTGTTATTTAAAGGGCCCATATTGCACTATTTTCTGTTTTCTGTTGTAATGTTGATTATTCAGCAAAAACATACCTGGAGTTGTGTTTTGTTTCATTCACACAAACACACAAACCCTGCATATTAAGGCTGAGTTCTTTCCTCAAACAGAAAACACTCATGTGGTAATACAAGAAAAAGAAGAATTCTAACATGGCTTAAAGCTCCATGAGTCAATTTTGTGTCACATTTTCTTACATAATATTGTTTTTTTACACTCCTCATTGACTCTCATATTTTTTACACCTGACTTGTGCATCTTGCCCATGGTTCCTGACATAATAAGCCCATAATAATAATAGGCCTTTCTTTCATCTTTATATAGACTTCAGTGGTGTTGGATAGCTTTTGTTTGAGCTGGACAGAGCTATCATATCTCCTTGCATGCATTCATTTGTGTTTCCAGCTTTGTCTTCTGGAGAGAAGCTTTGAGTTTTTGCATCTCCAAATCTTTTTTGTCAGCCATATTCTTATTCAGATGGATTTTCTTACATAATAATTTCTTACACTTCTCTGATGCTCATCATATTTTTCACACTTGACTTCTTATAGTCTGTAGTACCTGACATAATGAGCCCCTCGTGCAGTATCTGAATCTCATCTCAAATCTTTTTTGTCAGCCTTATCCTTGACTTTTTTGGAGTTTGCATGTTCTTGTTTTAGCTGTGAATTTTATGTCTGTATTTTCTTACATAATATTTTGTTATACTCATCATATTTTTCACACTTGACTTGTACATCTTATTTTCTGTACTACCTGACATAATGCACCCCTCAGTCTCTGCTGTGACGTCTCTGGAGACACTGAAGATCACAAATATAGAAGGGTCAAGGTTGGGCTACATACCAGACTAAACATGCCAGTAGCATGTGTGCCTCTTTAGCCCCCTCAGACTGGACAGCTCATCTGTCACATGTGTCACAAATATCCTGTAACTGTCACTTAAAATACCTCATAGCAAAGTTTATGACCTGCTTTGATCCATACATAAGCATCTTTACGTGACTAAATATCTGCTGTCGAACACAATAAACCACTATTTTATTTGATTGTAAAACACCAAATAAATTCTTTCAGAGAACTGGAAAATAACACATTTTTGTAACACCCACTAATGTAATAATCCCCACAAGCGTAATATAAAAATTTCAGTTTCAAATGAAAAAAACAGACAAATAATAAGGTCATAATATGCAGTAAAAACAAGGTAATTTAATCTTTGCTCACTTTATTGTGATCTGCATTTTATAACTTCCTTTATTTGGCCATTGTAAATATATGTTCGCTTTTTAACTCATGATGAAGATATCTACTGTTTTCAGCTCCCACATTACAACAGAACATTTGTTTTTAATTGATCCTTTTAAAAGCGTTCCTGTGCTCCTCCCCATCTCCTCCCTTTACACACCACAGCTGTGTCATCCCAGCATTTCTGTTTCATGATGTGGATTTGTGTGAAGTCAAATGTGAACAGCAAATGCAAATGAACCATTAAAAGTACATTTTTCACAGAATACATTTTTTTTACATATATTATAATTTTTTCTGTTTCCACTTTACCAATTAATGAAAATCAAGCAACTGCAGCTGAACTGAATTAATGTCAAGTTTTGACATCTGGAACAATTAACATAACTACCACGGGTATTTAAGAGAACAACATCATATTAAAGCAATTTTTATTTTATTTTTTCACAGTGAAAAGGGTAAAGGGTAATGTTTGGAGGTGCTTTAATGCCAGTAGTGCAGTAGTGGAGTTTTTTCAAATCCAAGTCTTTTTCTTGGTTGATTCTCTCCTGAGACCTAAGCTTGAGGCAAAGAATTGCTTATTTGGACCTGGTCTGCAAATTTTGGCCCTTATCCACTCCAACTCTTCATGGAGCGCCTTGACCAGAGCGCTGTCCTCCAGGGGTGGAAGTTCCTAGACCAGTGGTGGATGTACCTGGACCAGAGGTGGACGTACCTGAACCACACCTCCATCCTCTGAGTTTGAGGGATCCTGGATGTCGGGAGACACCAGTTGGGTCTCCTGTAAGAGTTAGGGCAGCATTTAGGATCATCTGCATTCATCTGTGTTGACGTGGAGATTGAGATTTATGTATTTATTTTGAGCAAGTAAGAAATGTATATTATTTTACAATGGAACATAAACAAAACATTTATTTAATCCCAATGTTGAAAATATGTGTGCTCTATGTATGTTCAGTATGTATAAATATTACTTACACATATGGCTAATCTTTTCTATTTATTCGGTTTGTTATTTGTCAGTTGCTCATGATATCATTATATTAACTACATTTTAATGGCTGATTTTGCATTTTGACATCAGTGGTGGTGAATGCCAAAGGGTTTTGTGTATGGGTTTAGTATTAACATATTTTCACATGTACATAATACTTACAGACAAGTCCAGGTATGTTATAATGAGAAAATACATCATTACAACAGATCAGGTAGTGTAATATACATAGACCCTTTAATAATTCCCATTTTGAACATAATTTTTCCAGGGACAGAACTGGATGACGTGAAGAAACTTTTAAAAGGCCGTTCGAGCAGCGTGAGCCCCACTCGCTCCTCCTCCGCCTCCATCACTCTGCCCGTGCCCAAAAAGACCACTGCGGAACCCAAGACCGTCTCTGTGGCAACTCAGTCAGGTATTATCTAATAAGATCATACACCTAGACAGTACTCAATTTTATTACTTAAGTAAAAGTACAGATACAGAGGCAAAAAGCAAAAATATCACATCAGAAAATCAACCTAAGTAAAAGTATTAAAATACCTATTTAAAAATGTACTGTAAGAGTAAAAAGTATTTTGCATAGATTTTTAGAACAATTTATTGATGAATAAATGAATTTGATAAAGAATTTAGCTAATTTTAAGTGACTTGGACATTAACTCAAATTAAATGTGCTAAAAATAAGACATTTCCATAGGTCTCACATTGTATAGAAACTTTTTTTTCTTGACTTCAGTTCAGATCTAAACTGTAGTAGAAGGTATCCTAACCTAAAATTTGTAATTATATATTGTACTTTTACTTTTGTACTTCGTTACCTTCAACCGCTGCAGAGTGCTCAGTCTCACACCCTCCTTCTCACACTCCATACATGGCCTCATTCAGACCTTGGATTGTTTATCACTGCACTTGGAGTCACTGGTCAGGTATTCATGTGCATGTATGAGATAGAGGCATTATTAAAAGGTCATTGTGCCATGCTTTAGTGCTCTGCTCTGTTGGAATAAGACCACGTATTACTTAGTTATTTCCAGATGCTTACACTTAGTTTGTTGATTAAAGATATCGCAATATATGATCTTGCAAGTAAGCTATTTCCAGACATAGACTTACAGTACAGTAGAGAACAGAGGTGTGGAGTTTGTGGGGAGAAGTAAGAAGCAATTTAATAAATAAGTTCATAAGTAATATTGTAACTATAAAAATAAAAAGTATTTTAACAGAAATTTGCACATTTAAACTATATGAGCTATACTATTAATTAAAGGTCCTATTGCACAAAGTTTCTTGTGATTCTGTTACCTCCTAAAAACATACCTGGAGTTGTGTTTTGTTTCAGTCATACCTGTTTGAGTAATCTTGGTTTATTAGTCAGTCTACATCTCCACAGCTCAAAATCTGAAGTGTGGAGCTGGAATTATCCAAATGATTCTAGTGTGTAAAGTTGCACAAAGTGTATGGACACAAGGTGGAACAGTGTCTTCTGTTTTAGGGAACAACGCAACCTAGATATGCAGGTTTGTGTGTTAAACATGTGTGAATGAAACAAACCACAATTCCTGGTATGTTTTTGATGAGGAAACAATATTATAATATTTATTAAAATTATAATTGCAATGTAACACAGTTGCAGTATCAAAAAATACATATATTTCTAAGCAGGTACACATTTACATATAAACGTTTTTGCATGGCGAGAGGATCGGTTTACCAGATTCCACAGTTCCAAGTTTTACAGTCCCAGTGGGGTCCTTAACCTACTGAGCCAGTCACAGGAACGCTGAGCTGAGCCAAGAGCCACTCTGGACAGGATGGTCCTTCCTGTTTTGCATTATGAAACCAGCCAAGGTCATTGAAAACATTGTCATAAATTATAAATAAAATGAGCTGTTTTAAATCAAGAAAAATGAAAACGTCACAAGGGCTTTTGTATTACTGTAATTTAAGGTTAGTGGTGTTTAAATAACTTTAAACATGGTCTTAGAGTGAAAACTGCAAATTGTCAAAAGATCTTGTAACCTCAAGTAAGGAGCTCAATGATTAGATTGAACTGGATTGTGGATGGATGGTTAGGTAGTTTTTACACTTCCACTAGTTAGGTTGACGTAAAAGTGCATTCGTTCCAAGAGTGTAGTATTCCGCACAAATTCTGAGATCTTATAACACTTCAAATGTACTGAATAATTGTACATAACACAAAACACTTCACATAAATCAAGACAGACACAAATGTACTCAAATTAAGTTCAGATACCTAAAATGTATACTTAAGTACAGTACTTGACTTTTACTTTGTTGCGATCCTCCACTGCATGAGCCTGAACTTTCAACCCTTTTTTCATTTTGTTCTATCTTTCCAGTGTCCAGCATGTTTGACACTGGCCTGAGATCGGACCAGTTCATCGACACCACTGGTCTTTATGATAACACCATCTCATTTGGACAGTACAGCGGCAGTGTGAAGTCAGGCCAGTACGACACAGGTTTAAAGACCAGTGCGTATGACGTGAGTGTCCGATCAGGCCAGTATGACTCTGGAGTTAAAGCGGGCACCTACAGTGGCAGCCTGGCATCTGGGCAGTTCGATACAATGAACGGGTACAAGTCCAGCCAATATGATATGAGTCTAAAATCCGGGCATTATGATCTGGGGCTGAAGACGGACCACTACGACTCGGGGGTGAAGTTGAGTCAGTATGATATTGGGGTGAAGTCTGGTCATTCCACTATTCGCTCGGCCCAATATGATAATGCTACAGTGGACGCTGCTCTGCCAGCTTTTACCTGGTCCACGGCTACTCTGCCCTCCCAGTCTGCCCCCGCCGTGAGTGCCACCAGCTACAGCTACCAGATCAGCACCAACAACATGGGAGGGTCCGTGCCACTCAGTCCTGCCTCTCCATCCTCACTGTCAGGTAAAAACTATATTTCAACACCATTATGCCTGCTGATAACAAAATAATACTTATAAGACACTTCATAACTACATTCCAATTGTCATTTGATTTTTCAACTAAGTGTGCGGTTTTTACACCTTCTGCTATATTAACCCTAATAACCACACCCACCCAACGACAATTTGATATTGATGTGTACATTTATCAAATTTCATATTTGGCAGTAAGATCTTAAAATAGGGTGTACATTGGATTAGGGCTGGGTACCTTTTAATTATTTTCAGGTATCAGTTAAACAACACTTGATTTTTTTTATTAATTGAATTTTCTGAACTTTTTTCAGTACCTATTCTTGTATTGATCATTCAGGAAAGACAACACAGAACTGCAATATTAATACGTTCAAATAAATATCATTTATTTGGAGAAAAGCTGTTGTTAATTTGTGGCAACACTGCCTTAAATTTTTCTATTACCCACTTGGCATCAAAAGTTGTTAAAAGAAAAAGTATTCTTCCTGTGCCAGTTTTCGGCACAGTAACAGTAGTACCCAAACTCACTCCTACTGTAATCTTCATAGCATTATGTCATGGTTGTTGCCTGTATCTATGGCAGTACAACAGCTTATTACCTAAGAATTAAATTAAACCTTAAATACATATTAACAATAACTTCTCATATGGCAAATTTGTTAAAAATAACTAATAACAACAAAGTTTCTTGAAATAAAAAGTAATAAATGTGCATATAAGTTGATTTTAGTTTAAAACACTGCATGTGTCTGTCCAGTGTATGGTTTTCAGAATAATTTGGGTCCCACGTCTGGCAGTGTGCTCACCACCAGTGGAGCCAACACCAGTGCCAGCCTGGGAGGTGCGGTCACATGAGAATCACCATAACCTTTCTATCTGTGTGCATATGTGTGTGTCTACATGTGATATTTGTGTTGTCCACTACAGGTTATGGAGTGCAGAAAAACATGTCCAGTGGGGCTGTCCTTGGCTCTGCAGTTTCCACAGGTAACTATGACAAGTGTTATAAGTCCAACATTTTGACCTCACTGTTAGCGTTACTACTTCCTGTCCAATTTTATTTTTATGAGGTTTTAGCCAAGTTGTGCCAAAATGAATAAATATTTAAAGATAAGGCAGTTCTGTGTGTAGAAAGAGAGATGTTTGTGTCTCAATGCTAACGCTAATGCTAATTTTGAGGAATAATAAATATAACAACAGTGCCGCAAACTGAAATCATCTATATTTAAAAATAACTGGATAGGCTTTATTTTAATTCATTTTTATATGTTGTTAAATTTTATGTTTTACAATTTTAATAAGTGACTGCTTGAAACACAGTGAGCTAGCTAGTGTGCTACTGTGCAAAGAGTCTGTTGACTTCATGCTAAATCAATTTTGTCAGGCACCAGATCTCAAACAGAAGACTCGTATAAGAGGTTTGTGGCTGCAGATAAAGAGAATTTTTCAGCCAAGAGGGATGGGGAAACTCTGATCCTGGCCAAAGACAGTGGAAAGCAGTTTACAAGCGGCAGCAGTGTGCACATTGGAGGAGGTCAGTTAATAGTCATTGTATAATATGCCTTTTCTTATGTTTTTTTTTTTTTTTTTTTAATTTTACGTAACTTTTCTGGTGGAGGGTTCATCACCTGCTTGTTTGTATGGATTGCTCTGCCAAAATGTTCCATAGTATGACATTAAACACCTTACATGTATTCCATTGAGAAATACCAAGAAAAACAAGCGTTCTGACTTTGAGTGGCATTGCCTCTCCATCTGAACTGACTCGTAACTTAATCTGGTTTGTTTTCTATGATGATAGAAAGGTTTAATGCCATGTCGTGAGACATTTTAGACAAAGCAATAACATCTCCATGGAGAAAAGCATTTGACGGCCTCCGCACCAGAAACATTACACAATACACCTTTACACATTTTCACATTTGTCACATTTTCTATCATATGATCATATACAACAGAAAGGTTACTGTCAGTGAGTAACTAAATGACATAGAACTGCAGTTTGCAATCTTGCCACCAGGTGCCGCTAACGCTGTAATCTGCTACAAAGCTTTTTATAGCGTTTTTTGAGCAGAGAAAGAACTTGAATGATGAAATGCCAAAGAAAAACATCCCACTTGTGACCTCTATTAATTTTAATTACACCCAGATGGACTTGAAATCAAATTACTTTTTATGTTCCTATAAATTATTTTTGTTCAATTTGACTCATGTGACATACAAAAATATTCCAATTAAGCTGTAATCTAAACTTGTTTATTTAAAATATTTGTACAGGCTCTCTGTCTGGAGACTCCATCAAGAAGGAGAAACTCATCTCAAGCTATGGAGAAACAACTCAGCTAAAGGCTGACCTCGGACAATCGTATTGTATGTGACAATTCAAAACAATGGTGCCAGTACTTTTGCAGTTATAATATAAGAGTATATAATTATATATTTACTTTCTAGATGGAAGCTCCGGAGTTTTGATGAAAGATAAAGCCACATATGCGGGTATGTACAGTTGTATTGCATTATGCAGTCCATAATAAATTCTCTTCATGTTCTAGGGATTGGTTCATTACGAGATCTAATGGGGGACAATGGCTTATATAACTTTATGATAGATTTACTATTTCTTAGAGGCGTTTCCAGTCTTATGATCCACAAACCTTATCATTATTAAGAATTGCCTGCACAAACTTGTCTTATAAATCTTATGTCTTTTAAACTGGCAACAATAACATCTTTTAGGTTGAATAATGGCACCACATTCAGAGGAAAATATTTCACTTTGATGCTGAGAGTTTTTTGTTTCATATGGATAGGCCAAGTAATTACAGATATATTAACCATAAACCAGGACAACAAATCGACAATATGACAGTTAGAATCCCAACATGTCCTTCAGCTCATTTTAAAGGGCCCATATTACAGTATTTTCTGATTTATGTTATAATGTTATTTCCTCATCACAAACATACATGGAGTTGTGTGTTTTATTCAAACATCTTTAACTAAAAACCTTGCTTATTTAGGCTGAGTTCTTCTCTCAAACTGAAAACACTCATGTAGGAATACAGGAAGTGTATTTCCAAGTGTTTTTAAACTCCATACACCTTTACTATAATCATTTGGATAATAAGCCCTAGAATTGCCAGTCCTTACTGAAAAAAGTTAAAAAGTAGCTGTTAACTTGAAATCTATCACGCCATGACATCACAAGGTGGAACAGAGATGTAGACAGACTAATAAAGAATTACTCGAACATTTGTGAATTAAACAAAGCACAACTCCAGGTATGTTTTTGAGGAGGTAACACCATTATAACATGTGTTAAAGCTGACAAAAGTCAAGTTTGTGTAAATATACCTTTAAATTATAGGGATCTAGATAGGGGTCAAGAATGGAGTGATATCTTGTGAACTCTATTCCTAAAAAGCTTGTCTTGTGTTCAGAGATCCGTCGGGACAGTGGGGTTTTTGGAGGTGGGGGATTTTGCTGCTGTTCTGATTCGTGCTGCTCGTGGTGGAAATGGCTGCTCGGACTCCTCCTTCTTGGCCTTCTCCTGCTTGGACTTCTCTTTGGTCTCATAGCTCTGGGTAAGTCAACTAAAAACAACACAAATCCCAAGTTATCTATGTTACGATACAAAGAATTACAGTTACAAGGAAGAGATGTCAGAGGCTAATCTTTAAGGGTGCACAGGGACCAAACCAATAAAATAGCTTGAGTTTACAAGTGAAAGTTGCTAGGAGCCATGAGAAAGTAAGTGCATTCCTCCTCCTGGAAATCTGATCTGGGAGTATTGTGGTAGTGCCAATAGGTCTGGTGTTCATTGTCAGTGGAGCAGTGTTGGGGCATTGTTATATAATGACATCATACATCATCTTTGCTTTTCACTTTATTGAAGGGAACTAATCAGAAAGTTTGTACTAACCCATAATTTATTTGAAAATTATTTTAGAAGATTATGGCCTGGAGTGCTTCTCCAGCTGTAATATGGGGCCCTCTATTGGTGATACATAATTCAAAATATTAGACAGCAGGCTAAGATCAGGTTTAGTTGTCACATCATATTTTCAGTTCAAAATTATTCCTGGGTGTTGACTATTGATACAAAATTTCAATACTTTTGTCAACCCTACTGTAAACTTGCACAGCAAGATGGATTCTCGCGATATTTGTGAGTTATAAACTCACCAGAATCCATCGTGAAGTGGACCCACTGTAAGGTTAATCGACTGGGTAGACCAATCACAGAGCAGCATTGTTTTTTGTGCAGAAGCCAAAAGCCAAGCACTTAAACGAAACAAAACACATGGCGACACTGACAGACTTCAGCCTATTTTAGCGAAAATACAAACTTTTTTGTTTGTGAAAAATGTGCAGGAGGTTAGAGCTTTGTGAATTTGTGAAAGAAAGACTGAAGTCATATTGTTTGATCTGGTACCTCCCTCATCGACTTGGGCTCCTTAAAAGATCATGGCTGTCTCACAGTCACCAGCCTTGGTGTCACTCTAGACAGTGATTAGACAGTGATAAATTTGATAAACAGATAAACGACGTCTTAAAATTAAGTTTTTTTTTTTATCATTTATGACATTTATCCAAAGTCAAACCTTATTTATCTTATAATCTTTTTGAACATGTCATGCGCACTTTTATTTTGTCATGTGTGGACTACTGCAACGCACTTTACATAGGCATCTCTCAAAAAGCACTCTGCAGTTAGTCCAGAACTCCGTGGCACGACTTTTAACAGGAACTAAACAACGAGAACATATCCCACCAATCCTTGTGTCTTTGCACTGGCTTCCTGTTTGATTTTAAGATTTTATTGTTTATTTTTAAAGCTTTGAATGCACTGGCCCCATAATATGTCTCGGACCTCATCCAGATTTACTCCCCCGTGCGCACTCTGAGGTCTGAGGGCCAATTCCAGCTCATGGTGCCTAAGACGAGACTTGAAATCAGGAGGGACACGGCCATCTCTGTGTTCCCTAAGCTCTGGAACACTCTGCCCCTGCACGTCCAAACAGCTCCCACAGTCTTGTCTTAAGACCCACGTTTACTCTTTGGCTTTTAACACTGCATGAGTTGTGTGATTCTCTGTCTTTTATTTATTTAATTAATTTATTTTATTTTATTCATTGTTTTATCATTTTTAGCTTTATGCATTTTAACACTTTTTATTTATTGTTTTTAAATGTGATTTACTATCTTTTATTGTATTAATTTGTCTATCTTTTTTACAATTTTTTATTGTATTCATTTGTCTGTGCAGCAATCCAGTCCTGTGATTGGATTGGATTGCATTTGTTCACAAGGAAGATGTGCTATCTCTCAAAAAGTTAGAACAAAACAAAACAAAAGTTAGATTTTTCGACTTGTTTACACTTTGATAGTGTGTAGAACTTAATTCAGAGTGCTGCACATATCAGTCTGACATGAGCCAGGTTAACCCTAAAGAACCTTACAGGCCAATCTCCCTGAAATAATCCAGCTGCAAAACTTTAACATAGCATTGTCCTTGCATGGCCATAAACTGGTTTGTTCAGAACTGCCCATTTAAGTCATGGGTTTAATCATGCACAAGTATAAATCAACACTACTGACCTGGATTAGTCCTGTTATGGCTAATTTCACTCTGTTAAAAATTACATTTAGAATGCCAAATACTGTGTGAAATTATCCTAAATTATTATCCAATTATCATGCACATGGTTGTCCTACATATTTGCAGTATCTCTGTCTAGGAGAATGTCTGTGTCTCTTCAACAGACTGGCTTGGACTAATTAGATTTTGGCAGAAAAAGCAGATTCCTGAAATCCAGACTGTTTTGCAATAGTACACTGCATTCAATTAAATGAGGAGCTACAGCCATTGAAAAGGGACACAATAGTGAAAGGAGGAAATGTCCCAAAGAGCTTTTGACATAAAAACAGTGTGATTAGACTGTACTGTGCAGATGTAAGAATGTGAACTTTTGGCCGGGTTTGTTCATGCATCTGTGTCCAATCTGCTCCTTTTAAGTTTTTAATACGTCACAAATGGGCCGATCTGAACTGATATAACCCCATTTCTCAAAACAGTGGATCAGAGCAGAATTCTGTTATGTAAGATTCAGTGTGTAATTTAGCACAGATTACTGAACACTTTGGCAGTAAAATAAAATCACTTTCATTTTATATTTGGTGTTAATATGAGATTAAACATTTGGTGTGTATTTCGATTGTCATGTGGGCTGTGCCGATTTTAATCAAATTGAGAATCAGTTGTTTCAAGTCGTCAGTGATCCCTAAAAAAAAAATAAATAAGTGAATTTCCTTTGGGATCAATAAAGTATCTGTCTATCTGATGTTTGCTTGATGATTATAATTGAGAGGTCCACAATCAGTCCTCTGTCAGTAAAAGTATGTGGTTTGGAGCAGAGTTCAGACTTGAAATGATTGTGCAATTTTTTTGTGTTAAAGCCAAAGTATGTAACTTTTTAGCCAAAAAATTTTATGTTTTTTGGTCCTTATGTTGCACTGAAAAATATACTCCAAGCCCAGAGAATGGGCTAGCATCTTTACAAACTGTATTCTCATTTGGCACGCAAGCCTTTTCTACTGTTGTGGTCAAAAAGTGGTCCATATATTTAGTTACATTAAAATGTGTTTTGTCTGCCCTTAACTATGGCAGCCGACGGGGGTCAAACAAACTGCAACTGCCCAATGCGTCTCAGTTAGAGAAAACAACTTCAAGAACAGAAAAGATGCAAATTGATCAACTCAAACGCAAGTACCTGGGTGAAGCATCTTTGAGTGCCATGAAAAGAGCTATACAAGTGTTATGTACTACTGTTTTTTATTTACAAAACAAGGTGTTTGACTGATGTGTATTATTTGGCATCTTTTTCAGCGGAGGATGTGAGGAAGCTAAAAAACCGCGTTGCTACACTGGAGGCCGAAGCCGCTGTCACCTCTGCCCGGACCAGCCGCTTCTCTGGTGGAAATGAAATCAACAATTATGTCGATGGAGCTGGGGGTGCGGGGTCTAGTACTGACACCAAGCTCTACATAGGGGGAGGAGCCATAGGAACGGGAGGGGGCGGAGCAACAGCAGGGGCAGGAACAGTGGCAGGGGCAGGAGGGGCGACAGGGGCAGGAGGGGCAACAGGGACAGGGACTAGCACAGATACACGGGTAGGGGTGGGGGTGGGAGTCGGAGCTGGTGGTACTGCCGGAGGAAAGGCAGGGGGCGTGGCGGGTGGAACTTCTGGCACTGGTGCAGGTGGAGTGACTGTGGTTGGAGGTGGAGGGACGACTGGTGGAGGGGCAGGTAGTGCTGGGGGGGCAGTTGGAGGAGGGACTGGTGGAGGAGGCAGTAATGGAGCAGGGAACACCATCATCTACTTTGGAGGAGGAGGAGGCACCAGCGGAGGAGCGGGGACTGGCACCGTCACTGACACAAGGTACACACTGGCCTGTCACAATTAGGGCTGCACAATGTGTAGCAAAAATATCAATACCGTAAAACTGACTGACGCATTAACGAATATTGAGAAAATAAATTGCCTCCGACCACCGCCGTTACTCACACACACACCACTTTCATATTAGTTAATGCGGGTGACGTGTCTTGCTTAACAGTTTTTGCCACTGGTGCCCCACTGTGGCACCTGATTTTTAAAAGGGTTTTCCATTCAAGCACTAATCAGGCCTGGCTTTGCTTAGCTTCTGAGATCTGAGAAGGAGGGATCAAGCCTTGACAAGTACAAATTGCCCTACAGAGACAATAACCTACTTAACCTACCTAGCCGCTTAACCTACCTTACCTTACTAATGGGCATTTTTGTTATTTTTCTGTCCAGTAAAATTTGAGCTGTAGAATGCTGAACAATTACCTTCTATCACTCATTGTAGATACAGTCTAACTACATAAGTATTTCATTCTGTTATATATTTGCTGTAGCCCATATGTTTTTGACAATACTGAACATTTAGAATAGCTTTAGTGTTTTTGTGTCAGTGTCTTGAATTTGTTTGAATATTATCATTTACTGTCTATAGATCTAGATACACGGAGAGCAGCAGTGGCACTAGCTACACAGGCTCTACCAGCTATGGTGGAGGCAGCGCTGGGGGTGCTGGCTTCACCTGGAGCGGGGGACAACTGGATGCAGCCACTCTTCAGTCGGCCATTCTGAACATGTTAAGAACTGAACTGCAGTCACAAGCATTCAGAGGTAATACACAGCAATTCTGTTAACTTATTTTTTATTAAACATGGGACCTTTATTTTTTAAACTATTTATTTTCATAATTTTTAGAAACAACATTTTTAAATAATTTTTGTCAGTGAAGTGTATTGGCAGTTATTGATGACAGGTGTTCTCTGCTTTAGCATATTTAGTGTCTTCTGTTCAAGGAGAGCGGGGGCTACCTGGACCTAAAGGTAAAGAAAAGACTATTAAATAACATTAATTTCATAGTGATTCACATATTATCTTATATTATATTATATTGTATTGTATTATATTATATTAATTGTAAATATCTGTCTCTTTTAATAGGGGATCCAGGCTTGAAAGGTTCAAAATTATTATTATTATTAATTTATTTCGTTTGATTACCATTTACTAGATCATTAGATTTATCATGATCTGTTATTCTGTTTTACCAACAGGAGAAACAGGTTACCCAGGAATTCCAGGTGAGGATTAAAAATAAAAGGATGTTTTTGTTTGAGTTACCGGAGTGCACAACTTACAATGACCTTTGACCCCAGGTCCCATGGGTCATGCTGGTCCCGAGGGTCCCAAAGGCCAAAAAGGAAGTATGGGTATGTATAGAGTTGCATACTCTTGATTTGATAATGTGATGTGGAGAGTGCTATGCTATGTAAAAAGTGGTGCATTTATAAGAAGACAGCCATGTTTTGAGAAATAGAAGGGAATAAATAAAGATGGTGTGTTTGGTCAAAAAGGATTCACCCTTAATAGAAAGTAAATATTTTTTCTATTTTGTATCAAACAATTATACATATATGTTTTAACCATTCTGACACATGCTTGTTTGTGTGTCCAGGTGAAGCAGGACCCGAGGGGCCCCCAGGTATCAGGGGTCGTGAGGGTCCACCAGGCCCCAGAGGAGAGCCAGGACCACATGGTTTTGGAGAGAAAGGAGACAAAGGTATACAGTCTGTTCTCAAGCTGAGACATTGAAATTACAGCCAGAAGTGGAGAGCTGTGACTGACGTGTGTGTGTGTGTTTGTATGTGTGCAGGTGCTGCTGGTGAACCTGGTGTTGCTGGAATTATGGGCCCGGTTGGACCAAAAGGTATGTGATTTAATAGAAGACAAAGGCATCAATCGCATCCAGTTGAGATGATTATTAACACATGATGCAATCCTTTTAGATTTCACCAGATGGCAGTACTGAGAGCCCTGACCTCTTGATCACATGTACTCTGCAAAAGTCAAAGTTAGACTTTTAGATATAAATTAGAAATCACTGCTTTCTCACTGGTTCAATGTGACCATTAGTATTTTCCAGTGGAATGAGATTTCCAAGTCCAATTTTCTTTGGACAAAATAAGAAAAGCAAATAATAGCATTTTAAAAGAAAACAGAAAAAGTCAAAAATCGAGCAGGTCTATCAAGGATCTGAACTTCTCAGTAGATTAATAAAATTGTAAACTTTATTTCCTACCTGGATGACTGAGGCATTACACAAACATATTGTAAGCTTTACAAACATTCCTTCTGAGTTAATGAAGTGGAAGTTATCAGTTTTCAGTTACCCAGAACGCTCCTTGTCCCATGGAAAGATATCCCCTCGCCCTGTTTATTTGTCAGATGAATCTGTTGTTGTCCCTCCCTCTGAAGCCCAAGGCCTAAAGGGAAACAAGGTGTTATTGATCAGTCTTAAACTATTTATTTAGCCTAACATATTAAGTCAATTTGTTGTGAGTTAATTTCTTTTTCAGAATGTTTTTGTTATGGTACAGTAATCATTTACATAATATGTAAAATGTATTGACTTAATTTACCTTAATTTGAAGTTGCCAAAACTGGCTGGTTGCTTTGTTTGCATTTTTTATTGTGTCACACGTTGTCCCAAACAGCTACAATATGGTGTGGAGTACACATATATACTTTTAACGTAGTTATTTCAGGATGTACTTTCTGTCAGCAGCTTTGGATAAATGCTGTGGGTAAATCCCATGATGTGTTCACTTCACATTTTGCAGGTTTCACATTAGCCTCTGTTTACAGATAAGGAATAGGGCGGGGGGTTCAAATCTTGCCTCAGGTCTAGATGACCTGCTCTGACCAGACCCATAGAATGCTATACAAACAAAGCATGGTTTAAAATGTGTCACTTTCTGTTTGGACCACTACTATACAGCTAAGCATGCATCCATAACCATATCTTCTTGTTGTTCTTGTATTTAGGTATAGTGGGATCTCCTGGCCATGTTGGACCTCCAGGTGTGTTGTATTTTTATTACTCACATTTATGGCTGAGGACATGTATTATTGACTGTAGTTTGTATTATATTATGACTTTATTATATCACTCACAATGTCTTTTAATAGGCCAACCAGGTGTGCAAGGATTCCGTGGCGAACCAGGATTACCAGGGCTCAAAGGTAGCTTTTGTAAAATGATGATTATTCTTATGTAAAAATCTTTGAATGAATGAGGGATTACACCAAGTTGTTTCTTTGAATGAACTTTGAATGAACTTATTGTGTTGCCTAGGTGACAGAGGACTTCCTGGATTCCAAGGTCTCAAAGGTTTGTGTTGTAGACATTAAGCCTCTATATTTCATTGATCAAAAATCCTTCACATATAATTAAATCGTGGTTTGTATCTAGGTGAACCAGGCGACAAAGGTCCAAGGGGTCTGCCAGGTCAGTAATTACAATAACTTCAAAAACAAAACCCTAATGAGATGCAATATATTTGAACATAATAGTGTTTGATTGGAATATGTATGCTATCTGGACACACACACACACACACACACACACACACACACACACACACACACACACACACACACACACACTGCACCAGGCTACGGAGGGACAGAGGAGCTCATTTTTTAAAACTTGTACATATACTAATAATCATGCCTTATTTGACACCAGTTTCTTACTATTATTGCTATTTTTAATTGATTACTATATATTGTGATGTTTGAGCTGCTGTGTCCAAATAATGCCCCTTGTGGATCAATGAAGCTTTTCTAACATTTATTTAAACATTAAATTGTAAAAAAATACATTGTCCTTTCTCAGGTGACATTGGTGTACCTGGGGTACCTGGTCCAGCTGGAGAGAAAGGACCTAAAGGATCAATGGGTGAGTCTGACATCACTTTGTTTGGGTGTAAGGAGCTTTAATGTAGCCAAGATCTGCTTATGTTCTGTGTAATCTCGACAATCTATGAATATGGAGAAATATCTGCTTTCTTTTTTAGAATATTAGAGAAAAATAAGACAAAACAAACAAACAATGAAACAAATCTGCAACAATATCTCAAGATTAAGTGATTCATTAAAATAAATTCTCTTGAACAGCTGTAATAACACTAGTTTACCATCAGAGGGCAGTGGGGTACATGCATGTCTCCCTCTAGTGTTCAATGTGGGTTTAACAGCACAAGCAGATGTGGTAACTCAAAGCAAAGGTACTCAGTCAGATTTTGTATTTATTTTTTCTTTTGTTAAGGTCTTTCTGGGCAAGATGGTGCAAAAGGCTCAAGAGGTACATAACAGATACTTGTATTATTATTATGATTATTGTTGTTTTTATTTGAATGTAATCAGTTAACCGTAATGATCTCTTGTGGTTCTTCTTGGTTCGTAGGTGATCAAGGCCCTGTTGGACCTCCAGGACTCCGAGGCCCGGCTGGTCCTCCTGGAGATGCTGGTTTGCCAGGTAACCATGGAAACAGTTGCTCTAGATTCAGTTTATGCTGGTCATTCAGACTCATTTATCATCTTGTACATTATTACAGGTCAGCCTGGGCTTCAAGGACCTCCAGGTACTGCTCTAGTTTTTATGACAGTGTAAAGTTAATTTAGCAATCAATCAACAACGTTATTAATCCCAAATGGGCAGTTCAGTTTGTAGATCTCTGGTCGTACCAAATAAAATAATGTACATACACCACACACTATACATTCAAACCTCAGTGCATCAGGGGAGGCATTAGCAAATTTACTTTCCATTTAAAAGTTTTATGGCAGAAGAAATAAAAGAGGAGATGGACACAGTGTATGATCAACCTTCTTTATTTTTGGTTTTAGGAGTCGCAGGAATTCCAGGGCGTCCCGGTATCAAAGGTAAAGTCTCATGTGTGCATGTGTATTTGACATGTTTAAACATATCATGAAAAACATATTATGAACATCTCTTCTTTTCATGTTTAAGGTGAACCCGGTGAACCAGGAAGGATTATTAATGCAGGTAACAGAAGAAAACAGGTCTAATACTAAAGCACAGTTGTTCCCAATCTTTTTTACTGCATGAGCCCTCTTCTGCTCATACCAGTTAAGTTAACTGCAATCCTGAAAAATGCATTATGATAAAAATTATACCTAACTCACATTTATTTTACACAGGGTGATTTATTTTGCATCAGTTAGATTTTGTCTGATCAGACAGAGCTTTGGGAGCACCCTGTATCTCTCCCACAGGTTGGAGAGAACTGCTGTAGAGGATTAAGAGAATAATTCCATTTTGTATTTTAGCCGGTTCTACCTCAGTTGGCATCCCAGGACCCCCAGGTCCCTCTGGTCCCCCGGGTCCTGCTGGACCTCCAGGATTATCAGGTCTGAACTTCCACTGTCCAATTAGTGACAAGTGTTTATATAAAGTCATGTCATACTTCTATACATATCTCATTATAACTCCACTTGTCGTATTGTGTTTAGGTCCCATTGGTCCTGCTGGCCTTCCTGGCCAAACTGGTAAGTCTTCTCCTGTTCAAAAACCTCTAGGCCATTTGATCATTGACCTTCAACATAAGAGATCAAATGTTTTGTTTGGTTTAAGGTCCTAAAGGTGATAAGGGCGACAAAGGGGAGCCAGGAGTGAGCGTGACCACCAGTGAAACCATTAGCTCCAGTAGAACTCAAAGTAAGTGCTTCAAAACATAAAAGAAAGTAATACATCTGAAGCTCCCTCACCTCCACTCACATGTTTTCACTGTAATATGTTTTTGTTCAGGCCAGTATTCTGCAAGTGGAGCGTCTGGAGTAGTTGGCCCACCAGGGCCCCCCGGACCCCCAGGACCACCAGGGCGTCCAGGTAACAACTTATGAAATAATAAGTCATGATCTGTCTGATTGTATAAATCACTGATAAACCTTATCATGTTTTAGGAGATTCAAGACAAGGTCCACCTGGGCCTCCTGGTCCACCTGGCCAGCCCGGTAAGTATCACAAAAATGTTAAACAGTATTTTAAGACATTTGAAACTAATCAGATTTGTTTTTGCTCATCAGGCTATGGTAGACCAGGGCCTAAAGGAGACAGAGGAGACTCAGGCTTTGCTTCCAGCTCAGGCATGTACAGTATTATATAATGTTATAGTCTTGCATTAGTCTAACCCTAACCCCAAAGGACACTGATGCTTTGCAGGTACAACATTCTACACCGGGCCACCTGGACCACCTGGGCCTCCCGGACAGAAGGGATCAACAGGTATGTGTAGGAGAAGTAATCTGGTCTTTGTTTAAAAGTATAACAGTTTAATAAGACAATATATGATCATTTCTGCAGGAGCCCAAGGACCAAGAGGCCCCCCAGGTATGTGCTGTTTGTTTATGTTTGGTTTTGTTGAATGCCCCGCTTCACCAAAATAATATGTGTGTATTCTTTTCAGGGGAACCAGGAAACACAGGTATGTCTTAAGATAATGTAAACAAGTCTTTGTTGTGAAACATGAATGTTGCTGACTTCAAACCCTTCACAGTTTCTTACAGTGGAGTGCAGACTGTGCAGGGACCACCAGGGCCACCAGGGCCTCCTGGGCGCCAGGGACCACAGGGATTCAAAGGTAACCCCCCACCTCTAAAAACAGTAGCCAAACACAGCACAGAGCATGATTTTGGGTCAATTTGTGTCATTTTGACACTTTTATTTTCATCTTTTAAGGAGATCCTGGAGTCCCAGGTATTCCCGGCACATCCAGAGGTATTTCTTGTTTTTATGGTTTTATTGTCTCAGATGTTAAAAACTTACCTGTGATACTGGAAAATACCATTATTTTCTTGGGCAAGGCCCTTGTTACATTGCATATATGATAGATATAATATTACATTATTATGGATGTTTATTCTATCAGGCTCAGTGTCTGTCACTGCTGGCCCACCTGGTCCTCCTGGACCCCCAGGACCACCTGGAACGCCAGGCTTCTCTTCTTCCAGTGACATCCGCCAGTACATCAGTGAATACATAAGTATGGACCTTGTCAGACTATAACCTCTTTAACTAAAGAATGAGATGCAAAATCTGTGTTATCTGCACTTTTAGGCCGTAGTGGCCAGTTTGCTGTACCAGGACCTCCAGGCCCCCCTGGACCTCCTGGGGCCCCCGGATCCTACACTGGCTCTCTCGATGATCTGTCTGCTCGTATCATTGCATACTTACAACGTAGGTTTAAAGTTATGTGCAAAGTTATGAAATATTGTGTAGATTATAACTTTACAGCCTTCCTAAGACTTTCTTTTTCTGTTAAGGGTCAAGTTCTAGTGTGAGAATCGGTATACCAGGACCTCCAGGACCCCCTGGGCCCCCGGGTCAGGGTTCCCTGACAGTCAGTGCTCTCATAGCATTGTTACAGAGTGAGTACAGAGTCAGACTGATGCAACAAAGCCATCAATGAACATTATAAACAAAATGTCTTTTGAACTGTGCTCCTGCAGGAGATGATGTGAGAAGATATGTGATAGGACCACCAGGCCCACAAGGACCACCTGGACCCCCAGGAGCAACTGTCGATGGCGGTTATGGTGGTTACACTATAGAGCAGATAGCCACTTATGTCATCAAAATCATCACTGGTAAAGGCTCTCATCACACACTGTCTGTCTGTACGTATGATGTTTTAGTCTGACTCCTGACTGAATCTGTCTGTGCAGACAGAGGACTCACTCGAGGACCACCAGGACCACCTGGACCTGCCGGACCCCCAGGCCCTGGAGGCTCAGGATTCACTACAGCCACCATTGATTATTCTGCTCTTTTGAGAAGTACTGCCTCTTTTAGAGTACTCAAAAAATGTTGTCGTCTTCATGATGTTGTTCTTAATAATTATTTCTGCACATTTAGATCCTGAATTCCGCTCGTGGATGACCTCTGCTATACAACACAGTAATGCTGGACCCCCAGGCCCACCCGGTGTCCCAGGACTGCCTGGTCCCCCTGGACCACAGGGACCTCCTGGAGTGTCCACCTCCACAGTCTATGGCTCAGGAGGTCGCAGCTACAGCTTTGAGGACATCCAGAGATACATACAGAGTAAGTCCAGGGTCAATGCATTGTTTTCAGTCAAAGGTTTCAGGCAAATAATTATTTCCTAAGTTGAAGGTTTTTGTGAAGACCATTCCACATTCAGAAGATACCACTTTTGTCTTATATTCTTGTGTTTTCAGCTTCTGGCTTACGAGGTTTGCCAGGGCCTCCAGGTCCCCCAGGCCCACAGGGACCACCAGGCAGTTACAGTGGTTCTGTCACATACAGTGGAAACTTCCCCCGAGAGAGTATCCGTTCTGAGGTGCAGGAGTATCTGTCCAGTGAGTACTAACTTCACCATGTCTTACACAGTGTGACTGAAGGCAGAGCTTCAGGTAAAGCCATCTCAGATTTATATAATAAATGATTTGTGTTTTCAGGTGAGAGTGTTCGCCGCTCCATCATGGGACCTCCAGGGCCTAAAGGACAGAAGGGAGACCGTGGAGATTCAGGTGTTATTCGCACCCAGACTCAGAGTTTCTCTCAGGGTGATTCTCGCTATGGCACCCATGGGACTCAGATCAAAGAGATCGACATCAGTGGGCTCACAGAGACACTGGACTACTCTAATGTGGCCATGAAGGTCACAGACTACATTAAGAGTGAGTAGCCTTGAGTTCACACTGCAGAAATGTACTGTCAGACAAACGTCATGTTTTTTTTTCTTTCACTGTTGATCAGATCAAGGCCTCCTGCAGGAGTATCTGGTAGATGGACCTCTGAGTCGAACTCAAGTTCGAGCTATTCAGGGCCCTCCTGGTCCCCCAGGCCCCCCCGGCCCTCCGGGATACAGCCGTGTCCTGGCCTCCTACGGCAACATCACTGCTGACCTGATGGACTTCTTCAGAGGTAATAATACAATGAGTTTTTGTCATCAAAGACATAAGACAGGACAGCACATGCCTACACAGGACAGTGTTCCTTTCCTCTGACCAGGGTCCAGGAACTAAGCCACTTGGCGCTACATATTAGGGCCACTTTTAAGCTGTGTTCAGACCACGGTGTCAAAAAACACACTCAACAGCTCTTTGCATTTGACTTCAGATTCCCCTGAAGATGCCGTGGACGAGGATAATCAATAAAAAACATTGAAAAAATGATTTGTGCAAGACTGCAGCTCTTGGAGCTAATTTCCATCTGCAGTCCCTGAGAGAGACAAACCATAGAATACAAAAATAGCACAAACAATGTAATCTATATACAAAACAATATAAAAAGTACAATGACATTAAATATCTTTATCCCTGCTCCCTCTGTGCCCTTAATCAGTTGACTTAACACACTGGACAGTGAGTCACTGATTATTTGTTGTTTTACTCTTTAAAAACAAATTCCATGACTAAATGTTTTTGATTAGTAATTTGATGCTAACACAATGTTACTACAGCTAGTGAAATCACTCTTTTCATTTTAAATGATTGTCAGATACTAGAAATGTAAATGTACAGGATTACACCATACATCCTGGCAAAATAGTGTAAACTTTAAACAGAACGTAGAGCTTAACTGAAGCTGGAAACTGTATCTTAACTGTCACTAAATCTCCTTTGTTACAGCACATGGCACCATCCCAGGCCCTGTAGGACAACCCGGTCCCAGAGGGGAAAGGGGCTACCCAGGACCCAAGGGAGACAAAGGTAAAAGAGGAGTGGTTTGGAAACATAAATATATAGATAAATATATACTGTTATATTTTTATATAAGATAAGTATATACAATTTTAAATATTTTTCCAGGTGATCCGGGACAACCAGGTCTACCAGGATTACCAGGAACATACACTGTACAAATTCCACACAGACTCCAGAAGAGAGACACAGGTACAATTTGTCTATAAACCCCAACTCAATTTGATACTTTTTTATATTAAGCTGCACTGTGTAACTTTTCTGGTGGATGGTTTGTCATGGAACTGTTATTGCTTGGTTTGGAATGATTCACAGTATGGCATTAAACCTTTATATCTTATGGAGATCAAACCAGACCAAGTTACAGGTCAGATTTGTGAAAAGGCAACCTGCTCAAAGTCAGAATACTTGTTTCTCTAGGTATTTTTGAGCTATAAAACCTGTAATTGAATAAATCTAATGTAGGGCTGTTTAAATTCATACTGTGGAATATTCCAGGCAGAGCAATGACATCTCCATGGAAACAAGCAGGTGACAGACCTCCAAGGAAAAATCACATAGTACACCTTTAACTTTATAACTCTATAACATCTGTCCTCTCTTTCAGCTAAAAAAGTGCATGGTCTTCGTCACAAAGATCTTCGCCCAGCTGATGGAGGCTGAACATATGATTCTACTGGGTCATCTGCATTTCACTTTTTCTCACTTGTAGATGTTTTACTTTGTAGCAGTTTATCCATTTTAAATGCTCAGGCTTGCACATGTTTGTGGATAAATAAAAGTGGCCAAATGCATCTGTCTCTCCATACTGAAATGTTACATAGAAGGGTGAATGATTGATTTTAGACATGGGTGTATAATGTTTACTTGCCAAGTTAGAAGCTTGCTTTTATACTTTTTAATGAAATATTGTTTTATTGGCATTTTCGCTTGTTTTGTGCGTTTCTTTGAGTGTCATTTAGTGTTGTGTTTTGTATTTTTGCAGGACTATATTGTAATAAGGAATATACACTTGTTAAATACTGATGTCATTGTCATAAAAGGGCTATAGCAAATCATTTTCTTTTTAAAGTGCCTATGACAGGTTAGACTACTCACTTTCAAAAACATTCACACCTGTTTTCCCAGTTTGGCTATTTTTTTAGGTTTCAGATTTTACTTCTTGGTTGGAAATCATAACATCACACTAGAGAATTCCATAACTGTTACCTCGCAAAACTCCTCTAATGTACACAGAAATTAGCAAGTGATAAATACAAATATAAGATAAACACCTTTATTTGAATGAAATCCAGTTTAAAGTATCAGAAAAAAATGTGTTTCTTACGTGTAAATTGTGCTGAACTTTTGGACAGAATTCTCTCTAGTGTGATGTCATCAGTGTGTTTGAACTACTTCCTGTAATTTTCCAACATGTTTTTCAACTTTTTTTCACAAATGGCTTCTTGATTTGTGTAAAACTATAGTTTATATTTAAAATAGCCATAATCCCATGATATGAATTCAAAATGATCATAAAAATGTGTCATACGCACTTTAAAGCCAATATTTTAAGACTGGTTTACTCATTTAAATCAGTTTTCAAAATGCATAGTGAGTTATCTTTCAAATGGACACAATGAATGAACTGAGGCTAGTTTTTGCTTTACTTGAAAGGTGCAATGATGAAAATAGTATTGAAGGCCTAAGATGGAGTCAGATAATCACAAAAAATTCTTCATTGGTTTGTATATTTTTGTAAAATTGAGCACTGAAATATACGCTTTATAGTGTTGGAAAGATGATCATGATTTACATTAAAATGCTATATTTGAATAAATTTATTTTTTGGAATCGTGAGTATTTATATTTTATGTATAAAATAAACAGCAGTACAGTGGTTTATTACTGAAGGGTTGACAGATGTTATTTGGTCTTGAAGGCACACTGTAAATTTGCTGAAGGTCCACCAGCTGCTTGTTTCCATGGAGATCACATTGCCTGGAAAGTTCCAAAGTATGGCTTTAAATTTTTCTATCTCCATGGAGACAAGCAGGTCATGCCACCAGACCAAGTTACAACCCAGCTCACAGGAAGTTAAAAAAAAACATCTATAAATGAGATAAATGACAGACAAGTTTAATGTCATACTGTGGAACATTCCAGGCAGAGTACAGAAAAAAAACTGGACAACAAATATTAAAAACCGTCCATATTTTATTTACATTAATAAAGGCAACTTAAAATACATCTGATTTGACATAAGAAATGCATACTAGTCAAATAATAAATCTTGTGACCAAACAAAATATAAAATGTCATTCAGCATCGATAACAGCAATGAGAAGATCAACAGTTAAGCAATGGCAAAATAATCCAGCGTAATCTTTAATTTATAAAGACCAGATATATCCATAAATAAAATGGGAATTTCTTTGTAACGTGCCATACAGCAAGCTAAATATACGATTTTAAAAACTATAATAGTAAAATAAGGTATTTGGAATAAAAGGAACAGCTAAAATGGAAGGTGGCGATGTTTTATGATTTCAGTCAGTCTGTATTTTGAACAGACAGAAGCAGCAAAGGGTACTGTACCATCATAAGAGATAGTAAAGCTAAATGCATATTTAATCATTAACCAATGTGCGAAACAGTGCAAATAAACAGCATTACATTCCCTTAGCATCCATGTGTCTTCATTTTCAAACATTAGCTCAAAGTAACTCCCTAAAAGTAATCAGATGTACAGCATATTATCATCATAAAGGTGCACTATGTAACTTTTTTGGTTAGGGTCCATCACCCGCTTGTTTCTGTGGAGATGTCGTTGCTCTCTCTGCAATGTTCCACAGGTCTCCATGAAGCTAGAAAGGTTTAATACCATACTGTGAAACATTCCAGACAAAGCAATAACATCTCCATGGAGAAAAGTATTTGATGGAACCCTCTTCCAAAAAAGTCACACAATGCACCTTTATGTTTTCCAATGAAAAACATGGAATCATGGAAAATGATTTTATAAAAGTTGCTCTGATTTAACTCAGTAGAATACAGTCATCATCACAATGTGTGATTCACCTCATATGTAGATTACTTTTTTTTTTTTTTATCTCATTCAGAATGCACATTAGCTTATTTTTTACTATGACACTTTTTTCTAATTTCTCAAGAGTAAAATGCATACTTTCTTTCTTTTTCAGTGACCCAAATATTATATTTCTGACACTAGTATTTTTTGTTTTCCTAAATTGAACATTCAGGGAACTGAAAGACGCTTGGATTCATATTAGCCTACCAATGTGAACATGCTGGGAAAAGTGCGAAACATCTTTTTCTTTGGGCCCTAATCGTCATGAAGGAGGGAGGACTAGTTTGGTGTGAGCGTGTACTTGGGTTAGGCACGTCCTGCTCCCATAAGGTAAAATCCATCGTGTTTTGACATTTTCATGGTTAGTTGGATCCTCCATCTCCCCCCTGATAAGAGTCCTTAAGTGCAGCTTGGTGCTCAGAGGAAGTTAAACACCGGAGTTGTGCATGTTGGGAATGGGGTAGAACTTGGACACTCGACTCTGAGTGGTCGGATTAAGGCACTCAGACTCTCCGCTCATTTTAAAGAAGACTTCCTGCTCCTGGAGCTTTCTCTGGAACTCCTCCTCCAGTGCCTGCAGGGGGCAGTACATACAAGTCAGTGAATTTGAATTGGATTACACAAAGGCTTCATAATATATTTGTATATAACTATGCCTTATTTGAGACTAGTTTCTTCACTTATTTTGAATTTATTATTATCATTTACATTTTTGCTCATAGTTATTATAATATATAGTCATGTGTGAGCTACTGGGTCCAAATAGTTTCCCTGGTGGGTCAATAAAGTTGTGTCTAAATCTGACTCTAAAACCAAAATAAAACCCTTACCTTTTTCCGGGGCCTCAGCTTCTCTCTCCATTCTTTGATTTCTTGGTTGTGCTCTTCGTCAAGTTCTTTCAGCTTCTGTGTCTCGTGTTCGATCAGCAGATGACATTTCTCATTCTAAAAGATAACACAGGTGAGCATGTGATATCAAGGAATGGGAAGAAATAAAATGTTAACTTTAAACAGATGGGCAGATTTTATGCCATTTTCTGCTCTATATTACAATGTTGTTTCCTCATCAAAAACAAGCCTTTTTTTGTTTTGTTCACACGTTTAACACAAAAACCTTACATATTCAGGCTGAATTCTTCTCTTAAACAGAAAAAACTTGTTGTGATGTCATGTGGTGGTAATACAAGAAGTGCTCCACTGTAAACTCTGTAAACTCTGTATGCCTTCATTTGAATCATTCGGACATAATTTGATACTAGAATAATCTGTACTAAACCAAAGGTAAAAAGGTAGCTGAAACCTACCACTTCATGACATCAAAAGGTGGAGCAGACCATATTGAGTTTTGACGATGTAAACAAACTAATAAACCAGACTTGCTCAAACATGTGAATCAACCAAAACACAACTCCAGGTATGTTTTTGATGAGGTGACAACATTATGACATGGCTTAAAGATTAAATTTTGGGTATAATACAGGAACTTTAAATTGGCCATATATTAAAGATTTTTGGTTCACTGTATTTATATGGCTTCTATTTGGACAAACAGATGATGAATATTATGTCTTGCAACAAGCAATGGATGGCCTTGCACAATGTCACTGATAATGAATTTAACATTAACAATAATTACAGAGAAAGAATTGCATTTCCTTTGCCTATATCCTCAGCGTTGCCATATACATGAGTGTGCAAACGTACTTTAAAAACAGTGTTGTAACTATGACCTTTGCTCTATAGAAAAGACAGACCTTGTCTTGAGAATATTATGAGAAAAGACAGAGAGCAGTTGGCCTTGACATAGTTGCTGTTTAGTGCTTAATGTGTACACTCTCCGTCTCCATGGTTACCTGCAGCTGTTGCAGTTCTCGGACATTGGCGTCACACTGGAGCTGCAGGTCTCTCATCTGGTTCTCATGTTTTTGATGCTGATGGAGCCTCTCGTTCTTCTGACGCTTCTCCTCCTGAGCAGCAAACTAAAACAGAGGCATGTCCTTTAACTCACGGTTTATCATGATTTATCAAAGTCACAATCAGCATATTAAAATTGTTGTACTGCAGAGCTATGATAGTTACTCATTTTGTAATGTTATTTGACAAAAAAAACAACAACAACTTGCATCAGATCGAAGACTATGGTGAATTAACCTATGCTGATCTACGTTATAATGTTGTACTCTCATCACACATGTTAAACACACAAATTGTGCATATTTGGTTCTTCTCTCAGACAGTAAACACTCTGTTCTGTATATGCATTTTAATTCTAAACTGTGTAAAACCATGCCATGTTTCAACTTTAACTGAGCATATACAGGCTTTTTAAACGTCTATATAAAAAGTAAAGGATTAATTTACACTACATAACTGAAATATCGATACCTGCTCAAATGTGTATCTAGTTTCGATACTAGTTTTAATATCAATTAGTATCAGTTAGTAGATTTTCGATACCAGCTAACCCAAAGTCTTCATGTAAACACAGGAGACTTAGGTCTGTAGTACAATCCCCCATTGCATTTGAAAAACATGAACAACAAAGCATGTCCTCTCTTCCTCCCCTTCCCTCTCCTTCTGCTCCTCTCGTTTAAGTATATAAATAAACTGTTGTGCTCACCTGCTTGATACGCTCCCTCTCCTGCTCTGGAGTGACTGCTGCTGTAGCGGTGATCCTGAGGCTCTTCTTGAACATGGCCATCCTGGTTTTGGCTTCGCTCCTCTGGATCTTGGGGAGACGTGCTCTCTCCTGAGTCTGTTTGTTCTTCAGCTCCTCGATCAGGCGCTGGTTGAAACGCTGCATCTGCTCCATTTCCTTCACAAGCAACAATATTTGGAATTAAAGGTGCACACATAAGTTTTTGGTTGGAGGGCCGTCACCTGCTTGTTTCTATGGAGATGCCATTGCTCTGCCTGGAATGTTCCACAGTATGATATTAAACAGCTCTACCTTACATTTATTGAATTACAGGTGGTTTTACAGCTCAAAAATACCTAGAAAAAGTGTGTGTGGTTGCCTCTTCACAGATCTGACCTATAACTTGGTCTGGTTTGGTCTCCACGAAGATAGAAAGTTTTAATGCCATACAGTGAAACATTCTAGACAAAGCAACAACATCTCAATGAAGAAAAGCATTTGACGAACCCCCTCCAGAAAAGTTACACAATGCACCTTTAAGACAACTCACCAAACAGCACACAGAAAACTAATTGTTGACATAGAACAACATCTCTGGTCGATAATTTAGAAATGATGAATGCACTAATCCAGGCAGGGGACTATTGTGGCCCCCCTTAGTCTAAAATTCTCCCCCATAAAAACAGCCTGGACCATATTAACATAGCAAAATTAGACTTTGTTCGTCATTGTATTATCATAAAGAGACTGCACTGGTCAAAAACGACTGATTAAAGATTAAATACAGGCAGAAACTGATATTCATACTCCACAAATGTAATCAAATTAAATGCTGCAGATACATTCTTTGTGCCACCATACTCTTAAACAAAATCTACGGGAAATAATGTCAGGGGTTCTCAAACTTTTCAGGCCTTGCTATGTCCATTTATAAAGTTTATGGCAGGGGTCTCCAACCTGTAGCTCAGTAGCTTGCCAAGTGACTTCTGAATTATACGTACTGTGCTAAATAAGTCAAATTTGATTAATTAATTTCATATTACCATTGTACATATACCATTTTGATGCCTATCTTTGTGCATGACAAAATGGATAATGTTTTTTATATTATAGGCATCTAACTGTACCTTGGCTTGCCATGGCTCTTACATTTATTCAATTTCTTATGACCACTAAAATTAGTAGCTCTCTGGCATTTTTGTTTGAAGGCCCCTCGTCTATGGTATGAACACATTATCAGCAAATGTAATGCTCTACAAACTGTTACCTTCTCATGCCTCTTGAGCAGCTGATGTCTCTGCAGGAAGTACTGGTCTTTAAGCTGCTGCTTGAGCTGCTGGTGCTTCTCCTGCAGGTGGCGCTCCTCCAGCTCCCACATAGCAGCTTCTCTGGCTACAGCACACACACAGAACACACATATTATTTTAAAAGGTACACAACATTGATTATTGTGAGCTTTAAGCCATGTTATAATGTTGTTATCTCCTCAAAAACATACCTGGAGTTGTTTTGTTTCATTCACACATGTTTGAGTAACTCTTTATTATTAGTCTGTCTACATCTCCAAAGCTGAAAATGCTGTGTTCCACCTTGTGATGTCATGCAGCTGTACTTCTCATGTGGACAGTTACATTTTACCTTTAGTTCTGTAGAGATTGTCAATTCCAGGTCTGAAATAATTCAAATGGTTCTAGAGAAGGTGTATGGAGTTTAAAAACACAGTGGAGAACTTCCTGTATTACCACATGACATCACAAGGTGGAGTGTTTTCAGTTTGAGAGGAAAACTCAGTCTAAATATGCAGGTTTGTGTGTTAAACTTGTGCGACTGAAACAAAACGGAACTCCAAGTATGTTTGTGATAAGGTGATACATGGGCCCTTTAAATATCAGAGTGCACACACAAATACCGGTTGAACAAAAGCCATAAAGTACAGTACAGTGTGAGGCGTGCTGAGACATGTCCTAGTCCCATAATGATGACCTAACACCATGACAGCGTCTCAAGCAGCTGCTGGTTTCCATTTATCTCAGTGTGTCAACATGGATATTAGCATACGCAGTTGAAGCTGGCTAAACACGGCTTCCGTTTTGTCAAGGGCAATTTGTCGCTGAATGTTAATGCGCTGGCTGTCTGGAGCTGTAGAGTCTCACAGCTGTGGGGTGGGAATCCAATACGGCTTTTTTCATGTGCTTTTCTCATAATTTTGGAGTTTAATAAAATAAAAAGATTGGGCTGTCAACTGTGAGCCAGGGAAACAATAAATTATGTGACAGGAAATTGATTTCTGATGACAGTTTGAAAGACACTGAATAGATTTAAAACAGAGTCGCTTAAAAATCTGGTTCATTGCTCATTCAATCAGAGAAGAGATGCTGACCCAAAGGTTGCTGAGTAAATTCCTAAGATATTGCAAATTGTCAATGTATTCCACGATATTTGCCTCTATAAATGATAAATGACAAACTGAGCTGTAATTGGCACAGATGAGTGAATAAATTATGAATCATTGTAGAAATTGAATCATTTGAATTGAACCTTAGAACTGTAGTTGACTAAAGAAATTGTTGGTCGACTAAAAACATGACTTAACTAAAAGGGCTTCTCAAATTGATTATGTATCTCAATGTAACTGACCCAAACCGCCCTCGTAAGACTACACCCGCATCGTGTTATTGCAAAAACAACTATTTATGGAGAAAAAACGTACTAGGAAGCAATGTAATTTTATAAAGACAAATTAAACTTCTGTATCATGAGTTTGATCTGCAAACAATGCATACAAAAATGTCAAATCTTCAGCAAACTCACTCACTTAATAACTTCTCATCTCCGCTGTTGTCCCATGAAAAATACTTATAATTTTAATAAAATAATTGCTTAACTAATATAAATTTTGGTAGACTAAGACACCATTGACTTTTATCCACCGTCTACATCCCTACATACACTAATTAATACAAAAAATATATAAGCACCAGACACAAATATAGTACACCATGCATTGATAAGGACACAGTAGTATAAAGGTGCATTGTGTAACTTTTCTGGTGGAGGGTCCATCAAAAGCTTTTTTCCATGGAGATGTTATTGCTTTGTCTGGAATTAAACCTTTTCATCTTCATGGAGACCAATCAGGATAAAATACAGGTCAGATCTGTGGAGAGGCAACCTCACTCACAGTCAGAATGCCTGTTTTTCTAGGTACAGGGTATCCCCAGGTTTGACTGTATCCCCAGGTTTGACTGCCCCAAATTTAAGACTTTTTAAAGACTTCTTTAATACCACTTAAATGAAAATTAAGACCAACATCGCACCCATTATGCGGGCGAAAAACACCAGATCCAATTCTAATAATGACCAACCAACTACTATATCTAGAATCTGAGAGCCACTGTGGATTAAACCTACACATCCCCATGATCCACCCAACGTCTTCCTCCACTGTACTGATTGTTTACTCATTGCCGCCGGCGCCAGAAACCAAAGCATTGTTTGCACATACTCCAAATTAGACGTTCATTCATGTTAAGTGATTTCACGTTGTTTTTTTATCCCTTCATTTAACATTGCACTACAGCCCGGTTGAGTATACAAAAAAATTTAGACTTGGACATGTTACAAGTAACATGTAAAATCTTAGGCAGCTCAATGACATAACCATAGAAATAAGCAGGTGACGGACCCCCAACCAAAAAGTTACACAATGCACTTTTAAGTATTGAATATTGGACTGACCTCTCATGAGCTGCTGCTTGTGGTTGAGGCAGTCTCTCTCTATAGTGGAGATTTCCAGTTTGTGTTGTTGGATGATCTTCTTCAAGGCTCCGTCCAGTTCCTGTTGCTGCTTCTGTAAGAACTCCTGCTCCTTTAGGGTCAGAGAGAAACAGCAGTTAGGAAGCTGTGAAACCGAGATACACCTAAAGTAATAATAACTACAAGGTATTTTTGCATTATGGAGAAAACACACAAGATCACGTCACATCAACAACTCCTGTAGGATGGAGAGACAGAGAAAAACAGGTATATTATGCTTACACAGAGATTTACCATTTTATGTAACCTCAACATTTAGCCCCACATTTACTAAAAAATATGCTTTTTTTTAAAATAAATTTTTAACCAGATGTAATCCTCTGAAATGTAATTTGAAAATAAATATAAAAGGTTCACTTAGGAGTATAGATTCCAAAATGAGTAAACTGCCTATAGGAAAAAAAACTGTCAAAATTCATGCACTTTTGTTTTTAACTAAACACTGAAGTCCATTCCATTTTTGTGTAATTCTTCAACCAAAACTCTGTAATGAAGTACATAAAAAAACTGAATTATGATTAAAATAACTTAAAGGGTCTATTTTATGCTGTTTTCTGATCTATGTTATGTTGTTTCTTCATCACAAACATACCTGGAGTTGTATTTTGTTTCACATTTAACAAGTTTAAGTCACAAACCTTGCATATTTAGGAGTTCTTCTCTCAAACTGAAAACACTCTGTTCCACCTTGTGATGTCATGTGGTAATACAAGTGCTTTTTAAACTCCATGCACCTTTACTAGAATCATTTGGTTGATTTCAGATCTGGAATTGCTGATCTCTGAACTAAAGGTAAAAGATAGCTGTTAACTGAAAAACTAAATTACCGACATGACATCACAAGGTGGAGCAGAGCATTTTGAGGTTTGGAAATGTAGACAGACTAATAATAAAGGGTTAGTCAAGCATGTGTGAATGAAACAAAACTGCAGGTGTGTTTTTGATGAGGTAACAGCATAATAATGTGGCTTAAACCTCACAAGAATCAATTTTGTGTAATACAGGACCTTTAACTACTGTATAATATTTTACACATTGACAGTTCAACAGGAAAACTATAGACAGAGGAGGAGCAGAGAGCCACTGCACGACCACAGCGATGAACACTCAAAAACACAGGGCCCATGCTTCAGGTGCTGCTGTTACCATTACACACTAATACCCCAAAGACAAGAAGCACGTGTAAATATGGGCCAAATTGAAGGGAGAAAAATCCACTGCTGGGAGGAGACTTACATCCTGCATCTGAGCGTTGAAGAGTGCGCATGAGGACAACTGAAAAGACTGAATCATAACCTGGGCCACTGCCTGTGAAGGAGAGGGGGACAGAGGCACACGCAGCAGCTAGAGTCACACTGTAGGCTTACATAAGGGAAGGCCTGAGCACTTACGCATGAGCCAGCAAGCTAGAAGGAAGCTGTCATTAATTATTAGTTAGACACACAGACTGTTTGTTTCACTTTGTCATGCCAAGTAGTGAAAATGTTCATCATGTTCAAAGGCAGCCTGGAATTGAAGCAGTTTGGTTAGGTTAGGTTTTCATGCTAACGGCACAGTATTGCAGTTTTAAAGTTGAGATTTGCATTTGTAAGTGTATACATATCACACATATTCCTTATAAACAAAAACAATACCATGCATATTTTTTGAAACTGATGCATGGTGACAAAAACCAAAAAAGCAGTTGTGAATCACTTATACTGTAGATCCATTTTTCTCAAACTGTGGTACGTGTACCACTGTGGCTTATGGGTGGGACTCCGCAGTATTTGTTTTATTTAATGACTAACAGTGTTGTTCTCCTTTGGGTTAATCATTATTTCTAACTACACTATCCATGGCTTAGTGTCAGTTTAGATCATTTTAACTAATTTATGCATATGAACATTTACTGTATAGATAAATGGACACAGCTGTCACGTTCAAACAGGAAGTGAGAATGGGGGTACTTCCGGCTCCATCAGCTCATTATATATTAATACTCGTAATATGGAACGGGCTTTAAATTCACTCCTATTAACCGCAAGCACCATGAGCTTCATTTGACTGGAGCCGAACACTATAGGTGACATCACACTCCCTTAGTCCACGTCTTTATACAGTCTGTGCCTATGAAATTATATAATCCGGGTTTAGATCTGGTGATACTTAGAAAACCAAATACTAGTGTAAAGTAAACATCAATTCTAACCCTTTAATGAATGCGTCAATGAATACTGCTATCCATCCAAGTACTATTTTTTGTTTTCCTCTACTCAGAAAGAGCAGAATAAATGTCAAACAGTTCAGTGTTATATGTTTACCTCTGCAGTCTTTGTCAAGGACAGGTCCTCCTTTAAGCGTTTCATGAGCTCTTTTCTCAAATGTTTGGGGGACTGTCCGACCTCCATTTTCACCTACGGTTTGGGTTTGCAGACAATGGTTCAAATTGCTCTTCTCTTTCAATCATAGCAGGACAGGTCCAGCCCGATTACTTACATGCAAAGGATTATCGAGAGCTTCCACCACCAAATTGATTTAGTTTTTCAGTTTTTAATTAAAATAACAATTTTTTAAAAGTAATACATATTTAGTAATCCCGAAATATTTAAATAGCAGAGAATCAAAAGGCACCAGAAAATTATCAGCAGAAATAAAGAGATTTAAAGGTGCAACTATGCAACTTTTTTTTTGGAGGTTTGTCACCTGCTTGTTTCTATGGATATGTCATTGCTCTGCTTGGAATGTTCAACAGTATGACATTAAACAGCTCTACCTTACATTCATTCAATTACAGGTGGTTTTATAGCTCAAAAATACCTAAAAAATTCCACAGAACTGACTTGTAACTTGGTCTGGTTTGGTCTCCATGAAAATAGAAAAGTTTAATCCTATACTGTGAAACATTCCAGGCAAAGCAATAACATCTATATGAAGAAAAGCATTTGATGAACCTTCCATCAGAAAAGTTATGCAATGCACCTTTAAGCATATTGAGAGATTAGTTTCTGAGTCACCAAGATCTTCTAGATTATAAAGAATATTAAAAAATCCAGGGAAGAAATAATAATTACGTAGCATTATTCTATTGGTTAATATTACCATTCTGTGAATAGAGCCCAGCACTAAAGTTAAAATTAATCAGAAAATAGGCATTCCCATCACCAAAGCTTCCTCACACTCATACCAAAACACAAAGTTATTGACAATATTACAATAAAATAAAAAATGAAATGCATTTCAATAGAACAATGTACAAAAAAGAAGCAAAATCACCTCAGGTATGAAATATAACGGCAGCAATAGCAAAGCATTGATAAACTGGGCACACCTTAAGAGTCTGCCAAGAAGTGAAAACAGTTCCTTAAAGGGCCCATATTATGCTATTTTCTCATCTATGTTATAATGTTGTTTCTTCATCACAAACTTATCCAGAGTGGTGTTGTTTTTTTTCATTCACATGTTTAACACACAAACCCTGCATATTCAGGCTGAGTTCTTCAATCAAACAGAAAACACACTGTTCCACCTTGTGATGTCATGTGGTAATACAGCAAGTATTACCACATGACATTACCTCTTGCTGTTTTTAAACTCCATACACCTTCACTAAAATCATCTGGCTAATTTCACTCACACAACTCTGGGTATGTTTTTAAAGCGTTAACAAGATTATAACATATCTTAAAGTTCACGGGAGTCAGTTTTGCATAATATAGGACCTTTAGCATCTTTTGACTTGAGATATAGGCATTTTGAAATGTTATTAGACAGTTAAAATAGTTCCAGCATTGCAGCACTACTTGGCAACAACCACCAGAGTAGTTCATCAATAATAGATCCCAAAGGCCGTAGAAGCATTAAAGCAGCCATATACGCCTATACCTTCACACCCAGACTATATTACAGAAGAGCAATGCAGACAGTTTCCTTAAAGATTATTGAGCCAGAGATAAGAAGCCACCAAAGACCTGCCACAATAAGTGCAGTATTGACTTATCATTCAATTTGTAACATTATCTTTTTCTCAGTATTTTTAAGAGCATTTGTTTCCACTTAAACTTAAAAAAAATGATCTAATCTTCTAATTTTGGAAGTCGCAGAACAATTTGTGAGTACATGAGCTTATATGGGCTTGTCATGGTTTGATCCCAGTTTAGTCCTGATGTAGACTTGGTTTGGTCCTGTTCTAATCCTAATTTAGTCCTGATCTAGGAGTCCAGTTTTCCCATATGTACATATTTTATAGTAATAATGTGTTATAATTTATTTCAACTTGTAATTATGGCTGTTATCACTAATTAAGTCTTTTAAGAAAATATCTTCTCTATAGCAATATGTTTGGGATGTAAAAATATGCAAATTTTACAATAACCTCACATGTATCAGTATGGTTAGGGATGCACCAATCAGATACTATTATCGGATATTGGTGCGATACTGAAAAATTTGCTAGATCGGATATTGGTTTCCAAATATTGGTTCAGTCAATATCCAGGTTGAGAATATAATTTGATGTACTAAGATGATTTTTACACAGAATTGTTCTGTAGATACATGAGTGATAAATAACAACTACATAATATATTTAGATTAGTTGTGTCTGATTAAGTAAATAAATTAACACATTTTCAGCCTCTGACTGGTATCAGCTGATATCGGGTATCAGTAGATACCAAAAGTATCAGAATCGGTATGAAAAAGTTGTGGTATCTACAAAAGTCTTTGATAATGTTTCTATCTCAGGTGTAATTAAACAAAGCCAGTATTGCGACGTTCTTTCAATATATCATCCTTTGAATTACAGATTGTGACAGGCCTCACCCCACGGCTTCACCACATGCACATTCTATGGGCACTCCCCATCACCACACATAGACACTGAAGCTGACAGAGCACTGAGAGAAGCAGCCATGCACCAACATACCTCCTTCTTGCGATTCTTCATCATGTTCTGAAACTTAGAGAGCTCCTTGTCCTGCTCAGACTTGATGCGTTTGGCCTCGTCTCGGAGCCAACTCGTGTGGTCGTGTTCCAGCCTCTCAATTGTCTGCTTCTGCTTCTTCTCCAGGTTCTCCACCTCTGTGTCATACTGACGCTTTTTGGCCTGAATACAAAAGCAATCCAGATGCAATTTACTGTTTTAGTACTGAATATGGCTGTAGCATCAGGTCATCAGGCTTAAGGCAATGATTGATGAACTAACACAGACAACTCACAGTTCAGTGTTATATAGTACTGAACATGGTCACATACATATATTGAACTCATACTGAATCAGGCCATCAGTCTGAAGGTAGTGATTTGCACACAGATAGCAAGGATAAAAAAAAAAATAAAAAAAAGATAATAGTGAGAGGGGGCAAAAAAAGAAGCTTTTTTTTTTTTTTTTTTTTTTTTTAATTCAATCTATACCAAAAATGTAAACCTACCTGTAAGGTGATTTTTGATCTGGTTATTTATGTCACATGAACGATGATTTATTAGAAAGTAAATTACGATTGTGCTTCCAAAGGTTCCAATTGTGACACTAAAATATATTTTTACTTAATTGTGAGATATGATTTTTAAAAAGAAAATCAAAAGCTGTATAAATATGAAATAGTACTAGCAAACCAGACTTAGTTCCCTCTTAGTTTCATTAAATTGCAATAGACTACCAACACTGAGTTCCTATTTCAAGTCTACAACTACCTACTTATAGTTTAACTTCACTGTCTATCACTGTCTATCTTGGAAGACAAAAACTTGTTTTTTTGATTAACACAGTAACGCTATTCTGACAATATTAAACAAAGTTTGCACAAAATGTGAATGGACCATAAAATTAATCACAAAACAGCAGAAATACCACATGGTACAATTTTTTGGAAGCTTAAACTAGGTATTTCTGCTGCTTTTTTAGTGCTGCTTGTTTAATTATAGATTACTTATACACTTGTTGTTCTGTTCAATCAATATTTCACCATATCTCCCATCTCTTTTTTACAAAACCATTCACTTCATGGCACAATGAGCTCTGTTTTTTTCTCGGTTGTGCTTTACAGCATTTGCTACACTTCACATTTCCGAGGAGTGGGCCAAAAGGCGTAGAAAGCCCTGAGCGGTGCAGAGTGGTGCGCAGTGACTCACAGTAGTTTCCTGTTCGAAGCGTCTGTAGATCTGTTCTCTCTGTTGCTGGAGTTTGTTACTGAGCTGCTGCTGGGCCCTTTGCTCCTCCTTTTGCAGCAGGCGAAGCTCTCTCAGCTCCTGCCGCCTGGTGAGCCAAACCACAACAAGCAAGTTATATTTAGTCCTATGAAAAGAGGTCTACTACTCACACTGCTGTACAGGTTATAGTTTATTCAAGAGGAGGTTTGTAAAGAGAGATTGTGTTACAGTAAGGGTATTTGATTATAGTAAAGCCCAGGTAACCACAGAGTCTGGTACTGTGGGCAATGCTAATGCTGATACTGCAGTACACAGGGGAATAAAGAGGCCAGAGGGTTTTAAGGTATTGGAAAATGTGAAAGTACAGCCTAAAGCGTGATGTTCACAAGTCGAGATATGGTCTAGTCTATGTTATATCTGGTGCAAGTGGTTGATACTACAAGCCACAGTCAAGGGTCCATTTATAATACCCTAATACATAAATACATACAGTATATTATAATTAGGCTGAAGCGTGACCTCAATAAAAATAAACATTATAATTTCTGATTTGTTTTAATGTATGATGCATATTTCTAAAACTAGCACTTTCATAGTAGAATACTTGGCTAAAAACAACAAAAATTAGAATTTACTGTAATCTGTATCCTATAAGTAACAGCTCTTAACATGTGCTTTGTTGCTGCTTGTTAAAAAAATGTTATACTCTGGTAACCCAAAGTAATAGGTTTAGTCTTTCTGATTTGAAAACCAACTTTTATATAAGCTGAAGCTGAATATTTTTATAATGATAATAAATCAGCTTGCTGTAATAAAAAAAAAAAAAAAAAACTTTTACATTACTTTACATTTTACATTATTTACATACTTAAGTATCCAAGGACAGAGACAGTTCATGTTTAGAAAATATTAAGAAATATACATTACAATACTTAGAGGGCCAATTTTACACTATTTTCTGATCGCTTTCATAATGTTTCCTCATCATAAACATACCTGGAGTTGTGTTTTGTTCCATTCACACATGTTTAACACACAAATTCTGGATATTTAGGCTGTGTTGTGTCTGTGTGTTTACTCAAACTGAAGACACTCTCTTTCACCTTGTGATGTCATGTGATACAGAAAGTGCTTCACTGTGGTTTTAAACTCCACACACTATCACCAAAAACATTTGAATAATTTCAGATTTCACATTAAACTAAAGGTAAAAGGAGTTGTTAATGTGAAAACTACAACTAGATGACATCACAAGATGGAACAGGCCATTTTGAGTTTTGGAGATGTAGACAGACTAATAATGCAGGGTTACTCAAACATGAGTAGCTTAAAGCTCACAAGTGTCCATTTTGTGTAATATAGGAGCTTTAATGTTAATTGTATTGGGTAATTGAACTCTAGCAGCAAGACTATGAGAAAATAAGTATGTTTCAAGTATGATAGTAACAGCCACACATCAGCTCCACACAAAGTAGGTGTAGTGTGTCTCATGTCTTTAAAAGGCCACATGGGAGCTGACAGAAACATGACATTCATCAGAGTGGATAACCCATCTGGCGTTTGTAAAAAGCAGTGGGAGTTGTGAAACCGATGAAAAACTATTTGTGGCGTTGTGTTAAATGGATCATATCCCTTATTTAGACAGAGACAGTGCGTGTGTAGTAGTACAGTAAGAACAGACCCACCTGAGGAAACGCATCTCCTCACTCTTGGCGTCATTCTCAGAGACAATCTTGGACGTGGTCACGCTCACCTCCACACCGTCCACCATGAACTTACGAGTCTTCTTCAGGGTCTTCTTCTGGCGCTTGGACTCCTATAAATATAAAGGATTAGGGCCCTGTTTCTCAGGCTTGTACTTGGCACAGCTTTTTAGTATGGGAACTTTTTATCTTCTTTTGCATAATTTCTTGCTTAGAACTACAGTGGAAATAAATGCCTCAAAATATAAAGGGTTAGGGGACTAGGCACAGGGTTTCTTAGGCTGGTACTTAGCATAGCTTTTTAGTATATGGAGACTTTTTTGTCTTCCTTTGCTGAAGTTCTTGTTTAGAACTAGAGTGAAAATGGACTCCTACAAATAAAGGGTTAGGGCACTGTTTCTCAGACTGGTACTTGGCACAGCTTTTAAGTATGTGGGGGATTTTTTTTGTCTAATTTACATAATTTCTTCTTTAGAACTGCAGTGGAAATGGACTCCTATAAATATAAAGGACACAGGGCACAGGGTTTCTCAGACTCGTACTTGGCACTTATACTTTTTAGTATGTGGGGATTTTTTTTTGTTAAGTTCAGGTTTAGAACTACAGTGGAAATTATGTTGTCCACTTTTAGACCTGGTTTAGCCTTGGATTAGACCTGGAATAGCCCTTTTATTTACCTGAATATACACTATACTCTACTAATTCTGATCTGATGAGAAAGTCAAATCTTTGGTGGAACTTGTTGTAAAAAAGTTTGAGAGCCACTGGGTTATGGTTTTCATTTCTTTTCTGTTTTTTGCAGTCCATTAAATTAAAAAAACCAAACAGACAATAAATAATCCTGTGATCAATGGTAGTCAAGTATGTAATGTAAGTAATGTATTCTCTGCTAACATTCTTAATACACTAGCTCACCGCTGTCAACTTAAAGCAATAAGGCTGGCTAATCCTTCAGCGGCTTAACAAGAAAGTTGCACGAATCAACTAGAAAACTATAAATGCAGGCTAAGAAGGTAGTGTTTCATATTATGACATACAATAGTGGCCCATCATAGTCTAATCCCTATTCTGGAAAAACAAGTTGGACAACATTGTGTAACAGGCCACGCATTACCATTACATCATGAAAATATTGAAGGTGAACTATGAAACGGTTCAAGTAGAGGCTCCACTATTTTCCTGAAAAGTAGAGGGTCCACCACTTGCCTGAAAAGATAATTATTTTGCCTAGAATGTTCCACAGTATGGCATTAACAACAATCTCCAAGTGGCAATACCAAGCCAAGTCACTGTCACTATCAGTTCTGTGGTGATTGGAGAGTCCACTCATGTTTTGCAAGGAAACTTTTGCACAATGAAAACACATCTGCTGAATATGTACAAAATAGATATATTTATTGCTGTTATTTGGAACATTCTAGAGAACGATATTTTCTGACCTATGTTATAATGTTGTTTCCTCATCAAAAATATACCTGGAGTTTTGTTTTGTTTCATTCACACATGTTTAACACAGAAGTCCTGCAAATTTAGGCCGAGTTCTTCTCTCAAACTGAAAACATTTCGTTCCACCTTGTGATGTCATGAGATAATACAGAAAGTGCGCCATTGTACATTTAACTAGAATCATTTGGATGATTTCAGGCCTGGAACTGCCCATCTCTATTATACTAAAGGTAAAAGGTAACTTAACTTGAGAACTACCAGTACTATGACATCACAGGGTGGAACAGAACATTTTGTGAGTTTGGGATGCAGACAATTTAATAATCCAGGATATGAAACAAAACACAGCTCTGGACATGTTTTTGAGGTAACAGCATAATAACATGGCTTAATGTCAGCTTTGCGTAATATATATAAACATGTGGCGTAATAAAAGCCTGTACTGGCCTGGCCACTTTTAACTGCACTAGCTATAAAAAAAAAAAAAGTAAATAAAATAAGCCCATTACCTGTAGAGATATGGAGCCGCTATCCTTGCTTTTGGTGAGGAAGCTGGAGATGGACAGATTGAGGTCGAGGCTGCTGCTGTCAGCGGCTGAACTGCTCCCTGAATCCGAGTCTTTCCCCCCATCGGGTTTGGCGAGAGCTGGACTGCCCTGCTCCGTCTTCGCCTCCGAATCCGTCTCGCTCTCTGGGACTGACACCGCATCTTGAGAAACACTTCTATCAACGCTAACTTCCTTCTCCTCTTCTTCTTGTTTGGAAGGACTAGTTGGCACTGCTGTTTGGGGCTCCTCTTTGCTATCCTCGCTAGCCACGCCTGTTGATATGATTTTGGGTTCCTTTTCTTCAACTTTAACATCACTTATTTCATGGTTTTCTTGTACAGAATTCTCCTCTACCTTTTTAATTTCTATGTTCTCCCTTTTCTCTTCTACTATCTCAGTGGTCTGGCTTGGTTTTGGTTCTTCATCAGCTAAAACTTCAGGTAACATTTCTACTACTTCTTCCTTCACGTGTATGTCTTCATCTACATTTAACTCTACAGAAATCAACCCTTGACCTATTTCCTCTATAGAGTCTTTATCATGTTTTATTATATCTGTATCTGGCAGTGTAGGAGGTGTAACTATCTCTTCTTGTTCTATAACAGGTTTGCTTTCTTCATTAGCTTCTTTCAATGCTTTTAGTAGTTCTTCTGGTTCTTTACGTTGGTCCATGTTTTTGTCTTCTGCTTTTTCTGCTATCTCTTCATTACCACTAATATGCTCTTCTGGTTTAATCATTTCTACATCTTTAGTGGACGCATCTTCCATTTTATCTTCTACTGTCTCATTCTGTTTTTCTATTTCTGGCATTGTCGTTTCTGCAATTTCTACATTTTCTTCTTTTGTTGCAGGTTGAGGTAGATCAATAGGAGCAGCTGCACTTTCTTCATTGACTGGCTTAGCATCTTCAACTTTTTCAGTGATATCTTCTGGTACTTCTTCAGCAGGGGCTTGAATGAGGTCTTCTTGGCTGACCTCAGAAACATCATTGAGTTTCTCCTCCTCGGTTTTGTCCACTTCGCTTGTCCCCAGGCCTTCATCAGAGAGTTTATCACTGGCTCTATCCTCCGCAGGCTCTGTCTCTTTATTCTCCACGACAGACTCCAGAACAGCAGCAGCAGGCGTAAGTTTCTCATCTTCTGAACTGGCAACACTAGCATCTGAAGCTGCGCGCTTGTGTCCACGAGTCTATGTAAAGAAAAAAAAAAGGTTAAAAGTAGTTCAATGAGGTTCATTTGGTCTTTATAATTTTTTTCCAGATTTTTTCAGATAAAGAGTTTGGAAGACAGCGCCAAATCCTGTCTAAATCAGCTGAGTGTAGACGTCACATCACATGACCACTCTTTGGAAGACCGCTAGTGAGCAGTCAAAACTGTCAGGTATGAAAACAAATTCTTGGTCTGAAAAAAGAACCTGATTACATGCAAAAGGTCAAAAGTAGGGATGTGACAATAACCAAAATATTGTGATATCCTATTGTCAAAAGTCTCGCAATAATATCACGGACCACCATCACTATACATCGAATTACAAGTCTCTTTGCTTAAATTCATTGTTTTGGTGCAGCAATATCTTAAAAACAGAGTGAACTACATATACTAATGATCTTTTGATCCATTTCAGTGCAGATCTTAAATCTTAAATCAAAGGGCTTTTTAAGGCATTTTAAAACAAAAAAGTTGCATAATTACAATTATGTCAGCCTCTACTAAATATCGTACCCTGAGATGTATACCGTAAGATGTATATCGTGAAAATACTGTATTGAGAAATTTGAAAAATCATCCCTAGTTAAAAGGCACTGTACCTGATTTTTAAGGTCTTAAAATAATAAAATAAAAAAACAGAACAAATTTATTTTAAAAGATTAGCCGTTGTTCAAAGTAATTTCTCACTTACTTAATGTATTCTGAGCATCAAAAATGAACAGAAATGCTAACCACAAACAGTGTACTTCCTGATTCTCTAACAATAAAATGCTTTATAATTAAATACAGACAGTACACAGCTGACTTATTTTGACCTCAAGAGCTGCTTGTACAATATATCTGCACTGGGGAAAACCAAATTTTGCTCAAATACATATATAGGGAAAAATCTGGTATATGCACTTGAATACAAATGTGTTGTGAGTACTATATTGTAAGTATTTTGAAACATCTCATACCAAAGGCGTTTCTGGCTCTTCCTCCTCCTCTTCCTCTTTGCTTTCTTCGATTTCTTCCAGTACTTCAGCTTTGGCCTCAGCAATGAGCTCTCGCAGAGGTTTGCTGTCAGTTACACTGGTGACAAATGGGTGCTGTAAACAAAAGGAACATGCATTAAATTACAACTATTTACCAACGGGAAGTAAAAATAATACATTACAAAAATATCTATATTTGTGGCACGCCTTCTGTGAAACATAACATTTATTTACGTAATAGCCAGATAATGAACCATAAATCTGCCCCACCCACTTCAGACTGCTACTGACCCACACTTCTGTTGTTATTGGCATTTGCACTTAAGCAGTAATCCCATTCAATTCAATAGAGAACTAGAGAAATTATAATTTGCACGAACTTTAAACAATGCACCTTTTCTTTGAGTGAATTGAAAATGGCTTTGTGGTCTATTTATAACTTTGCTGTCAAGATTGGCAGCCCGATACAAAATCACACAACCGGAAGGAGGGATAAAATTAATGGCGGCGCATGTGACAACTTGGTGAATAAGTTGGATAGATTTCTTTTAAAATATTCCAGAATGAAAACAACAAGCAATCAATACAAGAACACTAGCTTCAAAAAAGAAGAATACCACAAAACCATTTCACATTGCCTGAAAGGTCCTATATTACACAAAATGGGCTTGTCTGAGCTTTTAAGCCATGTTATATATGTTATTACCTCATCAAAAACATACCTGGAGTTGTGTTTTGTTTTATTCACACACGTTTGAGTAATCCTGCATTATTAAATGTGTCTTCATCTCCAAACCTCAAAATGCTCTGTTCTACCTTGTGAAGCTATGAATCAGTAGTTTTTTCAATCAACAAATTCCTTTTACCTTTAGACGAGTACAGATCAGCATTTCTAGGGCTGAAAATTATCCAAAATATTCTAGTGGAGATCGAACTGAATGTTTTCTGTTTGAGAACTCACCCTAAATATGCAGGGTTTATGTGTTAAATGTTTGAATAAAACAAAACAAAACTCCAGGTATGTTTTTGATTAGAAAACATCATAATAACACAGATTAGAAAATAGTGTTATATAGGTCCTTTAAGTGTTCAGAAGTGTTTTTGCACAATACCACTTGCCTGAAACAGCTGTGCTGCACTCCACCTGTTGTCCACATTCTTATCAAGGGCCCTCTTCAGAAAGTCACTGAACTCTGGAGACCTTTAAAACAACAAAATCATTAAATGTGCAGTGTAACTTTTGTGGTTGCACATCCATCATCTGCTTGTTTCCATGGAGATGTCAGTGCTCTGTTACGTTACATTACATTACATTACATCTAGGTTATATTTATTAAATTACAGGTGGTTTTATAGCTCAAAAATACAGAGAAAAACAGGCATTCTGACTGTGAGCAGGGGTTGTCTCTCCACAGATTTGACCTGTAACTTGGTCTAATTTGGTCTCCATGATGATAGACAGGTTTAATACCATACTGTGAAACATTCCAGACAAAGTAATAACATCTCCATGGAGAAAAGTATTTGACAGACCCTACACCAGAAAAGTTACACAATGCAAATACACGCTCTATTCTTTCAATTCAGCCCTTCAACTGTGCATAAACAGTGTCCCATAGCTTTCACACACTTAGTGGTCAACACATCTCGGTGCAAACATTCCATTGGCACTTCTCTTGTTATCACCACTTCACTATCTCACCAGCGCGAAGGGTTCATCAGTGTGGGCGGTTCAGACTTGGCTATTTTCAGCAGCACTCTCATGGGGTTCATCTCGTGGTTGGGGGGTTCGACTTGGGCCAGTTCAATCAGGGTCACGCCCAGAGACCAGATATCAGCCTTGTAGTCATATGGGCGGTCCTTGGAAGTCTCACACATGACCACCTCTGGGGCCATCCTGGAATGATGAATCACAAATGGGAGCAGATAGATAAGGATAGGAAAAGAAAGTATAGCAATAACATTTTGGAAATGTAAGTGTTGCCAAGTTGCCAAGGGCGGACTTCGTGAATAAATTGGATGGATTCACTTTAAAATATTCCAGAATAAAAACACCAAGTGATCAATAAAGAAATACTAACTTCTATCTAGTTAAGCTTAAAACCATTTCACATTGCCTTAAAGGTCGTATTTTACACAAAATAGACTCTTGTGAGCATTTATCCATGTTATAATGTTGTTACCTCATCAAATACATACACGGGATAGAATTAGATGGAAGGATGGTAAGAGAAAGTAAAGCAACAACATTTTGGAAATGTAAGTGGGATTTAAGGACTGTGTTGAATATAAAAATATGAAAATAACAAAAAGTAACTGCAATTCCTAAAGTTTATCAGAGTTTGTTTTATTATCAAGGTTCTACTTACATTTAAACTGGTTTATTATTAGATTTGGTTATAGCTATGTGTAAAGCATGTTGCCTGAAATCCAGAATACACATTTCTCCAATACTTTACGAAGATGTGAGTTTGGTCACTGGTGAGTCTCCCTGTTAGGGCAGACGTGATTGACAGGTCAATTAGCCAATCAGGGACACACATGGTCCGTTGGAAAAAATAAAGGAAATAAAGTCACAGGGGACTGAAAAACATAAATTTGTAAATCATAAGAGCCCAAAGAGCTCTTTCGTTTCACATGCATCACTGAAATAAACAAATCTGATTGCATGATCAAGTTTGACAGGGCTTGAGATGCAGTGGAGGACGTGGGACCCAGACTGATATTCATCTGTATAAAATACACAGAAAGATCTCATTCTGGTTTTGCCAGGCAAAAGAGTAGGACCACGAAACCAAGTATGAAATAACATTTATGTCAGTCCCAAGCTCATATAAAATGAAAAGGATTAAGTAAAGATGGGCATCTGGCATAAAATCCAAGACAAATTTAAAAACTACTAATTTGTGGGAGAATGTACACCCATTTCCTTTACCTAATTCCAGTTTCATTTTTATCATGCAAAAAATAACTTAAAATGCATTGTATATTTGAATTGCATAAAAATATTGTGAAGTTTAGTGAAATAATGCAATTTTAAAACAATTATAATATGTTCTTCTGTCTATTTTTTTTATGCTAACATCATCTGACACAAAGAATACTTTGAATAAGGGCCTTAGTTGTGCTTCAATCATGACATGACAACATTTGAATGGCTCTGAAATAGATTATCACACCAAGCTGTTAAATTGGAAGGCAATTATCAGCGGAAATTGGAAGAATGGCCTCTTGTATCCAGACTGCATGACTCACCAATATGGAGTGCCAATGAAAGAGTCCCTTCTCTGTAGCGTCTTGGTATTTTTAGCAGACACCCCAAAGTCAGCTGCAAGCACAAAGACATTCATTAGATCAATAATTACAATACAAACTCTTATGCACAGTAAACATGAAGAAATGCTACAGTCAATAATGAAAGTATGCCAGGTGGAATCAAGGGTCGATTCAAATGGGAGATTTTGGCTGATATTATATTTTAGTAGTTGAATGCACACTGTTTTCTTTTTACACATAGTCACATAGTATATTTTGTGCACTTTCTGTTTTTTAAAAGCCTTATATTATGCACAATTGACACTTTTGTGTATTATGTCTAATGCTGTTACAAAAACATACCTGGAGTTGCGTTTTATTTCAGTAATCCTTTAGTATTAGTCTGTCTACATCTCTAAAACACAAAATGCTCTGTTCTATCTTGTGATGCCATAAAGCATTAGTTTTCAAAAGCTACCTTTTTACATTTAGTTCAGAAAAGATTGGCAATTCCAGACCTGAAATCATCCAAATGATTCTAGTAATGGTGAAAGAAGTTTAAAAACACAGTGGAGCCCTTCTTCTATTACCACATGATATCACAAAGTAGAACAGAGTATTTTCCGTTTGGGAGAAAAGCCTACCCTAAATATCCAGGATTTGTGTGTTAAACATGTGAATTAAACAAAACACAACTCCTGAAAGGGTTCAATGAGAAAACAACATTATAACATAGATAAGAAAATAGTGTAATATGGGCCCTTTAAAGTGTATCTGGTTAGTGTAAATTTATATGGCCATACGACATCCTCACAATTTAAATAGTGGTTAGCAGCCTCACACCACAAAGGTCTCATGTGCATTGTCCCTGTGTCAAGGTGAGATTCCTTTGCTCACCCACTGACCAAAAGCAAAACTACACTGTTTATAGAATAATAATCCTCCATGCATTCTCCTGGCACTGCACTGCAGTCACTCACTCCTCCTGACAGACTGGCCCTAGCGGCATTGAAATCAAATGTCAAATGCAGATTACAAATTTCCATAAGGGAACAATAAAGTCTACCACAGCTAAATAGCAAGCTTAGCATAACATTAAAGGTCCTCCATTACAGAAAATGAATTCTTGTCAGCTTTCTAGGCATGTTATAATGTTGTTACCTCATCAAAAACACACCCGAGTTGTGTTTTGATTCATTCACACATGTTTGAGTAACCTTTTATTATTAGTCTGTGGTGGCTCAATCCAAGATGGCTCTGTTCCCCCTTGTGATGTATTTTAGAGATAGTTTTCAAGTTAACAGCTACCTTTTACCTTTACCTCTTAGCATTTCTTGCACACATGATATCACAAGGTGGACCAGACTCTTTTCCATTTGTGAGAAGAACTATGCAGGGTTTGTGTGTTAAACATGTGTGAAAGAAACAAAACACAACTCCAGGTATGTTTTTGATGAGGAAACAACATTATAATATAGATCATAAGTAAAAAACATCAACAGACTGATCAAATTTAAAACAAACATCAAATTAGCAGAACTGGCTATGTATCTGTTATGTAATAGTCTCTAGCTTTTGCAGCATGTACACATTAGTGAAACACAGCTGACTAGCATTAGCCCCTCGGTGAGTGTCAGATAATTACTGTTTGCAGAGCTTTGTCATGACCCTCTGCCTACAGAATATGAGTCACAAAGAAGCCAGCAGCTAAAGAGGCAACAGAGGCAACTATCGCTATTCATATTTTTGTCTCTCTCCATGTATACAGTAATGATTCACCAAACCCACCATCTCACAAGTGTTAAACAACAACATGGTTTATTTTCCTGTTAAAAAGAAACATTTAGCTACTGTATACTCCCTAGTTACTGCATTGTTACAACTGAGTTAATCTTTAAAGTGACCTCATGGTCCATTTTATGGTATTTTCTGATCTATGTTATATATGCTGTTTCCTCATCAAAAAAGACCTGGAGTTGTGTTTCGTTTCAGTCACACATTTTTAACACTGCATATTTAGGCTGAGTTCTTCTCTCAAATAAAAAACACTCTGTTCCACCTTGTGATGTCATGTGGTAATACAGGAAGTGCTCCACTGTGTTTTCAAACGCCATATACCTTCACCAGAATCATTTGGATGATTTCACCCTTGGAACTGCCAATCATACTGAACTAAAGGTAAAAATTTGTTGTTAATTTGAGAAGTACCGCTTCATGACATCACAAGGTGGACCGAAGCATTTTGATCTTAGGAAATGAATACCAACTAATAATAAAGGATTATTCAAACCTGTGTGAATGAAACAAAACACAACTCTGGGTATGTATTTGATAAGGTAACAACATTAAAAAAAAAGCTCACAAGAATCAATTTTAAATAATATAGGACCTTTAAATTTTGGTGGCACATTGAGAACTGGATCCCTGAAATTAATTCAAGTAACATCTGATATGTTTTTTGATTGTTTATCCACATTTGACCCATAAAAATTGATCTCTACTTAAAAGCAGAACTAAATTAGGTTATCGTGGCAGCATTTTACTAATTAGTGTAATAGGGCTGAAGCAGGGGAGATGTAATGGGACCCAAACACAAGCAGTTTTACTAAAGAGGTCAGTTAATTATGTCAGTCATGATAATTATAATCAAGGAAGTTCCAAAAGGGCAGTACATTTCTAACCACAATAATTTACTATATAGAAAACTGGTGCAAAACAAAATGTGTAACCCTAACAAAAACTTAACACAAACAGCAAAAAATATATAAATACTCCATACATTTTGATTAATAATTTCATTATTGTGACCAAGACAGTTCATTTAAACGTCCTATATTATGCAAAATTGACTCTTGTGAGGTTTAAGCCTTGTTATAATATTGTTGTCTCATCAAAAAAATAAATAAATAAATACTGGGAGTTCTGTTTTGTTTCAGTCACACATGTTTGAGTAACCCCTTTAGTATTAGACTATCTACATCTCTAAAGGTGAAAATGCTCTGTTTGACCTTGTGATGTCATAAAGTGACAGTTTTTTAGCTTTATTCCAGTAGAGATGGCCAATTCCAGGCCTGAAATAATCCAAATGATTCTAATCAAGGTGTATTGGGTTAAAAACAGCTGTACTCCTGTAAGAACTTAACCTAAATATACAGGTTTGTGTGTTAAACATGAATGAAACAAAACACAACTCCAGGTATCTTTTTAGTGAGGAAATTACATTAACACAGATTGCGAAATACTGTAATATTTTAACCTTTAACTACAACATCAAGCAAACCGGCTTTATTTAGGATTTAAACCCCTAACCACTCCAGCTCTTATGTTGCTTTAGGCTAATGTAGCGTTTTGTCTACCCAATATAGTTTTTAGTTTTGTTAGCACAGTAATGAAACAGCTGCAATGCCTTGTCAGAAGCCTTGGCTTGCTAAAGCTACCTTCCCAGTCCATTAAAAAGACAATGATTGAGTTTTGGAACAGTAAAGGCATATGGACAGATAGCCGTGTACCTAGCTTGACGTCTCCCTCTAATGAGAGCAGAATGTTTCCAGCCTTCAGGTCCCGGTGGATAATCTTGTTCTCGTGAAGGTAAATTAGGGCCTCCAAGGTTTGTTTACACACCACCCGGATCTGGGGCTCAGTCAGGGGCTTTTCCAGCTCTGTACAAGGAAAATACGCATTAAAATATTATTACAACAAAGTCAATATCTTTTGTTATGGTACAAAGATGTCCTCATAACAGCCATATTTAAAATGTGTACTGTGTAACTTTTCTGGCAGAGTGCCCACCAGTTACTTGTCTCCATGGAGATGTTATTGCTTTACCTCCATTATTACAAAGTACAGTTTGGCATTAAACTTTTCAATGATTCATCAGCCGGTTTCACTTCGTTTCACTAGAAACCGTCTGACCTCGCAGTGTTGGAATTCGTTTGCTCGACAGTAGGCAGGTACTTTTGGTCATTTAACCAATCGCTGCTGTTTGGTAGCCATGTATGTAATGCACCGCTAACGGGGCTAACTGGTATATTAAGCTTTTCCCAAATCCAGTAGGAACAGGGGCAATAACGTCTTTCCCCCTGATGAAATTCACCAAATATTCTCTTTATTCTGGCTTTAAATCCTTGATCTCGGGAATCGTTGCCAACACAGAATATTTGGCTCTTCACTGAATGGCTGGTCCCCCAATTGCACTTCTGGGGTTTTTGTGAACAATCTAGTGTATTCTGATTCCTGACCTAGTAGCTGGTGGGAAATGAAACTGGGTAGAGAGGCACTAGGTGGCGTCAGCCTGGCTAGCAGGAGACACTACCAGGGCAAATTACAAATGAGATCTGTGAAGGGATGACCCAACCTCACAGTAAGAAAGCATGTTTTTAAAGGTATCTTTGAGGAATACAAACATCCATAATTGAATAAATGCATCTTGTATAAGTTTAATACCAAATTGTGGAACATTACATGCATAGCCTCAACCTGAAAAGTTATGCAGTGTGCATTTAATGACAAAACTGGTCAAAAAGTAGTGAGTCATTAAAAGTGCACTGTGTAACTTTTCTGGTGGAAGGTCCTGCCATCTGCTTGTCTCCATGGAGGAGATGTTATTGCTTTGTCTGGAATGTCCCAGTACAATGTGGCATTAAATGTATCCATCTTGCATTTACTCCATAACATGAGCTTTTTTTGACTTACAAACATGCATTATTACTGTGAGTGGGCTCACCTCTCCATGGATCTGACATGTAACTTAGGCCTGTAGTGTTACCTGCTGTCTCCATAGAGTCAAATAAGCATACTGCCATACTGTGGGACATTTCAGGCAACATCTCGATGAGAGAAGCTGGTAACCTGTCCCTCTACCAGAAAAGTTACACAGTACAAATCTCTGTCCTACTTATTTACAAAAACAACAGATGTGTTTTGTTGTTGATTTGAAAACCAAATAGAACAGCAACACCTTTTTAAGATTCAAAATAAATGCAGGCAGAAGTGGGCAAACATTCCTTGAAATCTGAGCTGCAATAATTACACAGTTGAAATAGCCACAGCAACTGGGAAAGGGAAATAAGGACGGCCAGCCAAAACTTGTGCATGGAATAACAGTAAAAAATAAAAGAGTGGCACAAGAAAGTACAGTCTACTTGAGAAAACATGTACAACTATAAATTTTCCTTATCAAACTGTGTTTAGGAGGACTTACCCAACATGATGGCATCAACAGCACCGCCCGCACAGAACTCAATTAGAATCTGCAAGACAAAATAATAGTACAATGGTTAGTTGAACAATAATTAAACTAATAAAATATATAATAAAATTTATAAATAAAGAAGATTCAAATAGACTAGCATCCCAAGGTGATCTTTTAACTACATTATTCATTTTCTGTTATTGTTATGTGATTGATTTTTATTACCATGAATGTTATCAAGTCTTCTTTCCTTGGAATCCCTTGTGTATTGGCATAACCCCAGCAAATCAAACAGTTGCCTTGCCCCTGCTGTTACGATTTTCTAGTTAACTAGTGGTTCAGACCAAAGTATTGCACAGTATTGTAGCATTGTTAGCATTGTAGTTTGGGTGGAAGCTACAGAAATTACATAAACTGAGGAAAATAATAAAAATTGGTCCTAGATATCAACCTGAAATATCAGCAGAGATTATCAGCCATCAGTTGCTCTGGAATCTAAACAATCAACAAACAAGACAAAAGTGAAGCACCCAAAAAACAACCAAAACAAATGTGGCGATGCACATGGATGTAAAAATACTGACTTTTTGTTTATAAAAACATGCTGACAGGAAACATGTCTGTAGTTTTCTCTCAACTGGACCAAACAAAAGTAACATTTCTCGGTCTATAGCACTGTACCATTCTCCTGATGACTTCAAGTTTTTCACTTTTTGGCTTAATGCACAAAACTCAATTCAGAGATACACATATCAGTCTCTAGTGAGCCAGGTTAGTCTGTTTCTGGATCAAAATATGTAACCATATTACCTACAACTGTTGGAGTGCACTTTGTAAAATCACATTACAGTTATTGAGAGGTGAAGCAGTGTCCCCAGCTGTACAACAAAACGACAATCTACTCCATCTTTATCGGGAAACACATCTCAGAGTATCAAATGATGGACAAAAATCAATGAAAGCTACTACCACATGCACCACCCCACTCCACCCTACTCCGGACTGACTGGCTGTTCCTGTTTTGCATGATTAATTGTCAAACTAATCTTGTTCTTTTATTTGTTATATGTGAGGTGTAACAGACACATTGTACTGTCCATAAACTGTTACCGGTACATTAAGTACACTCACTGATGATTCATATTTATACATAAACTATTAATAAGGCACTTAGCAAGAATATTTATAGACCTGGCTGCAGCTCTTTCATGACATATAACAGATTTTTAAGATTCTCTAATTTTGATTTAATTTGGTAGGATTATGATTATTGTAAATCAAGAAGTAATTTGGGGAGACATTTTGAAAAATATGTTGTAAATTGCATGAAGTGGACAGTTCAAACAGGCTGATGGCATCACATTAAGGAGAATTATATCCAAAAGTTAAGCAAAAAATTTAGAAACTATTTTTTCTGATACTTTAAACACGATTCAACAAAATAAAGGTGTTTTTTTATACTTGCATTTCTCAGATAATAATTTATCTGTGCATTAGAGAAGTTTTGCAGGGTAACGCTTATGGAATTCCCTAGTGTGATGTCACTATTTCCAGCCAGGAAGTAAAATTATAAACTCCCCCAACAATTGCCAAATTAGGAAAATGAGGTTGAATGTTTTTGCGTAAATGTTAAATATAATGATCTTATCTCTGTTTCAGTAAAATTAGTAGTCTAATCTACCCTATCATAGGCAGTCTGTCAAATACTTTTCTCCATGGAAATGTTATTGCTTTCTCAGGAATGCTTCACAGTATGGAATTAAACCTTTCTATTTTCATGGAGATCAAGCCAGACCAAGTTACAGGTCAGATCTGTGGAGAATGACTGTTTTCTGAGTTTAAAAAACACCTGTGATTGAATAAATATAAGGTAGAGCTGTTTAATGTCAGACTGTGGAACATTCCAGGCCGAGCAATGACATATTCACGGAAAGCTCCAACCAAAAAGTTACATCGTGCACCTTTAACTCAATGTCCAGCACTTGTTGAAATACTTCGACACATACACATTTCTAATGCAGCTTTAAGACGGCCGACCTGCGTGAAACACTGAATTATTCACAGGTACTTTCTCTGGCCACCAAAACCACTCCATTATCTTTCCTATTGCTGTGGTCAGTCCGCAAGGGATGGTCACATGACACCACCTGCCAAGACCTAATAGCTGCAGGGCCTCTTACGGCACACACAGAGCAAGATCAACTCACCCTCTGTGTTGTTACATTGACTGGGAGAATAGATACTCCTCTGTTTACTGGTAAAACGAGGGCCAAGATGCTACACAAGAATTGGATTTCATAATACGCAGTGACGTCAGGGAGGTCAATGAAATGGTCTTCGTTTCGGACTGAGTTACAATACCGATTCAGAGCTATACGTGTGTGAAAAGAAGATGATAAAAATGTGTATTGATAAACAGCTTACACAGAGAATATTAATTTCTTGAGAAAAAAACGGAGGCAAGTGCGTGTCACACTGCCAGCAGGGAAGTGAATTACAGAATTGGAATGAGTAGAGTACAAAAGAAAAACGGTCGCCTCCCACCATTCAGTGTTACACAACTTGATTTCAAATTGCACATCATGAAGACATTATAAAGGAAGCAGCGGGCTTAATGTTTTACCCTGGACTGGGATGCCTGCACATTTAAAGGGCCCATATTACGCTATGTTCTGATCTTTGTTGTATTAATACTGTTTCCTCATTAAAAACCTGTTATGTTTTGTTTCATTCAGACATGTTTAACACACAAATGCTGAGTTCTTCTCTCAAACTGAAAACACCTTGTTCCACCTTGTGATGTCACGTGGTAATACAGGACATGCTACAATGTGTTTTTAATGTCACTAGAATGATTTGGATGATTTCAGCCTTAGAATTGCCAATCTCTACTGAACTAAAGCAAAAAAAAAAAGCACAACTCCAGGTATGTTTTGATTTGATTTGTTTGTGATTTGTTTTAGTCAATTTGTGTAATACAGGACTAGAAATCATGATGTTTTCTTTGTTGCTAAACTTTCTTGTGTTTTTTCTATTGACCTAAATTTTTCATTAGAATTTTTCATTCAGTAAACATGTTTAAACACACAAAATGCTGAAGTTGTTTCTTTGTTCTTGTGGAAACACTGTGTTTGTTACATGGTCACTATACATGATTTGTGTAATACAATACAAATTACAAATGAATGTCCAGAATGATTATGATAAATATAAGATTTACAAGTATATTAATAAGGCACAAGGAAAGCGGCTACGGCCAAATACCTGCAAAGAGTGAGGCAAGTCCTTAGAAGCCAGCTCAATGGCAAGAACAAGGTGCAGGCAATCAACAGCTACGCCCTGCCAGTGATCAGATACCCTGCAGGGATTGTAAGCTGGCCAAAGGAGGAGATACAGACCACAGATGTTAAGACACGAAAGCTCCTGACCATGCATGGAGGGTTCCATCCCAAATCCAGCACCCTGAGACTGTACGCAGGCCGGAAGGAAGGACTAGTGAGTGTGGGAACCACTGTCCAGGATGAAACATCCAAGCTCCTTGAGTACATCAAGGACAAGGCCCCGGCAGATGAGGTGCTCAGAGAATGTCTCAGACAGTTGGGTCCAGAGGAAAGGGTGCTGGAGGGACCATCATGGCAGGACAAACCCCTACATGGGGCGTACCACCGGAACATAACTGAAGTGGCTGATATCAAGAAATCCTACCAATGGCTTGAGAGGGCTGGTCTGAAGGACAGCACAGAGGCACTGATCCTGGCTGCTCAGGAGCAGGCCCTGGGCATCGAGCAATAGAGGCCCAGATCTACCACACCAGACAAGACCCACGGTGTAGACTGTGCAAAGAGGCTCCTGAGACAGTCCAGCACATAACTGCGGGGTGTAAGATGCTGGCAGGGAAAGCATACATGGAGCGACATAACCAAGTGGCGGGCATAGTGTACAGAAACATCTGTGCAGAGTACGGGCTGAAACCCCAGGATCAAGGTGGGAAACACCTCCAAAGGTTTGGAGAATGACCGAGCCAAGATCCTGTGGGACTTCCAGATACAGACTGACAGAATGGTGATGGCGAACCAACCAGACATAGTGGTGGTGGATAAGAAACAGAGCAGAGCCGTGGTGGTTGACATCGCAATACCAAGCGATGGTAATATCAGGAAAAAGGAACACGAGAAGCTAGAGAAATACCAGGGCTCAAGGAAGAGCTGGAGAGAGCCTGGAAAGTAAAAAGTGGTGCCTGTGGTGATCGGACACTCGGGGCTGTAACCCCCAAACTGGAAAGTGGCTCAACAGATACCGGGAAAAACAACGGACATCTCAGTCCAGAAAAGTGCAGTACTGGGAACAGCAAAATATGCGCAAACTCTCAAGCTCCCAGGCCTCTGGTAGAGGACCCGAGCTCAATGAGGTGAGAAGACCTACCACCGTGGAAGGTGAGAAACACATTATTTTATATATATATATATATATATATATATATATATATATATATATATATATATATATATATATATATATATATATATAATATGTAATCTGTATGGACTCAGTAAGCAGAATAAGCACCTCACTTTGGGTTGCCACATCCTACGAATTCTTACCTAAGTTTTAATCGGTTCAGTCTTTTATAACATCTATGTAGCTTCAAACAGACAATATGCAACGTTTAAAATTTGTCCAGGATTTCCCCTTTCCATCAGCAGAAATATAACTTCCTTCAAAAAACGACTGCATGCAAAGTGTCTGCAATCTGTAGATTGATTTGAATAGAAATGATAGTTCATCTTATTCAAATGGACATCTGCGTTTAGTAATAGTCCATAACTGTCCACCACCTAGCTAGCATCATCCACATATCCCATAATGTGCTTTAGCTCTACATCATCCATTCACATTCATGTCATATTATTACCTTGTAACACGCCCTGCCTCTGTATAATAACATGGTGTTGATTTTGAGTCATTTTGTGCCTCTCCTCGCAGAAAACAATTTATACACGTGGAACTTTTCTATGTCACGCACTCACGACTCACCCAAAGTTTTCCCTCAAAGTAGAAGGCGTCCAGCAGTTTGACAATGTAATGGTGGTCACAAGAGGCCAGGATGTCAATCTCCACCATGTAATCCTCCAGCTCATCCTCTGTCTTTGTGTCAATAACCTTGGCAGCAGCGAGGGTCCCATTCTGTTTATTCTGAGCCTGGAGAAGAGAGGACAACAAAGAACAGAAAAGCTGTGAAAATGCAATCACGATACTCAATTTAAAGAGAAGGCGGTAGGTAGTCAAGGTAAATAGATCAGCTGGCATTTGTTATATTTTCATTAAGTTAAATCTAGGTCTGTCAGTGCATTGCCATGAATCTGGTGATTCACTATTCAGTATATCACAATACATGGTAAATGGTCACATTCTTATACAGCGCTTTTCCACCTTCAAGGTATTCAAAGCACTTTATCATCACCATTCATACACCAGTGTAAGGACGCAAGGACGTAAGGACGTCCAAGGATGCAAAAACAGTATTCATCTGTGGAAATTGGAATCACACCGCAAACTTGTGAGTCAGTGGATCTGATCGCTCAACCAATGATGTCTATGTCGAGAGTGGGATTCGAACTGCCAACTGCCAACAAACGCTCTAGTAACTGAGCTACTGTGACCCCAATACATCCCGATCCTAAAGCAAAGGACAATATATTGTGATTTATCAATTATTACATATAATATTATGATCAAGTACGCATCCACGAGAACACAATTGGATGAAATATAATTTAATTAATTTTAATATGTAATTTTCACCCTCATAATCTAAAAACTACAAGCATAAAGTTAAAACAAAATTAACTTTATGCTATCAGTGCTACCATATCTTATCATATCATATGCTATTATTTAAATCTCTAATCAGTGCTTTTTATTCATTAGAGACAATATGTAACATCTATACACCAAGAGTATTGTATTAAATAAAATGATTATATGCCACCATAGTCTTAGTAGAATCATGTGGGAAACACTGTCTAAATGATATTTCTATTTAAATGTATATTATGTTGTATTAGATATTGTATTAGGCTAGAGTTTGCTGCCTTCTTCAAAATTATCGCAAAATGTTGCTGTGACTTGTTTGGTGAGAGAGTTTAAACAGATTTTCAGCTCAATCAGAACACCTAATGAACCTTATGGGGCTACTAAAAAGATTCTGTTCTTCAGCCTCTCAGCACCTGCAGCATCCTCATGAATTTAGATTAGGCTAAAAACTATTTTCTTGAAATAAAACTGTGTAAATAGTGATGATGAGTGAAAATAAGTTTTGCTTATTACGAGCAATTGATTAAGAATAATTTTTCATACATAATCAAACATTCCAATGAATAAATTAAACCCGCTGAAACAATATAAGAGACAATATAAGGGGGCATTCTGACAAAACAGTAATACCATTTAGATTACATATGCAAAAAAGTGCAAAAGCACCAAAATGCTGACACTGTCAATATTTAAATTTAATATATAGATTTTTTTATATTTATGATTTAACATCATATTATTTGTGGAGTATTATGTCACTTGTTGCCTAAATTTTATCTTTAAGCAGTCCTTCTCCCCCAGTATAGTTAGTTTTAAATGTTAATAATAATACAATCGGTAACAATATGTGATGTTGTGATGCCAGTGTACAGTGCAGGTTGTTTTAGATATATAGGGAGCCGCCATAGTCTCCTCTTATAACATGAATCTTTATTGAACAACTAAAAGAGACCTTTGTTTATGTTTCACCTAGAAACAGTGTCAGGGTGTTTCAAGGAAAAAAGGACAGGGAGGGAACTGCTCGTGAAGATTATGTCATACTCTATATTTACATATTACTGACCTGGCAACCAGATTGTCTTTGCGTGTTGCTGGGAGATGACTGAATTCATTAACAAAATACAAGGTTTATGAGGAGCTTCATTGATAGAGGTAAATTGTTTCCTATTAAGATGTTATTAGCCATACTTTATTAGTAGTATAACACTGAGGAAATAGGAAATAGCCTTGTGTATAAACTTGTGTGGTTTATTCTTAAATTTGGAGCTAAGATTTTGATTGGGGGATTTATCATAAGATTACCGATGGCTACACAGAAAGGACAAAACTAAACAAATCAGTTGCTGACAGAGGGGGAAATGCTAAATATGAACCACTTTCCCACCATGCACTAGTACTAGTTCAATATTATAGCGTGAGCATGTAAAATCTACAGGATGTATGATATAGATGATAAACAATAACAATGAAACAAAACCATAAAGCACAATTAACCCCGAAAAGTATTCTGTGTAATATTGTTAAAAGTATTAGCTGCAATAAATACATTTCAGAATGCATTTAGTGCTTACTTTGAATCTATAATGAGTCACAGAACTTCATAATTCAATCCTCTATTGCTCAAACTCGTCAAAGTACAGAAAAACAAGAATACACTGAACCATAAGCTGTGAGAGGACTATATAGGGATGCTAATGTGTTGTAGACTTAATGAATTCAAGACTGTTCTAGACTCTTCTAGACAAATGAAGCCACCCTTTATCGAAAATATTTTAGTGTGTTTTAGGAGCAAATACAAAAACCCCCAAAACAAAATAAATTAATTAATCAAAATAGTATAATTATAGCCTTATTTGCTCATAGTTGGCACTTTACCTACTACCAAACTCATATCTATAAAGTCTCTGAAATAGCAAATACTGCTCTTGCCCTCTACAACGTGTGACATATTGTGCACAACTAACGGTCTTATCAGGTTGTTTGAAGATTAGTTTGACAGATAGCTAGCCTCGTTCCTCAGTGATAGTCAAGTGAGTTATAATGTTTATTTAACCATTTGGGGAACTTCATAATGTAGCTAGACTGGAAATGAGCAAAAACAATATAACATAACTAGTTTATAATTGCAGCACTAAACCGAACCAGTACAGGTTAGGTTAAAAGGGTGTTTAAAAGAGCTGATTCACACTTTTGAATCTTCATCACCCCGCCCAAATGAGGCAGCTGAGCAAAGCCTGTAAAATTACCTACTCCCTTCCCTGAACAATAACATGGCTGGCACAAAGAAAATAAAGTACAAGCCTACACCGCCAACTTAACAAAAGAACCACAACTTTTCCCACTGATTCATTTATATTTATGTACTGGAAAGTGTGACTATTAAAAAGTTTGAAGAGGTTATATTTAGTGATTCAGAACCTGCAAGAACAAACTGAGGGTGAAAAACGTTTACCATAATTTGCATAAGCACCTGTTATTTATCTTTCCACATCAAGCCAACTGTTCCCTAAACAAACAAATGCGATTTAACCAAATGCCTGCTTCCAAAGAGCATGACTAACAACAAAAGTGATTACAGATCCTAGTGTGTGTTGTAACATACGTGGTTTTCAAATCTCATAGGGCTAATATTGATTTATTTCTTCAGTGGCAATGAATGAACCACACCTTTAAACAGTTTTGACACCACAGTGACATAGTTATAATCGGATGTACGCATTATATTGCTAGTAGCTACATCAGTAATATCTTAGGAGACATCAGGCTAGTTTATAAAGGATTTATAGTCTGCCCTGGGCCACATTTTATGACAGAGAAAGTGAGAGTGAGAAGGTAACGCGGGTGCACTTCACTACTCTACTGGTCTTCCTCGTTTTGAATAGAAAATACAGGCCTGGGGGTGCAGGCTACCTCTCCATGGACATTATTAAAACAGTAATTACATAATCACAAACAATATCACAATCGTACAGAGATAGAATTTGACAGTGTGTGCGCTAGGTGTGATGCGTAAATGTACCTTGTAGACTTTGCCAAACGCGCCATCTCCAAGCTCCCCGATGATCTCCCATATCTCCTCCGGGTTGACGTCTCTGTGGACATGCTCGTACTGCTTCTTCTTTTTGTCCGGAAACTTGAATATCTTCCGAAAATTGAAGAAAGACATGTTCTGCGGCGAAGCGTGGCACAGCAGATGCCCTCTCCGTCTTCACTGTTGTTTCCGCCTCAGAAAACGTAGCGGTTCCTCCCAAGTGGCTATCGAAATAACAGCATCGGGGCGTGAATAAATGCAGATATTAACATCATTATCGACACGTTTCATCCGAGGCGACTATTTCCTGATCACATCATAGCTAAACCTAGGCGAGACGTACGGTATTAGGCGAGAGAGGAGAGCACTTTTCCGCGTTGGCTGCCGTTCAAGTATCAGATGACATACATGTCCACTAGCAGAGAATGTAAACAATAAAGATAATTTACAGTGTTATTATATGTACCAGCGATGTGAGGGAAAAGGCCAGACGAGCAGAGGACCTCATGGATCGGCTGCCTGATGACCACACAGAAGTTAGCGGACTATTGTTAAACTACATAAACAAACTGTATTTATTTCCGTTTTAAGACGATAGAATAAAACTAGTAACTGATTTGATTATCTTTTTTCTCTATGAATGTACGGATACGGACCAAAAATGATAAGAATAACATATGTTTACTTACACTATTCATATCTACGCTTGCATACGCCTGCATTGCTGTTATAAAATTAACAAACAACTCACGTGCTTTTACTTTGAAGAATTATCAGCTCAATTTCCGAAATTAAGGGGTCTTCCACATGCGGGCTTTACAGTGGATAGTTAGCGGTGTGTGTTTCCTGAAAGCAAAACCCTCCTTGGCAGGACGTGCTCAGCGCAGCCCCTCCGCGCTGCTCCATCACGCATACTCCACTCCTACTACTGCTGCTGTTTCTGTCGCAAGGACGAGGTAAAGGGAAAAGCGGGCGGTTCTGTTTCACAATGTGTGAAACAGAATGAAACAGAATGTGCCATCCAATGAGCACACAATGGTCTGCAAATATGCAAATATCATCTTGGAGAGAAGTTACCAAAACATGATGGCAAAAATGATGCAGATTTAGGCTGCATCAGTATTAAATGTGATTAAGTGATTTATTACCGAAAGCCAAACGTCGACCGAAGATGTTTGGCTTTACTGTATATATAGTAAAGCCAAACATTTCTTTCTTTTTATTTTTTACTTTATCACTGTGGGGCTACTGCTACAACTGATTAAAACAGTTGTGTAGCGCCCTCGTGTGAAAGCTTCTCCAACATTGCACCGTTGCGTCGCAGATGCAGGCACAGGTTGTCCACTAGGAGGAGCCAAACTACCTTGTGATTACCAAGTGCCCGAGTTTGGCAGATGTTTAATTGGAGTTGCATAAACTATGGGTTTATTTTATTTGCAAAATGCTGTCTACACCAGATTCCCCTTAAAATTCCCCGACAGGCTCTAGATACAGCCTTATCTCATTCAGGCCTTTGCATAGCCTGCTGCACGGGGAGAGTGGGCAGGATATGTGCAGCCAGCTGTGACGGGACCGCCCCGTACATTGACATGCGTTTCTAGCCACTGTTGTGAGTCCAGCCCCTCCTGACTTCAGGGAGGAGAAGGCTGATTAAACGACACTTTTATGGCACTGTCATGTTTCACTGCACAGTCCGCAGCAGTCCACAAACTCGGGACCTTTTGACGCATTCGTTTCATGGAAGCTCCCAAACTCTTTTTGCTAGTACAAACTCCACTCGCGCTATCCTTACAAGGCTAAGTAACGTAACGTTACTAATGCTGTTTTATGGGTGACTTTAAGTTTGCTATCTCGTGAAACATGCATTTACGCACGGTCCTTGATGTTAACGTAGTGGATGTACAGAAGAGGAGGAACCCATCCAAGCACTATGTGAGTATATTTTCTATCTAGTGTTCACAAGTTGGATATCACGACTGGTTTTCAACTGCATGCGCTCTAGTACCATCTTACTGACCAGAGTAATCAAATCTCGCTGGCCCATGAGACGACTCTCAGAGGAGCTGCAAAATCAATTAGTCCATGAGGTAAAATTGGATTAATTAACCTGCAAGTTGGGATCAATTGCTGCATCCATCTCCTGCAGAAGACTGTGACACAGGGGACATAGGGCACTGTCCCCTGGGAGCAGACAGGAGGTGAGGAGGCTTTACTGGGAAGTCCCCATCGGGAAAGAGGAGAGGAAGAAAAAATTAAATCTCATTATCAATGAGCTAAGCAACAGAAAATGCTTATCCGGTTGGTTGTGGAGAGAGGAAAGAAGAATCCCTTTGTCTGGTGGCCCTGCTGTGAGAGTGTCACTTCCTTCAGAGGACTCATGGAGTGGGGGACTGGACACTAATGCCTGTTTACAGAATACACACTGCAGGATTGTAGGTCTGCTCTATAAACTGCACTTTTAATAAACACTTTAATAACATACTTTAGCTGGACAGGAAGGGGCCAGCACTGGAGCCTGTTTTAACCACTATAATCAGACAAAGTTATTAAGATTCTTGTGCCAAAAAGCACCTACCATTCTCTTTCAACTCACTGATAATGTCTTTGGAGCATAGCATTATTCTGTATCTAATGATAATGGCTAGGATCTATGTTACTTTACAATCTTCAGCCTTAGCTACCCTGGGGGTGAATGATGGAAAAAATGACAAATCTGCAGTAACAGCCTCTTCGATGCCCAATCACTTGTTTTCACATAATATTCAGAAATGCACAGTGAGTCTTGTCCAGTGACAGTGTAGGACAGAGCTAAAGTACGCTTTATTGTGCCTGTATGGTATTTTACCTTCTGCATTTGACCCATTTTTCCATGCTGCCAGGGCAACCTGCAACTAGAGGATTTTACCTATGGGGCATGTTTTGGGTTGATGTTGGAAATTGGAGTACCCAAAGAAAACCCACCCAGACATGTGGAGAAGCATGAAAACTAGGCCTGTCACACTATTTACTATAGCAACTTATGGTGCAGTGGGTTCAGTATTTATCGTGTACTTTGTCTTTGCAAGAGCAGGAGTCTTGGGGTATTTTTGTTGTAATATGATAAGATTTGAGCTAAAAAAGTTTGAATACTTATTTCTTATTTAATTTATTTGTAGAGGGACAGTACATATTAATGAACATTAAAAATGTAAATATGTAAAGATTACAGCCAACGCGGCTAATTTCCATCTTCAGTCCCTCGGCAGGTTGATGTAAAATCATCTACAGGACAAAGGAAAGTACAGCAACAATCACACAAAAGTACACAACACCAGCACACTCACTATACGTACAATTAGTTTCAAACTGTTCATTTGAAGTTCAAAGTTAAAAGTTTAAGAGTTAAACCAATGAGTCAAACCAACAACCCCCCAGAACAAAAGAAAATATAAATGGGCTAAACATGGTGACATATTTGACCATTGAATAACCATAGTTTTAAAGTTTTAGAAAATGCTACCAATGTTGAAAGTTCTCGTATATGAGCAGGCACTGTGTTCCATGTTTGAGGTGCTCGATAAGCAAAAGAGAGTTGTCCAAAAGTACTTTTCCTAAATGGCACAGAGCAGTTGCCTCTAGAGCCTGATGAGGTGATTATACGTGGCTAATTATTGGTATGTTCTGTTATTTATTTGCTGCAGCCCTGCCTCTTAATGGTACTGTCTTTAAAAAAATGGTTTACCAGGATTAACTTGCATTATTGTTCTTGTATTGAAATAATTTCCCTTATGGATCAATAAAGTTGGTCTAAGCCTAAGTTACATCAGCTACATAAAGCGGTCTCAACATCATCGTTTATCAAAGTATATCTTTGTAGCAATATATCGTGCTTCCAAATTTGTTATCATGACAGGCCTAATGCAAGCTCTGCCAGGCCAGGAGTTGAACCTGGAATCTTGTTGTTGTGAGGACTAAACCAGTAACCTTTTCTTTATAGGACACTTCCACCGTTGTAGTCCAACATGCAAACCTACCTTCAAAATGCACTCTTCTAAACATGAAAACTTCTTCCTGTCTTCATTATGGGTCATGGACACAATGGCAGTGTGGAAAATTACACCTCTTTTGCTTCCTTCAACATGGTATAAATTAGACAGAAGTCAAATTCAATTATCCAGATGACTTCCTCTTCAGTTGTTTTGATAACTCCACCTTTAATCAACAACGGATAGATATTTTGTCTCACCTTTACTCTTTGTTCCATTATTTTTCCACACTTCAAGGGAAGAGACCCATATTACGCTATTTCCTCATCTGTGTTATAATGTTGTTTCCTCATCAAAAACATACCTGGGGTTGTGTTTTGGTTCATTCACACAAATTCTGCAAATGTAGTTCTCTCAAAATGAAAACACTCTGTTCCACCTTGTGATGTCATGTGACAATACAGGAAGTGCTCCACTGTGTTTTAAAACTCCATACACTTTCATACACATAATTCCAGCCCTGGATTTGACAATCTCTGCTGAACTAAAGATAAAAAGTAGCTGTTAACTTGAAAACCACTAATACATGACATCACAAGGTGGAACAGAGCATTTTGAGCTTTGGAGATGTAGACAGACTAACAGTAAATGAAGGTATGAAGAGGAAACAACATTATAACACGGCTTTAGAGTCCATTTTGTATAATATAGCACCTTTAAGCCATTGTCCTCAGATGCACTCAGTAACCCCTTTCCACTTGTTTCTAGTATTTGGTCATGCTGTCTGTATTTAATTAGCGCTCTGCCGGAGGACTCATTTTGCCTGGCTGCGCTCACATCGTTTTTTATTGTTACAAACTGTGATCTAAATGAACAGAGGAGATTTTTAAGGGCTCACTGGTTTCCTTATAGATTGTCACCATATGTGCGAAGTTTACCCTTGTAAACAGTGCGTTGTTCCATGCACTTGGATTGAGATTTGCCATCTGTTTCCAAACTTCAGTGCATGCATAAGACTTTATGTTTATTTTTTTATCGTCAAGTTATTTTTCGTCAGCTTTACTACAGTATGCAGTTAATTGCCCCAATGGAAAATCACTATGCATGCACATTTGATTTTTGGTGAAACACAGTTGTTTTCAGTTGTCACAGAAAAATGGCCTACTTGGCCTACTTTATAAATAGGCTACAGTATATAAAACATACAACTAAATCAGATACTCTTCAACCTTGCTATAATCCACCATTAGAGCTCACTCAAGCCAACTGCATTGGAACTTTTAACTGTTGTGATGTTGATGTTTTGTTTTTTCTTTCATTATGGACATTTTTTATTGTCATGTTTATAAACTCTCTTGATCCAATGTGATAAAAACTGAACAAATGAATGTGTTCTGTCCTGATTTTTTCAGTCTGTAAAACAGAACTACATTCTGAACGCATTCCTATCATCCTAATTATTCACCACAATAAATTTATAAGAGCTTTTCACAACTTTCAGACACTAGAGTGGAGCAGTAAAACAATTAGCATACTAACAACTAACAACACACTTCCTGGTTCTTGGACAATAACACATTGTATAATAACAAAACTATTACAAAACTACTTTGCTCAACTATATGGGCCGAAATACAGCCATTTTAATTAGATATCAAATGTACATTGTACAACTTGTTTTAGTCCTCTACCTATTACAACAGAAGAACTGCACCAGCACACCTATCCAGTATTTATTCATCTACAATACAAATTAATTTAATCATTAGAAAAGTGTAGATACCTCAGACCTATTGATCCCTAACTGGTTGCTTTCCGATATACAACCGTGACAGGCAAACTTAATGGGTTTACATGACCTTTTATGACCTCTTGGAGTTAAGGCAGTCAGGAATGTCATTAGGCCTAAGTAATGCTAAAGTGCTCCTTTAATGACTTTGACAAAGTGGCTTCTTTTCCTAATAACTCTGTTCTGTTTGCCTTCCTCTTCTCTCAGGTTTACCTCATCAACGTGACCTACTCCGACTCCACTTCTCATGTCATCTACAGGAGATACAGCAAGTTCTTTGACCTTCAGGTGAGGTAACGCTGGAGGGGTGGAGAATGGTGGAGCTGCTTTAACTTTTGTTTTAGTTTGGGTTTTTTGATCGAGTTTTAATGGGAGATCTAATCAGCAGATGGATCATAAATAATAATCATAAGGAGAAGTAAGGGCCTCGCCCAGAATACAGAAATGCAGGGTTGGGTAATGTCCCAGCCAGGAACAGGGGTCTGGAGCGGAGCTTGAGAGTGAAGTTTGAGTATATCCAAAAACAGATCTTTTGCAGATACGATTCCAAGTTGGACTGGCAATATTAAAAATGAAAATCAAAACAGAATATCATATTTGTAAGTTTCAGGAAAAAAGGTTATGAAAAAGTCTTTATAATGTGGTGCCTTGAGATGTTTTAGTGTTTAATTAATGGCAACAGTACCTCTACAGTAGCGACAGAATACAGATTCTGATACCACAATGATCTCTTTTATTTAGGCAATAGGATGTAATTTTCAACATTGAAAATAGTACTTTCTTTTATATTACCATGTGGTGGTATTATATGTAATATGTTTGTTGTCTAGTTATGTTTCATAATGGTCCATGGGCCTCATTCAAGATCATTCATGTCTGTCCTGTGAATATGACATTTCTAGTATTGATACCTGCTCAAATGAGTATCTAGGTTTGATACAAGTATTGGTATTATTTAGTATTAGTACAGATTTTTTTAAATACTTTTGACAACCCTACTCAACAGAAAACAGAAACAGATATAGCAGCCAACTAAGACAACTAAGCCTTTAATTTAGATTGCGGTGTTTCAGCATGAAAGTACAAGAACATCAGCAATAGAACAAAGATTTGTTTTGACTTTTGAGATTTAAAAAAAATTCAATTAGGTAATTTAATATGACTCTAGGAAGACCATTCTTGTGTTGAGATTAAGTTAGACATTCTCACAATCTCATTACTTAATATTAAATGATGATGCATTATGTCTGTATTCTTCTGGCATTATGTTCTAGAAAACAGAATACTTCCGAAAAATGATTGCAAATGTTAATTAAGAGTCAAAACAAACCTATTTGGTTGTGAGGAGATGCTCGTGGTTATGTTAATTTATTATCCTATAACATGTATTGATTTTGTTATAGGTAAGATAAGTAGGAGTACAGATACAAATTCTAAACTAATTTATATTTACTTTTATTTATTTACATTTTAATTTGTGGGTTCAGAGATTACCAGTATGAGCAAAAATCTTCATTGCCTCTGAGATAAATCCTCTGAGATAATTCCAAACTGAGGGAGCTAGCCTGCACCCTTTTATGGCCATGTTAACCCAGTGATTGTCAGCATGTAAGCTCATAAAAGTCCACGTCTGGCTTCTTATAACGCACTTAACCAGTCCTGCTAATGCTCATTTGGCTGAGTGTTGTTGGTTGTAGAGAGGAAGCCCTTTGTTCAGTAGGCTCTTGCTAATAGCCAGGAAAATTCAGCTGGACTTGTGGAAACCTAGCGTCTTTCCTGTCTCTGTAAACATTAGATTTGTGCTGCCTGGGCGGGTTGGTCTGGCCATGTTAATCTATGAACAACAACAGGCCCCAGCTGTCCACACACCACCTATGGGACTGGGGCTTAGATAAAGAGGAGAGGTAGGAAGTGCTTGAGGTTCAAAAGCAATACTTTTTTTTTTTTTTCAAATGTTTCTATGCGATCTCTTTAGTAGTGGTATATTGTGAGAGTAAGCCAGACAAATGGTATCAGTGGTAATATAGCCTTAATATACACAAACAGGCTTAAATGTTATGTCAATTGGTCAGATATGATCCTGATTACAGATATGGTATATTTTGGTGTAAAACCTAAAGGTGCACTCCCATGCCCTAATCTTGTTTCCATATAGATGTTATTGCTTTGCCTGAAAACTTCCACACTATGGCGTTAAACTTCTCTATCCTACATTCATTCAATTGCAGGTAATTTTATTGCTAAAACAAGACATTCTTAGTACTTTATGTGGTGGTACCTCTCCACAGATCTGACTTATAACTTGACCTATAACTTGACATGGTCACCTACTAACAGAGGCAATGATGCAGCTATTATGGTCTATGTAGTTTGAACTGTAACTAATTATTACTAAAATAGATCTGTGTTATAAAATATAATGAATATATTTATTTTATATTTATTTTTTATTTTTAATATAATAATCCAAACCTGAAACAGCGCAGAAGAATATTTTAAAGCCTACATAACGTCAACCCACTTCTGAGTTCCAACCCACTGGATTTCAGAAGTTATGAAAATCTTTGTGTCACTTCCAAACAGAAGCTGTGCCCTTTTCTCTTGCCTGCCAAACTACACCTACAGCCAGTCCCAAACACCATTATTCTCTGTCTATTGTTAACAATTACGTATTTTACTCTCTGGGTGAAAACACCCACATTTCCTCTGACTATAAGTGACCTCATTTCACCACTAAAACCTGCTTATTGTTTTCAATATTTTACTTATCATCTATTAATCTCCACATACACAAGCAGGTGAGACAGCAATAGCATCTCCATGGAGACATGCAGGTAATGGATGCTCCACCAGAACAAAGTGTAGCTTTCTAGCTGAGTGTATGTGCCAAAGCATTATAACTACTTGGCTAACTATAACTATAATGACACCTAAATTTACATTTATTGAAGATTATGTATTTGGTATAATAATGATGCGTTGGATTTATATAATACCTTTCCAGACACCCAAAGCTACAACAACACTCACATACACAACGAATATTTGGCTGAAGTGCCTTGCTTAAAGACACTTCAAACTGTTTTGCCCATAGCACTCCACTGTGGTACCTGGTATTCCCAGTGGTCTACCATCCAAGTGCTAACCAGGCCTGACCCTTGCTTAGCTTCTGAGATCCGATGAGATCAGGCTTTGACACGCTGGTATAACCACTATGTGTGATTTGTACGTAATATCGTCATTTACAAATCCCTTGGTCCCAGTAGTCCCTTTGTCCTTCATCTCATTTGAATCTTGTTTACAGCTGTCCATAATATGCTCATGTTTTAAGCCTCTCCAGTGGACTGAACAACTCCTAACTGCTCTTCTGGGACATTATCATCATCTTTTTAATTCTCATCTCCATTCTGCATATTTTCTGCTGACCGTGTGGTTGGGCTTGGCTCTTGTGTTAAAAGTACATGAGTTTGAGTGCAGTTCTGGATCCATTTGCCTGCACACAGAATAGTGCTGACTGAGCTCTGAGGGAAATGATTTTTACTGACACATATTTGACGTGAGCAAAAATGGTCAGTGTGTCAAATGAGAGAGGTTTTCCCTATCCACACCCTTTAACCACAGAAGACCGCACAAAAGGGTCAGGCATTCCAGCTGGGAATTGTGGAGTGAATACTAGCGTGGTTTTCTTCGCTAAATGATTCCAAAAGTTCTTTTAGTTGTCTTTTCCAGGTTGAAGCTAAGTTCTGCCTTTAGAGAATTTGTGCAGCCTGAAGACTTCATAGTATGATACTTTTTTGGAGTTGAGTGTTGTTATCAGAAAGGGTGTGGACGGACCTACAGTAATCTTATGTGTCAGCATAGTATAAAGTTGCTGTAAATTTATTATATTAATCATAGTGATATTCAAACCCAAATGGCAAAGACTGAAAAAAGTTAAAAAAAAAAATGGATGAAATATAATAGCATGTTTTGAGTTTGCTGGATAAAAATCTTGGGGTCAGTCATGTGAAATATCATTCTTATATGCTCTTGGCTTTAAAGGAGATATAGATGGAAGATTAACTGCTTTTCAGACTGCAGTATGTGAAGTACCATAATTTCCTCCACAAACAACAAAATATCTTGTCTTATCCTTCTTAAAAACCCTGTAGTTTAAGTCTGTATGAATGTAATTCTTGGTCAGTTCATATTGTCAATTCTTCTGGACACATTTAAATTATGAACTTTAAACAGAATCCTATTGTTAAAGGTGTACTGTGGAAATTTACTTGTGGAGTCCCCGCCACTTGCTTGTCTCCATGGAATGTTATTATTTGCCTGGATTGTTCCACAGTATGGCATTAAATGTGTTGCTTGTTCCTCTGAACAAGCAACAAAATTGTAGCTCTGTAACAAAATAATTAAGTAAAATACACCAAAAAATACTCTTGGCCATATATCGATACAGCTGCCCATGATATCAATACTGTATCAGCACGTTAAGCGATACGATATATTGATATTTTGATATTTTTGCACACCCCTATTCAAGATGGATACGTTTAATAACATACTGTGGAACATTCCAAAGCAACACTATACAATTTGCAAGCAGTGAGTGGACCCTCCATCTGAAAGTTACGCAGTGCACCTTTAACTCCACTGAAGGTAGGCCATTTTTTTTTTTACGTTACTTTACTAATATTACTTGAGTAAAATGCTGATAGTTATTTTTAAGTATTGCTTTGAGATTTGGGTATCTGGTAGCTTTTTTATATGTGATAAAAAATAAATGTCCAGTCCCAATGTTGCACAACTACTTTTTGCATTCTTTGTTTTCATAGCGATAACTAAACAAAATGGATATACAAACATACAACATAAACCTAATCTAAGTATGTATACAATAATACACAGCAGCTACAAAGTAGAAATATACAACTAAATGCATAACTGTAATCAGAGCTGTTACCCCATATTCCCTTTGCTGTAAACAATTGTGAAGAAGTTGTCAAAAACATGAGCCAAATCTGGGACGGTCTTGTTTTCCAGATTCCTCCCTACTCCCCCAGTCTGAGATTCCTCCTCTAACAGAGCCTTTGTCTGACCCAGCCATGCGAGCTACTCTATCAATGCTACACTATAGGCTGAACCACATATATTTATCAGTTTAGAAATACCACATCGTAAACTTAGCATTTACAATACTGGTTTTAAGAATTGCAAATTTCATGTATAGGGCCACAATGTACAATTGTGCTAAAATTTGAGTTGTCACAATTATCAAATCGTAATCTACAAACATGTCCTGAAATGTAGAGGATTCTTTTCCTAATTTATCAGTTCATATTTCAGTCTTTAGTAGTTAGTGTAAAGTTCCTAAATTATGCAAGATAGACTACTGTGAACTTTTAGCCATGTTATAATGTTGTTACCATCTCAAAAACTTACCTGGAGTTACTTTTTGTTTCATCCACACACATGTAACCCTGCATTATTAGACTGTCAATATCTCCAAAGATCAAAATGATATATACCACGTTGTGATGTCATATAGTGGTAGTTTTTAAGTTAACAGCTGCCTTTTACCTTTGATTCAGTAGAGATTGGCAATTCCAGGGCTAAAATCATCCAAATGATTATAGCGAAGATGTATGGAGTTTAAAAATGCAGTGCAGCTCTTCCTGTATTCATCACAAGGTGGAACAGAGTGTTTTCTGTTTGAGAAAAGAACTCGGTGTAAATATGCAGGGTTTGTGTGTTAAATATGTGTGAATGAAACAAAACACAACTCCAGGTGTTTTTTTGAAGAGGAAGCATTACAGAAAACACAGAAAATAGCGTAATATGGGCCCATGTTTATAATGTACCCTCTGAGCAGACTCCTACTTTTTAAACATACTGAAAGTCTATCACAACAGCATTTTTTCCCCCCAAAATTGATGTAGCCTTAATTCCATGCCATTTTTCTTGATTTATTTTAACATTTTACAGTGTAGACATTGGGGCATATGGCATTACATCACCACACCTGTTGCTACATTGACAAGTTCACATTCCCCCTGCTTAACTCTTGGCCCAAACACCAGCTTCCTGTAGCTTTTAGGAATACAGAACTTTGTAAACATTACGTCTTGGCAGAGCAACAACCCCCAAATTAAAGGTAAATTTGAAACTGGAGAATAGTCCAAAATTCTGGGTGTGTTATGGCAACTGCTTTGACACCTGTTTTTTTGGGAGTGAGGATCTCCAGGCAAAAGCTGACGTCAACATTGGACAGAAGCGTTGGTGATAGCTGTTTGGGAGGTGCAGAGTGAATCCTCCTGTCATTGTGGGAGTGTGTACAGCTGAACATGTAGTGATAGCATGATGAGTGTGTGCTTTACTGTACATACCAGGGTAGGATGGTTGGAAACAGGGGATTTCGGGGGAAAGTTTTGTATTGCAGTAGTTTCAAATATTTGGGGTTACCGACATGACCACTGAATCAGTTTTACTTAGGGCATTGTCTGAGATGAGGTAGGTAGCAGGCTGTAAACAGACAAAGAAAACATTGCAATTTATTTGGGTTCTTTGTTCGGGCTTGAGACCAAAACAATAGATTTTCAACAATGTTAAACAAGCTCCATGCATTCAAACATGAACCACGTCAACACAGGGACATAGCCTGGGACTAGAGCAGGACTGGAGCAGGACTGGAGCAAGACTGGAGCAGGACTAGAGGAGGACTAGAGGAGGACTAGAGGAGGACTAGAGGAGGACTAGAGCAGGACTAGAGCAGGACTAGAGGAGGACTAGAGAAGGACTAGACCAAGGCTAGACCAAGGCTAGACCAGGACCAGGACTAGAGCAGTACTAGAGCAGTACTAGAGCAGGACTAGAGCAGGACTAGAGCAGGACTAGAGCAGGACTAGAGCAGGACTAGAGACTAGACAGGACTAGACCAGGACTAGACCAGGACTAGGACTAGACCAGACTTAGACCAGGACTAGACCAGGACTAGACCAGGACTAGACCAGGACTAGACCAGGACTAGACCAGGACAAGAGCAGGACAAGAGCAGGACAAGAGCAGGACCACTCTACTACATCAGGACTAAACTGGGCTCAAACTATACCATATGTGAATGCAGCTTTACTCTACATAACATTCAGTTCAGTACAAATTGAACTGAATTGAACGTTTGAATTTGAATTGAGTGATTACAATAACAGCTTTAGTCTACATACTATAACCCACTGCTTAAAAACCACAGCTTTACAAAACACAAAACCCATATCACACTTTTGACCCCAAATCCTGCTCAGCTAAACGTGTCTGTATTTTTGTCCATTGAAGCAAATTTGGTTAACCAGCTCTGTTTTTATACTCAGCATTTTACTTCACCCTTTAAACACAATAGTGATGGCAGAATCCTTCAAAGCTAACCGCTCCTTTTTGGCTATCCTTATAGTAGGAAGGATAGAGGGGGGAGATGCCCAAAAAGCCTGTGAGAAAAGACATTTTAGCGCAGACTATAACCACAAGAAGAGAACCCCAACCAACCTCATAGCAGAGACTTTTCACAAACAACTGCTCCGGGCCCAGACATAGTGGGTCCAGTTCCATTCTGTTTGTCCACCTGGTGATTTTTGGCTCTAGTCTGTCTTCTCTGCTTTCTTTTGGATTGTAGCTGAGCGCTTAGGGCCTGTTCAGTGAAGCACATCTGGAACAAGGCAAATCCAAGAAAAGGCGGAGCTGTGTGGATTTGAGTGAGATCGTGCTGTAAAAGATGCTCTTGGTTAAATTCAAGATTGTGTGATTTATTTCAGGAAACTACAGTTGTTTGGCTTTCAAATCGACACATTTGCAAACTATAATTCATGTTTTATTGCAATAGTGCTTCATATTTTACATTACCTGACAGTAACACAGTTAGTACAGTTGAGAATTATTAGCTGAATATTCTCTATCATCTTTGAATACGGTTGTGTCCTTTGATATGACATTTTGAATTCACATTGCCTCTTGTCTCATGGAATTCATATTGCTGTGGGAATGCATCACAGTATGGCATTAAACTTGCCTATTGCCACCGAGACAGGTAATGCTGCCAGGCCAAGTTACAAGTCAGATCTATGTAGATGTTACCCTACTCACAGTAAATTTAGATACATAGTTATTTTTAGCAGTAAAAACACATTCTGCGGAACAATACGGACAAAGAAATAACATGTCAAACAAATAGTTACATAGTGAACCTCGCCTCCAGAGACTAATCACTTTCAAATATTTTCATTGTTCCTTTTATTGTGCCCACCAAATAATAGTTTTAGTTTGCTCACTTGTAAACATGAATAGGAAAGTCTTGGTTGACATCACCGGCGGAAGACTAATTCATAACAAATTGTGCACGGTTGGAAGGAGACTCCACACCGATCAGAATCCCTTGTTAATTTATCACGTCTAATTTCCTCTTTAAACAGTATCACAGAGTGCCTCAGTTGTGTCCTTGTCTTTATAGATGTCTCATGGAGAAGTTGAATTCATTCTTTCACTGATTCTTCGGCTAAATCCTGCTTTTGAGTCTTGCTTGGTGGAGATGACGTGTGCTTGTCTGGCCCAGTGCAGATCAAAGTGTCTGGGTGCTCCTCACACCACAGAGCCACTGTTTTGTAGAGAGCTAATTACAGTCTGTGTTACATGGGACAGAGAGGCTGTGTGTGGCTGCTATTTACATCTTCTGCCCTTTTCTCCTGTCACTTTAAACAGGCTCTGATAAACATGATTGATGGAAGATGTTTAAGTGCTCATGGAAGCAAACTGTTAAATGACAAAGATTATTTCATTATGCAAGAAGAAGAACCCTTTGTTTATATATTTGAAATGTACTTTAAAGATGAATTGTATAACTTTTCTGGTGAAGGGTCTGTCAAATGGTTTTCTCCATGGAGATGTTATTACTTTGTCTGGAATGTTTCATAGTATGGCCTTTTTATCTTCATGGAGACCAAACCAGACCAAGTTACAGGTCAGAACTATGGAGAGGCGACCCCACTCACAGCCAGAATACCTGTTTAAAACCACCTATAATTGAATATATGTATGGTAGAGGTGTTTAATGTCATAATGTTGACAGAGCAAAAGTTACGTAGTGGACCTTTAATACATATTAGACTTTTTATACTGTGCTTGTTGTAGATTGTAGCCCAAGAGTTGAAGGGAAGAGACATGATGCTTGTTTACAATCAATACAGAGACATTGTGATAGTGTTGTTCAGTCCTGTCTAGTCTAGTCCAGTATGGCTATGCTTTCGTTGGAGGGAGTATTATACCTTGGATGGCACAGGCTCAGATAACAGTGACTGAGCTGGCAGCCAGTGCTCTTAGTACAGCAAAGGAATTTCTCTAACAGTACTTACTCACAAGTCTGCAGGATATTTGCAAACCATGTTATACTAAATCATTTAAATATAACAAAAAAAAAAGTAGAATTATTGTAATCTAGATTTTCTACTTTCGTTAGTATAAATTTCCGTCCACAAAACTGAAAGCAATACTTTACAAAAATGGTTCTATGTGGTTAGCTGTGTCTGGTTTATTTTGCTCCAAGTCCTAAACCTGGCATAATATTTTCTTCAGATTATGTTCTTTGTAAAATTGTAACTTCTGTTTTTAAATGTCTCTCAATCATATGTACAAATGCTGAATTTTCTTATTTTTTCAGATGCGAATTCTGGACAAATTCCCAATTGAAGGAGGGCAGAAAGACCCAAAGAAGAGGATTATTCCCTTTCTACCAGGTAATAAATCTTTCCCCTAATAGTACCATGTTTTACAGACTCCTTGGTGCTTGTATAGTTTTAGAGACTCCCTACACCAGAGCACAAATTCCAAGTCCGTCACATCTGCAACTGTTTGCCTATACCTCCTATATACTCTATAGCATGGCCCACCACATTACATTATGTTATTAAGTGCTATACTTCTTCCAGGGCAAACGAGTTAGTGGTCTGTGGAGCACTGGGGGTACAGGAGAGGGTCTAATCTGATAACGCTGCTGTGGTCTGCTGCATCTGAACTCTGAACAGATCCTTTGTTAGATCAGCTTTACGGCTCACTGGCAGCTGATGTCTCTGGATGTACGTTTAAGGCTTAAGCCCACCTCTGCGATAGACTTCTAGGCTTATCAGTATCGGGAATTTATAATGTGACAAGTGATAAAGTAGCTGCTAAAAGTTTCTGTTTGAGAATACCATTACTATAAGCACACCAATGACAGAATGATCTAAGCCTCTGTGGTTAAATGGAAGTACACGTTTATTATTTATTATAATAAAGTAGTCACATGCTTATAAGCACATCACTAACAGTTGAATTTTACCTTGTTTGTGATTGTTGCGTCACATGTAAAAATCCAGACTTCTTCTGCAGAATTTTGTCTTTGAAAATTGAAAATTGTCTTAACAATCATGTTTGCTGTTTAAGTTAAGGAGCTCTATATTTTCATTGTAAATATGTTGGTAGACTAGGAATTTGACTTTTTTTTTTTTTTTTAAATAGAGATGTATAATGGTTTTCTTTGGAGCCCCTAGTACCAGAGCCTGATTTGGGCCCCGGTAGTTAGGGACCATAAACAATCACCGGACTTAAATTTGTGATCTTTATGTGTTATGTATTATGTGTTGTGTGTTTATATCTAATTTTGTGTATGTTTTTAAGGCAAAGTTTTATTTCGGCGCAGTCACATAAGAGATGTTGCAGTGCGAAGACTCAAGCACCTGGATAACTACTGCAAGGTACCACAAAAACAAGAATGACACAAACATTTTAAAAACATTGTATTTTTATACTTTTAGGTAAGGTGAGGCAAATGAATTTATAAAGCACAATGCGTGAATAAACTTTCCACACCCAAATATAAATCTACGAAAGACAGTTAAACACAATAAGAAGACAAAAGAATGAAGTGCAACAGTTCATGATAATAGATATATTTAAGGGCTTTTTTGGATCTATGTTATAATGTTGTTTTCTCATCAAAAACATATCTGGAATTGTGTTTTGTTTCATTCACACATGTTCACCACACAAACCGTGCATTTTTAGGATGACAGAGCATTTTGAGTTTTGGACATTAAAACAGATTATTAATCCAGGATTACTCAAATATGTGTGGGTGTGTGTATGTGTGTGTTTTGTATAATTTAGGACTACATATTAGGATAATACATATTAGGACTACATACAAAAAAAAACATGTTAAAATACACACTGTAGTTATTTTGAAGATAGAACTGAATTGACCATACTACATCTTATCCACTCTGCTATAAGAATTGTCCATAGAAAATATAAAACAGGTCTCAGCATTTATCAGTCCCTCCAGCCTGGACAGGAAGCTAACAGCCCTATCTGCACGGGTCACTTCCTGTCACCCATGTAAATAGCCTGAGAAGGAAGTATTGGGAAAAGGGCCACGCAGTATGTTTGAGAACGTAAAAGTCCAAGAGTGAATCAGCAAAGTGTAAAATACAGGTTTGTATGCTATAATAAAAAGCACTGGCCCGTACCCCCTCATTACATTACGTAGATTATTATATGCTTTAAGATAAACAACAAAACTAACAGCTGTCCTTTTGACAATTTTCTCCTACTTTGTATACTCAGACTGACCATATTACCAATGTTTTGTTCACGTATCAAACCTGAGACTATTTTTAAATGTCAGAATTGTATGTTTATTTTACTGATACCAGCAACATTTCTATGAGACAAAAAACTTTGATTCTAAATTTTTACATGGTGCATAAAATTCATCCATCTTATTTACACTACCAGTCAAAAGTCTGGACACACCATCTCATTTAATCTTATTCAGTGTGTTTTCCCTTATTTTTACTTTATTAGTACCCAAGAAATGTATTGAAAAAAATCTTCACTATATAATTCTGTATGTCTTACTTCATATATTTTTTCTTCTGTATATATACAAAATGTAGAAATGTAGAAATAAAGGGAAAAAAAATACATTGATTGAGATGGTGTATCCAAACTTTTGACTGATAGTATATATTTTTACAGATAACATGACACTTGGTTTAGTCATGGTCACCTTGTATACATTTTAACAGCTGTGTCCTGCCATACCAGCCTGTTGTGTTTTTCTCACAGTGGGCTCTACAATACACTCTTCCTTCCCCTCCACGCCCTTCACATCTCCTGCTCTGCTCTTCCCATCTGACTGACCAACTGACCGCACAATGACTAAGTGTTATCCTGGTTACTCACAGCTCAGTATGAAGAAATGACCTTTCCTCATGACGTGCATACTAGCCTCCTTTTCCCTCTTTTTGTCCCCACAGGCTCTGCTCAAACTCCCATCACAAATCTCCCAAAGCGAAGAGGTGCTGACTTTCTTCGAGACCAAAGCTGAAGACCTCAACCCTCCTGTAGAGTAAGTAAAGTTTATTGAATCATCACTAAAACTATACTTAATACAATAAAATATAATGATTTGATTATGAGATTGAACACTGGAGTTGGTTGGTCCAGAAAAAGGGGAAAACTGGAAAATTCTAATTGCCAACTTTGTTGAAACAATACTTCTTTTTGTCCTTATGAATAGTATTTGTAGGCCAATAGGAAAGAATGGAGCATGCTGGGTTTTTTTTAAATGAGCTTCGGAATGGCAATTGTCTCATATTCACAGATATATCTAGTGTCTTAGGTTTTCTTTGTATAATCAATTGGTATAAAATCATAAAATAAATGTCAGAAAAATTTTATTCATCACTCTGAAGTTGTTTTCTAAGTTATAATTAAGTACAACCAGACAAACAAAGCATATTACATCCTAAAGTGGAGCTAAACATCAACTTTTTCTGCTTCTAAATTGTGTTCATGGTGTGTGCTGCTTACATTGGCCTCTGCCTTTTCCAGTAACTGGTGACATCACAACAGACTGCACTGATGACAGACACGTGGCTACAGTTTGAAGTGTGAATACCTGTTAGACCAATCACACTACTCCTTATACCTCTAGACCCCTCTCCTCCTCCTCCCCCTCACTCTCTTCTTTATTCTGCAGGCAGTGCCCAGTTTAACAGCTCTGTCTGAAATGCAGTTGTGAGTGGAGTTTGTGTTTAGTCCCACTTTAACTATTCATAAATATTATATTCTAACTTTTGGAATTTTCTGTCTAACCAAATGGTTACATTATGCCAAGAATTGAAAGTAATTTCATATAGAGGTAGAGATTTTCAGTTTGACTTAGTAATGTAGCAATTTTAAATAGTTTAGTAGTTCTTTTTATCAGTATTTGTTTGGGCAACTTATTAAGCATTAAACCATTCCTTTGAGTTCCCTACTAGTATTTACTATTTGTACCTATGTTTTAATTGTAAGACCTGACATTGCGGGAGGGGACTCTGTCACCATGGAGATGTTGCTGCCTTGCCTCGAATTTTTCACAGTATGATATTAAACTCATCTAGACAAGCAACAAGCCAATTTACAGGTCTGATTTGTGGAGTGGTGGGCCTGCTTACAGTAGAATACATATTTTTCAAGGGATTGTTTTATTGTAAAAACATCTAAGTTTAATGCTATACTGTGGTACATTTTAGAGAAAGCAAATTCCCTAGCATGTCTCCACTGACACAACCAGGTGCCAGAAAAATGACAGTGCACACCAAAAATAAGCATGCCTAACAAGAATACAGTTCACTACAAAAACAAATCTGCCAAGTTTAGATGACTTGAATTAAGAAAGTTTTTATCATGATTTGAGTAAATTTCCCTTGACAAGTAAAATGATCTACCAATTGAACAAAACTTTTTGTACTTAAAATAAGAAACAAAATCTTATTTTGCTTGAATTCAGAAAAACTTATTCCACTGGTAGATCATTTTACTTGTCAAGTTGAATCTACTCAAATAAACTAAAATGTTCTTAATTTAAGCCATTTTAACTTACCTAGATATTGCTTTTTGCAATGATTTAAAAAAAAAATCTACCTTTTCAACATTAACTAATAGGTTCTATCCCAGGCACCCTTCCATTGTCTCACACACACACACACACACACACACAAACACATGCACACACACCTGTCACTGCTGCCTGCCTGTCCTCCTCTGCAGACTCTCCCACAGTTTGATTGATGGATTTTCACGGAGAGGCAGTGGGTTTTATTAATAATGATTTGAGCAGGCGACACCTGATCCCAGAACTAATGTGTAGGGCTCAGTGCTGTCATAAGAGGGCGCCGGAGTTCAAGTGTCCGGGCAGGGCAGGGTCAGAGCGCTCGTTTGTCACACACTTCAAAGTCTGAGTGCAAAGAGGGACTGACATCGGCCTTTCTATTTAACTGTGTTCGGTTGTTTGTAGCAGTAGCAGTGTTAAAGGTCCTATATTACACAAAATTGACTCTTGTGAGCTTCAAGCCATGTTAGAATATTATTATCTCACCAAAAACATACATAACCGCTCCCTTTTACATTCCAGGGCTGAAATTATCCAAATGATTTTAGTGAAGGTTTTATGTTTGAGAGAAGAACTCAGCCTAAATATGCAGGATTTGTGTGTGAATGAAAAAAAGCACACCTTCGGGTATGTCTGTGATGAGGAAAAAGCATAACAGATCAGAAAACAGCGTAATATGGGCCCTTTAAAGAAATGTATTTTGATTTTAAAATCCATAAACTTAAACTGTGTCTGTGTCCCCAGATACATTGTAGACATGTTTAAATCAAATCTAGCTTTTACTGATAACAATTGTGATGCTGATTTATTCTCTAAAAACATTGGACATAATTGCCAAATGGTTTGTTATAACTGTGTGTTATGGTTCTCAAGGTGATTATCCAATCAGAAAGCAGAATGAGCCTCTAGATGATTCTCACATTTGGGTTGCCATTTTGAATGCTGACATCCAGTTTATTTAATCCAATCCGGCTATACTTGCAATTTAAACACACCACAGTTGACCAAAGTGCAGTACACAACAATAATTATTTAAATTTAGTGGGACACTCTCTAATCTGAATTCTTACTGCCTAAACCCCAGCATCTGCAGCCAATCATTAATCAGTGCTAGTGCATGGAAAAAACGTGTATGTGTCGGCAATCTGCAGATTATGGCACTGACAACAGGTTCTTCTGTTATGGTATTACCTTTCTTAAAAACTGCACAAGCGCAGACTTAAGAGCACAGACTAGGTTACATACAATTCCACAGGGCATTACATTTTTTACTTGTACAGCTATATAGCTGTACAAGTGCACTAAACAAACAGTGTCTTGCTCAAGGACACAACAGCATGAAGTGTATATATGGAGGCATGGGTTGGACCACAAAGCACTGACTAGTCCTATCTCCTAAGCTATAGCTACTGTGGTCCAGGTTGCTCTGTTAAATAATTTGATTAACAGCTTAAAATACATTTTGCCATTTTATTTCAGAACTAAAAGTAATGTAATATGGGAAGATTTAATGTTATCTAATAAAATTATACATAATATGAAAAACTATGTAAAGTAGATTATAAACATTTAGCAGAAGCAATTTATTGACTAGAAATAAGCAGAGAGACAAATTCATGGCTTTGTATATATTATGCACTTTACAAGAGTTAAAACTATAATTAAGTGCCATTACAAACAAATTCAAGTACTTTCTGCTTGACTGCTTTAATAGTCATGCAGGTGAACTCCTGTTGTCTCCAGGTGCAATTTGTGTGTCTGGGGGAAAAGTGAGTAACAGTCTCAGCCTATAATCAGTTTTGAGTCAGTGCTTGTGAAGAGCTACACTGGAGCCATTGTGCAGAGACAGTAAATCTTAATTGCAAAATATCAAATTTTATTTAAAAGGGCACTATGTCATTTTTTTGGTGAGGATTGAGCCACCTAATTGTGTCCGTGGAGATGTTACCTGAAATATTCCTCAGTCTGTCAATATGCTTTCTATCATTAAACTTAAATAACTATAATGTCAAATAATTTTACATGCATTCTTGCTGTGAGAGGGGCTGCTTTTCCACAGACCTGACCTGTAATTTGCTCTGGTAGTGTCATCTGCTTGTCACTATGATGGTAGATATGCTTATAGAACTCATACTGTGCTTGAAGATGCTATGTAGTTATAATCTTTGACACCTGTGGATCTTTGTTATAGTTTGCACATTTTAAATTGTAATATTCATCTACAACAAAAGATTGCTCAGACATTCACAAATCACTACAAATACACCTTCAAGAGTGTAAATGAGAAAGGGAAAAAACCAACATTGTTTTGCTCTGAAAAGTTGATTTTGCATAATGGGTCTGCTTTAATATCATACTGTACAAAATTCCAGGCTAAGTAATAACATTTTCATGGAAACAAACAGGGGAGGCAGTTCCACCAGAAAAGTTATAGTACAACATTAATTTGTTAATTACGTCTGCTACAATTATTTTCTAAATTATATGGTGTAAAAAAATTAACATGCCAATAAATATAATTGTAAAGTGACATAACATACCACAGAGTGAATATTTTGAAAACCTGTATTACCACTCCACCAAGTTACTCATAAAGATAAAGGTCAAGTGAATTTGTGTAACTAAAATCAGCACAAATGTAGTATTTCGGATAACCTCTTGCGTAGTATTTTTCTTCCTTGTAGTGGCTTGGCTGTCTGGCTGTAACCCCAGCACATACACAAGCTAATCCCACTTCAAAAGCAGATCCTCCTCCAGTCTCCCAGTGCACCCACTCTGACACGCTGAGGTCTCTGCACCGTGCCACCCAAGTGCTTACCCATAATCCTCCTGTGCATGGAAACAACAGGGACTTTCAGACTCTGTTCTTCCCCCAAGCCACAAAAGTACAACACGGTAGATAAAATTAACTCATTTTTATTATACCTAAACGCTTCAGGGGAGTGAGAGAAAGCAGGTTTATATGGTGCAAGAGTTCACAAAGCTTCAAGGCTTGTGTAACAACAATAGAAAGATATATTGTATTGACACAAACTAGCACTTTGTATGCTATAGATGTAATGCTTTTGTCAGGATTTGCTGCCATCTAATGCCCAAACGACATCAGTGCATGGTGTTTTAAAATGAGATGTTGTTTATCATTTTGTCACAAGAGGGAGCCATATAGGTTCACAGAATTGATCAATACAGTTGTACACATTGACATTTAAATCCTAATCTGCTTTATTTACATATAACTAACAAAGCAGTTTTCAAAGTGCTACACAGAGATCATACAAAGAAAACTATAAAAGATGTAATTGCTAAAATCTTGGTCATACTAATCCTACAATAAAACCAGTATAAAAAAATCAAAGCAAAGTCATAAAATCATGAAACAGCAATAAATAAATAAAATAAATGAAAGACACAGGAGAGGAACACACAAATCATGTGATTTTAAAAGCCAGAGAATAAAAGTAGGTTTTAAA